AGGAGCAAATCACAAAGGCATATAGATTTTTGCAAGTCAGGTACTCCTCTGTCAGTTTGTGGGCAGAACTTAAGGTAGGTAAGATGTGGCACTGTGGCTGATGTTGTAACTACTTTGGACCAGTTAGCCTTCCTGTAGTACCACTGCCTTTATGGTGAACATGATATTCTATCATGTAGTGACAACCTCTGGATAATGTGTTTTGTAATTTGTAGATCCTCTGTGACAATAATATACCATACAAAGAAAGCTGTCGAACGGCACTAGTCTGATATCTGTGATTTAGTCATTATGTGATTGCTGCACAGTAAAATGAGTACTGCTGATCTTGCACTGTTATTCCTTATGAGTGAGGAAGCTGTGGAGGAAGCATTACTTTTCAGCCTATGTCCTCATGGCAGTACTTGCATTTTACTGCCCTTGTGTAAAGTGTGTTGGTAAATTTAAAGCTTTTTAAGGAGCTCGATGCTGTGATGAAAGACCCTGAGATGTGATGGTGACTACATGAGTGATAATTTGCCGTTGCTGGATACTTGATGGTTTCAGCCTGGGATTTTACTTTGGACTGTTCAGAAGAAAATGCTTGCTGTTTCTTGTTCAACTTGATTGACCACCAGCAGCAATAACTAACCAAGTGAAGGGAACGACAGATTTGTTTGACACCACAAATCTGACTTTCATGTCAGTGTTATTGAATGATTGCTGCCTATTAAGAGCATTTCCACTAGCCCTCAAATGCTTAAGCTAACTGTGCAGAGTAAGCACCTATGGAAATAAAATAATACAATGTAATTGTCATTTGTCTGGGTACAGCATGACTTTTGTAGACCTCTCCTGTCAACAGTGTACTTCGTCCCCGAGATGTTTAGCCATTGAACCAGAGCAAGCAAGTTTAGACAGATACACTGAGTCGAAGTCAGTTGGAAGCTTTTAAAATTCTCGTATGTGTTAGCATATGGCTTATTAAACTCACTCTTTTCTGAAGTGTACTCAAGGATTTAATCAACAATAGAATGACTGTGTCTAATGCTGTACTAGCTGCTGTGACCTTTGGTAGCATGTTTCAGATAGAAACAAAGGGTTTAGGTCAGACAGTAGTTAAATAACGCTTGTGCTGTTCTTATTCTACCTCAGCAGCAGAGACAGAATAGTATTTTTTCCATTCATTAGTGACACCTTTAGTGTAATATACAGCCTAGAAGAGCTTGTGCAGGTGTGACACTATTAACCTAAGGTTAACGTGTTAACCTATATTGAGTAATTGAGTAACAATATTGAGTGGGAGTGCACTCAACACGCAAAGCTTCCTTCTCAAATTTAAGCCTATGAATTGCAATTCAGGACTGTTGTGACTTTGAGGCTCTGTTTGCATTTCCCTCAGCTCTTTTGAACAGAGGAAGAGCAATGGTGTTGAGACGACTGGAGAGTGTCCCCCTAATAATGCAGCAATTATTGCAAGTGCTAGTTAATGCTGCTTCTGGTTTGAAAACAGATAAACTAAGCATGTTTTTACTCTCTTCAGTGACAGATGCTACAAAACTGAATAGAAGTTGTAATCATATAATTTAACAGCTATTTTAAGTTGTACAGAACTTGCTTGTTGCCCATCCTTCCCCCTTTTTTCCCCCTTTGGTTTGAGACAGTTGTTCCATGCTCCAGGGCTGAATATTTGAGGCCTTTGCTTTTATTCTGAACAGATTTTTCTGTGAAGGTTGTAACTCTGTCTTTGGGTCCATTTGCCACAAGTATTTTCTTGTCAAGGAATCTTCATGCTCTGCACTCATTTGACTTGCACTTCGTTTGTGGTCCAATTGAAAACTGCTAACTTAGTCTCAAATGTTAAATGGCTTGAAGCAATTTGCAGAAAACCTACCTAAGCTTTGCTGATAATCAGTGTTTGTGTGAATTAAATGGTATCAACAGCTCAGTTAAAGGCTAAAAGCCTTCTGCCACTGAAGCAAATTGTCAGCATAGAGTTTTAGGACTTCTGCAAATGTCAGCTTATAGCAATTTACAGTTGTTAACCCAAAACGTAATTAACAATTTAGCTAAAAAATCCAGCTGAGCCATATCAGGTCTTGCTGATCTTCAAGCAGCAAAAAAGTCAGGCTTATAATTAACCCATGTGGTTTCCAACAGGAAATTACTCATAATCTGCTTAATGTTGTTTTTCGTGAATATACTTGCCCACGTTTTATCCTTTCTATCTGAATATTTAAACCTCTTGGCATGATGGTATATAGCAGTAGAAGTGTGGACAATCATATCCACAGTGTTGATGAGGGTGTTTTATTTTTTTAATTAATCACTAGTTCTAAAATTTCATTTGGATACAGGGGGAAAGTATGCTTCCCAACAAGAATGTTGGGGTTTCAGTATCCTTGAGGTTTTGTTTTAAGAAAAAATAGGGAGATAATGTGGATTCTTGATGTGGCATTCCTATATGTCCCAAGTTGTTCCCATGTGAAAAATAGTTCAAGCCCAAGACCTGCCGAAGATAGTGACTGCTAGAAATTATCTAGGAAATACTAGGAATGACTAGGAAAATACTAGGAATGACTAGGAAATGTTTGTACTTCTGGCTTGCTTAATGGTTGATGTATGGATGATCATAGCACCACCACTTGGAATCAGAAAGAGGAAATAAAGCCCATTGCTGATCTCTTCTGTTTGCTAATTGGAGAAAATGTTGTCTAGGTATTATTGACAGATGAGGTTAGTCTGTAAAATGGTGGGAGTTCTAGATGTGTACATACATACAAATACATGCAAAAATGCAGGGATTGATCCTGTGACATATTTACAAGAAGAAAAAGTGCTTAGAATGTTTGCAGACCATAATGAATTTGGAAAGTTTGCAAGGATTTTGTCAAGCAGGATTAAATTTGAAATGTTTTGGCAATTTTAGTGTCCCTAAAAAAAAAACCAATCCCAAAACACAAACAAACAAAAAAACCCCAACAAAACATACAAGAAAAAAAAGCAATGCTTATCAAGTTGTCTCTGGAAAGTGCAAGTTGAACTGTGTTTAAAAGGCATAATTAGAGGCATAAAAGGCACAGCTAGCTAAATGGTATTGGAAGCTCAGTTTACAGATCTGCAGGAAAGCGTTTTCAGGTTAGTCTGGGTTACATAGGTCTGCCATCGCATATTGCTGTGAAGCTGCCAAATAGTACCTGAAATACAGTTTGAAGTGTGACTTTGAAGACGTATGAGGCAATTCTTCTTCCTCTTCTTGACAGCATATAGTAAGTCCCTTTTTCAGTTCAGGTCAATGTGGTTTACTTGTGTGAACCAAGAGAGTTCAAAAGAAATCAAAAATAAATCAGGATATTATCAGGACTTTGACAAAAGGTTATGTGGTCCAGAGAAGGAGGACGAATGGCTACAGAATGGGAAGGACTGCACTGTTCTTCATGTTTGACAGTAGAATAAAATTAACTGCATTAAACCCTCCTTAAATAGGTTGTATATTGTTATATATTGAAACTGTGCTGTTGAAGGAACTTTGGGAGGTTACCTAGGTTCTCCTTATAAGCCTTAATTTACCTGGGAGGGTGAAGTGTTCCTGGGGGAGGGAAGGGGGGGTCCCCATCACTGAATCACTTAACTCCAGAATTGTTCCTTATATGAAAAGGGGTGAGTTGGTTTGCTTCTTCAGGAAGTGTCTTGGTGAGGAGTGTACTACTTCTTTGTTAATAGGTGAAGATGGACAACACAGTGAAATTTCTAGCAGGTAGCTTTCTTGGGATACTCTGCAGGTGTTGAGTTCATTTTCTGACTGCCAGGCCATTGTTCAGACTTTAGTCACCACCTTTTGACTGCTGGACCATGAGACTTGTGTTCTCTTGCATTCTGAATGCTGTACAGGAGAGACTAGTAATCAGTATGTTTTTAGTCTTTTGAAATTTTTATTTAGACCAGGGCTTTTTTTGAATAAAATACCAAGTTTCTCCTGATTCTCAGTCTCTTTCAAATTTGTTACCTGAAAGTGCAACTCCCTTCTACCTGTGACTTTCAGATTCCATAGTTTTATTTTCCCAACTATTCTGGACTGTGAACTATCTGAGTAATGTTTTAAGTGGTATGCAGAATGTGTTAGTAGCTGTTGTTTAAAGTCCTGTAGAGGATGAGTTGTATGCTGCACAGATGACATCTGTTTTTTCTTTGCAGAGGGTTTGTAATCTGAACAGACCAGAGAAACGTAGAGTAGCTTAAAAAGTGTTCATCTTGGAGTAATCTCAGTGATGGTGACAAAATAATCGTGTGTGTGTGTGTGTATATGGTGTCTGGGGGAGGGGGTGTTATCATTTATTTAAATTAGTAGTAAAATGGAGGAGAGAGAATGTGACAGGAATGAGGTGTGGGCAGAAGAGGATTAGAAGAGTTTATGTTAGCTGTAATGTAAAGAAATGGAAATGAAAAGTCTGTAAGCTGAGGTTGGGAAAAGTCCAGACAAAAATTTAAAAGTTTGTGTTCAGAAATTGCAGTGTCTTCCACCAGCTGAGTTTTCTGCCAAATAATACATTTTTAAAGCTTCCTTTTTGTCTTGGAGGGCTTGAATCTTTATCTGGTAAAGCATTCACAAAACATGTGTTCTGTAGAATAGAACAGGTTATCTTAATGAGGATCATCAGTAATTCTTGTTTCTAGCATTGGTGTGGCACTAATGGACTTCTAATAGAAACAGTAGGGTAAAACAGTATAAAATACAGGTGTTTTTTTGTCTGTCCTAGCATATATTCTGCTTAAATTGATGAGACTAAAGGCCCCTAAAGCAGTGAAGCATTAGGAAACTATCATTTTATGTGCTTTATATTCTGAAATTCTGCCTCTGTTGGTTTCCTTTGCTTAGGAGAAAATATTTTAGAGGACTTCTTTTCCTCTAAAGGGCTTATATCGTTTAGGATTTTTTTTCCTCTGCTGTTGCTGCTGTTTACCATGGGGCATGGAAGGGAGTTTAGTTCTTTTGTTCTCATGGCTTTTCTCCTCTTTTTCAGAAGTAAGAAACTTTTTAGCAAGAAAAAATTGAAAAGAAAACAGAAGACTAAATTGAAAGTCAAAACACGCAACAAGGTAAGTCTGTAACTAACTGGACAAGGTTCTGACTCAAAAATGAAAGTGATTTCAACGAGAGAAATATGAGGGAAAAAAGTGTAACTAGCAATTTGTTTAGAAAAGATAATAATAGGCCAGTATTGTTTGTATGTTTACTATATTCTACATGATTATAATGTTAACCTTATTCAACTGTGTTTGCTACTAATGTTCATCATGAAATAATATGAAAAACATTTTATGTTCTCTGGTTCCTAAAGTGTAAATTCAGCTAGACATGTTGGTCTTACAGTTAAGTTCTAAAAGATGCATGTCTAGCCAACAGTTGGAGACTACTCTTGCAAGGGGTTCTGTCCATATCACCTAAAGGCAAAAGGGAGCATTTACTGTCTAAGAAGCCAGAGTTACCTCTGGGAATTCCTCCATAATGGAATAGATGATACTTTTTTAATATTTTCTCCCTGTGTAACTTCTGCCCCCATCCCTTTAAATGCATGGTAGCAGAAACAGTGAACCTCATTGAAATGTTTACTTGTTGCAGACAAGAAATCTAGGCAGAAGCAGCAGTATTTTAAAATACTGCTCTACTGCATTCTTTCTGTATTACAGAGCTGTTATTTCTCTGTTTAAGCTGGAGTCTTGGGGGGATTTTCTTGAAGGCCTGCTGCAGACATAGAGGCTTCTTCCTACGTTCCCAGCGTAGTCAGTAGAGTAGCTCATTTCTGGAATAGTTCTGAAGAACCACTGGAATATCCAGTAAAAATACAGTTGAATGCTCTTATAATACAAATAGACTGTAGATCAGACTGGCCATGTTATCCCTGTTTGCCACACCTCATGTAGTTCCTCTATCTCAAGACAGATGATTTTGGGAGGGTGAAGCAAGTTCTGTATCTCTTCACTTGGTATTGCCTTTTTGGATACTTACCAGATTGTTCTACTTATCTCAAGTAGTGCAGCTCCAGACTATGGTATAAAAGGGTCTTATCTTCACTTTCTCTTCTCAGTACTGTACAGTGAAATATTTCTGGTCGAAACTGAATTTTCCAGCCCTTTCTTCAGTTGCTATGATACTAGCAGTTTTAGCCCTGTTCCTGTCATGATATTATCAGACCCACTGTCGACACAGAAAACCAAGTTAGAAATTTGAAGAATTTTTTCAGAAAGTAGTTAGTCTTTGTGTGTTCTGTCTACTGTCAGGAACTTGTGCTTCTAAAATAACTCTTCATCTTTCATCATTGTTACTATATAAAGGGAACCTTGTCTTTTTGGATACTGGTGCCCTAGTTCAACTGCCAAGTAGAAGCTAAATCCAGAACTTCTGTTCTTTGCAAGCTTGGCAGTCAAATGTGCTTCTTGGTTTTATTTGCATTGCATAAATGGATTGGTAGGAACCCTTCTGAATGGCCAAAGACAATATGAGCATCCTAAAGGCTGGTTCTTGTCAGTATTTACAGATTTGGCACTAACTGATCATCTTTGAACTTCATGCCTATGGAGGGTTGTTTACAAGATTTTTCTTGGATTTAAAACGTCTTCTACTTGAAGTATTGAGATTTATCTGTCTTTGAAAGGCATAATGGCTTTTTGCGTGTGTTTTAGTGATGCCTGTATTCTAGACAGCCTTTAAGGTAAGCCAGGGTTGACCAGCAGAGTATTGGTATTTTGAGTCACTGAGGTAGAGGAAGGTACTCCAGCTTATTCCTGCATGATAGCAGGAAATTGTGTATTGCATGAAGAATGTAGCTGAAAAGGCAGAGGTAACCTAAAGATGTGAGACTGTCTTTATCAAACTTTGTTTACTCACGAAGTGAGGTGTTTTGGGGTTTTTTGTTTGTTTTGGTTGTTGCCTTGTTTTTTTTTTGTTGGTTGGTTTGTTTCGTTGGCTCCCCACCATGCTTTTCAATGCATCTGCATACCTACCAGTGCAGAATAATCACAATAATAATTTTTACAGTGGAATGTCTGAAACCAGATGTGTGTATCGTCAGGCAAATGCATGTTTCCATTTGAAGCCTTATGATAGGGTTTATTGAAAAGCCCATCACTACTGGACATTCTGAGCAAGAGATCTTGTGTGCATTAGTTTAGTTTTTTTAATAACCAGGGTCTTTCAGTCTGAACAGACATTGGAGCTTTCTCTTAATAGGCTTGGTAGAGGCTGGGAAGGCCTTAAATTAAGAATAAGCCAAAGGAACCCCCAAATTTGTTATTTATACCCTGCATTTAATAAATATGAGAATTTAGTAGTTGAAGAGGAGAGGACATTAAGAAAAAGAAAAAAAAGTCATTGTTGAGCAACTGGAAAAAAAATTATTTCTACCATTTAATCATTAAATGTTATAACATTTTAAATATAAAACTTTAATTGGTGTTTAATGCAGCCCAATAGTTAGTGCATTAGTGTCTTTCTAGGCTGTGGTCATGTTATGATCGTTGTATTTGAACTACTGTTAACTTTTGGTTTTATGGTTTATTATCTTCTTTTTTTAACGAAGGTATAAAAGTTTTCCATGTGGGTGCAGTGTGTTTTGGCTTCAAAATCCAGTGCTGAATAAGAGTGACTTTGACACAGAGACAAGTATGTGATTATTAGATGTGGGTGTAGTCTCTTGGACTCCTGCCCATGGCCCCTTTTCCCTCCCCACTTCCTTTTTTTTGGCAACAGTCATCAGTAGAAAATTGTAGTCTGTGTAACTTACCTCAACACTATGAATATTGCTGTTTTCTATCCCTCCTCCTTTTTTACTCCTTGGAGTTTTCCCACTTTCCTGTTAACTCATAAAGGTGTTGCTTAGGGCATTTAGCTGAGAGACTGGATGAAAAACCAGTTCACTGTCTTTTGTTCTCATATGTTATTTGAAGAAGACTGAAAAACTGGAGTCCAACAGAGACAGGGAGTGTACTTGCTAACCAGCTTCCACCTGTTTAGCCAAAAGTTGTAAACTGTGACTTCTTTAGCTTTATACAAATGGAAGGAATAAAACCTTTGGAAAGAACACTTCATGTAGCAGACAAATTTAAGCTAACGGTTAGACGTATAAGGTGAATCAACTGGGATAAATATTTGCCTCATCAAAAACACTCATAGCTACTCAAATAATTTGTAGTGTTTTCAATGGCTTTTGTATTATTTGGTGTTTAAACCTCAAGAGGGCATCCCTTTCCAAGAGATGTTTGAACTGTCCAAAGAAAAATCTGGTGAGGTTCTATGCTCTGTTATGCACAGGTTGATCAGATGGTTATTTTAGCCTTATCTATCTTTAACAACAGATTAACTTTCCTTTCCTAGACTATAGTTTATTTATATCCCATCTGAGAATAAACAGTTTTTCCAGTCATCTGGTTCAAGAGGAAGGAAATAAATTGGTCAGAAAATAATCTATGTATGGATGTAATCTTTTGGGAAAACTGTTTACGTGTATGACAAGTATAAGGGGAGACTAGAGGGTTTCTTTTTCCGTGCTTCCTGAGCGTACAGGAACATTACAAATGGCTAAATGAGAATGGTATTTGTGAGTCTGGTTGCTCTTATTATATGAACCAAATCGGTGCCATTTAACCTCTGCTACATCCTTCCATTCAGCAGAGACTATATGTTTACGAGGACAAGTCACACATCAGAGTATGGGCTTCTGCACTTCGCTCTTTCTCTTGTAGAATAGCCTATTGCCTTCTAGATAAGAGCCTCTTTTATATAAGAGGCTTCTGTGTTACTTTTAGAAAAAAAGTAGCACACAAGAAATAAAATTTTGCCTTTATATATTAAGGGTCTAGTCGTGATTCTTTACGTACATTGGCATTGCAATTTCTCAGGCCTGTATTTAGATTTCATTATACAGTAGCTCAGGATTGAATTGTTCTTTCTTTAATTTCCCTTAAAACTTCAAGAGAAAGATTTTTCTAATTTTTTCTTAAAAGTTTGGAGAACATAATCTGCTGCTCTTTTGTCTACCTAAAATACAGAAAACTTTTTTGAGTGATTTAATTAGGTTTCTTGCATTTACAAGTCCTCTATCTGTTCATCTGAAAAAGATGTGTTAGTCCTTCTGACCATCAAAATGACCTTTCACCACTGTTACCTCACCTTGTATGGCTTCAGACTCTTCTTTTTGAAGCATAATATTGTACATTTTGTGAGAATGACATTGGGTTTAAAAATTGCTCTTCCATTCCATCAAAATTAATTTAAAATGTTTTGTCTAGCACAAATAAAGTTTTGCAGCACTTGAGACAGAAGATGTGATAAATACTGGATATCTGTTACGTTCTATAATGTTATGTTTCATCATGTATCTAGATTAAGATGTTGCATTTTCAGTTCACGGTGGTACCAAGTGAAACAAAAAAGACAAAGATTTCAGAATGTCCCACTTTCTTACAGCTCATGTGAAAGTCACTAAATCAAAAAGCATCATTATGTTTTCCAGTCTTGATGCTCCATATTTTCATTTTTTTTTTAAAGTGGTAGCAATTTTATATTTTGAGAATCCAAATGCTTTGGGAGAGCAAAAAAGTTAGAGCCTATCATCTGGTCTTCACTAAGACATCCTAGAAGCTGGGCTTCTAGTCATTTTTATACTTGGTAAGTGCTTTGGATCACAGAATTCCAACAGCCATTAAGAAAAGGCCATTTGGAGATGTAGAAAATATGATTGTAGCTTTTCACTGTATGCACAGTGTCATGTGAAGCTATTTCATACTTCTGTGAATCTCGATACTCTTAATACCAAGAAACAAGCTATAGGGTGGAGTTTTTGAAATAATGTATCTCATAGCTCTAGAGCAGTTGATTGGATTATTAGTAATGCTAGATATGTGCAAAATTAATAAACTGCTGCAGTGAGTTTTTAGAAGTCAATTAACATTTTGTCTTAATCTTCTACCATTTTCCTTGGCAATGTAGAAGTACTTTGTGCCAACATAAATTGCAGTATCATTATGAGAATTGTTGTAACTTAAAATAGACTTTTTTAGTTTGATGTAAGAATTATTAAATGGGGTTCTGTAGGTACAGTTAGTGATTAGATTTTCAGAGGGGTCTATTCTAAGTCAAAATCTAGGAGCTGGTAGCAAGATTGTACTGCTGGTAGCATAGAAGAGTAACCCAGTGCCATAGCTATCATTAGTTGCAGAAAAGGAAGTTTCCTGTTGATGATGAGATGAAGTCCCAGTTTCCTAACTTGATCTCATCAGTGCATCTGACCTGAGTGAGGTTAGGAATCTGCTGTAACCTAAAAGAAAAAACTTGCCTCATATGGAAAAAATTTCTGATATCTGTTATTAATACTTTCCACTGCCATTGTTGAAGAAAATAAAAAATGGAAAGTGCTCACTGAATGAGTATGTGCATTAGAGGAGCGGAAACATTTTCTGTTTCTTTTTTGTTTTAATCAGCTCCATCTCTGCCTTTTGTAAAAGAAATAAAAGAAGTGATGTTAATCCAACCTGCTTATACACCTCCACTTTTGAACAGATGTTTGTTTTGAAGATCCAGAAATGATAAATATTACAGTCTAAGCTCCTCAGAGACTTGAGCAAATCCATAATGAATAAATTGTCAGTGGTGTTTACCTTATAGTGAAGTTCGTGGGGGGAGAGAGAACAAGGTGATGTTTGGAAGTTCTGTTCCTGCTCTCCAACCAGAAACTGTTTGTCATTCAGCACCTTCCTTTTTGCCTTTAGGCATCCCAGGCATCTGTATACTTACACATTTAATGTTAATTCAGTAGAGTTTTTATTTTCTCCTCAAGTGAAAGATGGTAAATGGTGAAACTCATAATTATTCTTAAGTTTTAACATGTTCTTACAACGCTTATTGTTCAGCTTACTGCTCAAAAAGGGGTTTATTTCATGCAGTCCTAAGGCCCGTCCATTTAAACTGACAAAATTCTTAAGTACCTGTGTTAGGATTGCTACTGTATTTTTTGAGTGTATAACATAATGAAGTATAATATACTTCTAGTTTCAAAGAATTTACAGATCTCAGATATGGTATTGTGAAGAGAAAATAGAGGTATGAAATAAGAAATGTAGACAGTGGGTTAGCATCACACCTAGGAATTAAACTAATGAGTCATATATTCTGGTGCTGCACTGTTCAGATAGAGCAGGGTGTTTTGGGTTCTGGAGAATATTGTGCTGTTGAAGTCTGGGTAGGATATTATTGTATATAACTGTAGTTTGCCCTGTTGTAAAAGACTGAGACACTGAACATAGAAAGATAGAATGGTTAAAGTACTATTTAAAAGCTAAAGTACTATTTAAAAGCTTACACATTAGGTGAGGGACTTTATAATATTTGTATTAAGAATAAGGAAGGAGTTAATTTCTGAAAATTAGTCAGCTTTTTATTAATAGGCAAGAAAACATACACTGATGTTTTGTCTAGCACTGTCATGTCTAAAATTATCTCTGCTGGTTAATTTGGCCAACGTATTTCAAAAGAAGCTATGTGAGCTACAAAACTGAGGCTGTTCTGGAACAAAGGCTAAGCTGAACTCCTAACAAGAAAACCAGAATGGAAACTCTTCATAGATTTTGTATTTGCAATTTCTGATACTAATTAGATAAGCGAACTTCAGACAGATATTTCAGAGATTCCAGATACTTTTGTCTTCCTGTAACTGACAGTAAACTAGGAAATGCATAGGAAACTTACTAAATTTTCTTCATTTTTTTTTTTAAGCTGAATTCAGCTGTGTTAGTTTTCAAGCTGAAAGCTTACCTTGTGTGTTTGCCTTAGCAGCAGCTGGAAAAACTCTTGGATTGTATGTATGGATATTTGACATACAGAGGAGTCGTATGTTACAGCTGTTTAGTTTTCTGATGCCAAATTTAAAGTATGTAGTAGGTCATCACTGATATTAGTCCAAATCTATTGTGATGCACTGTGATACTGGAATAATGTGAGGTTTGAGTTGTTGTGGGGTTTTAACATCAGCTTTATTATTTCAAAGACACCCATGCTTAACAAGGACCAAACTTATGTGGTCTTTCAAGCCCTAATGGCAGAAGTTACGTTGCGCTAAAAAAGAAGCAAGAAAGCCCCCACGCTTCCAATAAGTTTGTAGGGAACCTTTTCCAGCTTGCTTTTTTTCTCCCCTCCTTCCCCCACTCCATCTTTATTGTTTTGTGCTTACTGCTAACACTGACACAGGTAAAAAATAAACACACTGTCTGTGTTGTATAAAATAGGATATAGAGTAAGTCATTGCTTCTTGATGTTTTAGCTTGCAATAATTTTGTAGTAATAATGGAAAGGAAAGATAGGCAAATATGTACCAGTACAGTTCAAATAATAATACAGTCAAAAGTAAAATGAAATGTGTAAGCTAAAATATTTTGAAGCTATTTTGACTTTTTTTTTAAGTTTTGTAAAATATGGTATTAAATGATCTAACTTAGAAACCAGTGCTATTTCTGGTAATAATAACCACAGATAAAAATGTGTTGTGAACTATTGCTGTGTTTTGATATACAAAGTTGTGATTACTATATTGCAGAATAAACCACCCCATTAAAACATTATCCACTTCATGGTTCTCAAACTTCTTTTCCCGTGTCTTGTATTAAAGTCCTCTTTCCTATCACGGTTCTCATAGATGTGTATTTCCACTCTGATCAGTTCCCAATCACTGTAATACATTTTTTTACATACTTTCCTGCCAAATGAAGGTTGTCATTCACAATACCTGTTAAATAAAATGACAAAAAGCCTCCACCCTCACTGCCCTGGAAGAATACAAGAAACAAACCAAAATAGCGTTGTGATGGTAGTCATGACCGTGACTCAGTCTGGCCTAATGTATGTCCAAATTTTTCCTTGCATGTTGAAGCAGTTTTGTCCTTCATGCTTAACCTAGGCCTTCTTTCCTTAGGTAGTCTCTGTGCCTTCTGTTTACATCGAGGTATTACAGGGAATTGCTTCCTCCTATATGCTTGAAGTCCAATTTTTCAGAGCTTGTATTCAAACCAGCCTAGTATTTGGTAATGCACAGTGGAAGTATAACCCTGCATGGGGATTTTTTGTTGTTGTGGCATTTTGCTTTTTGGTTTTTAAGTCTGTCATTTCTTGTCCCACCTTACTGTAGCAGAAAGGAAGAGTAGAGATCAGAATTTAAAAAATGTTTTTAGAATTATTTGTTTTTCCTAATAATTTTCCAAGTCTAATGACAGCTTCGTGGAGGCTCTTTGTCTTGACAGTGGCTGACAGTAGTGTACCACTAGTAGATGCCAAGGGCAGGAGGGGCAGGGTAGTGGTAGGGTGGGGGCATGGGGTAGTGGTAGTTTCTCAGAACAGTTTCCCAACTCTTACTTTGCCGCTTGGGGCTTGTGAAAACAGGATGGTGTCCTGTGATGCCATAGGCCTTGATAGATTTTTCTATTCAGTACTTTGTCCACTAGGTATTTATTAGTCACAAAATTATTATCCACCACATCCTGCCAGGGGAGTTTTTGAACTTGCCATCTGTTTTCATTTAATGGCAAAACAAGTAACGGTGTTTTTAATTTCTAATCTACATTTAGCTTATATTTTATTATTATTTAATAAGAGGTTAAAGTGAACAAGTAGAATGATGCTTTTAAAATCCAGTAATAATTTAAAAAACCTTGACAACTGATCCTGTTAAGAAGATAATAGACTTTTTACTGTGGCAGATGTTTGGACCATTCCACATCCTGAGCTGTTCTCATTTTCCATCCCAGTGTCCTCAACAAGTTATGAGAGGCAGGTACTAAAGCCAGATGGAATATAGCAAAAAATCTTCATCTTCCTCCTTTCTTCCCTGAAATATAATTGGTACTTCAACAGGAAAGTTTATCCCCCAGCTTGAGACTCGTTTGGTTGGCCAAAATTTCGGACTGTTGAGATTACTTACATTTAGCAAAGCATGAAAGTTCTAATAAACTTAAAACTAATCTTGTTTTTCAGACTGAAAACATAGAGAGTACCATAACCATACCAGATATCAAATTACACAGCAATCCTTCAGCTTTTAATGTTTACTGCAATGTCCGCCATTGTGTGTTGGAGTGGCAAAAAAAGGAAGCATCTGTATCTCTGGCTTCAAAGAACAGTGTACAGAGTGGGGATTCGGACAGTGATGAAGAAGAGGAATCCAAAGAGCCACCTATTAAACTCCCAAAGGCAAGTAACTCAATATAGCTTAGAGCATGCCGTGTTGTTATGTTCTTTGTGTGGAATAAAGAGCAGCATTATAAGCCAGCTGCTTAGAAAATAGCTATAGTTTATTTGTAGTCAGTCTAGTTCAGAATTGTCTGATTTGTTGAATTAGGAAGATCTGTATATCCCAGTAATTAATTTTAAGTCAGTTAAATGTCAGGTAAACATTGAGCATGTACTCCTTTACTGGTGGTGGAAAATAACCGACAGCCTCAAAGCTCTACAAAAAATGTAAACAAGGCAGCTCTAATCTGTGAGAGGCTACTACCTGTAGTGATAAAGGCTGCTTTCTTTTGCTTTACCCTATAAAAGAATAAATCTTTCTGCTATTGGAATTCAACTGGTGGAGTGTTTTCTATGATGATTTGCCAGGTATATGTGTAATTGCAGTAATTGCCTATTATTCTTACTACCTTAGTTTTTTGATCATCCCGTTTTGGCTTTAGTGCCTTTTGGCACTATAGTAATGCACATTAAGAATTTGGACATTACAGTTCAACAGGGTAGATTTTTTACTGTTCACTACTTCTGTGCTTATAATATATATTACTGATTTTTTTTCTTTTTTTTTTTTAATTTGCTGATTCGCTGGTTTTGCACTAGGTAACTTCTGTGCGCCTAGTTTTGATTATTGCTAGCTTATCAATGCTATGAATCCTGCTTCCTTTTGTTGTTCTGAGTCTAAAAAGCGCATTCATATTAACTTTTTCTTTGCTCTAAACCAGACACTGAATTAAAAATGTTCTTGCAGCAGTGATTATGTAGAATGTTCTAGTTGCTTAGAAAATTAGAATTTTATAGGTGCTTGTGTTTAGGTAGCATTATCTGAAGGGCAGAGTTGGCACCCAAATATAGTGGTGGAGAATTGAAAAGGAATAAAAAGAATGGTTGATAAGTCACAGAGTAAATAGACTGGTTTGGGTTCAAAGGGACCTTAAGGATCACCTGGTTCCAACCCTTCCTGCCATGGGCAGAGATACCTTCCACTGGATAAAGTTACTCAAAGCTGTATCCAGCCTGGCCTTGAACACTTGCAGGGTTGGGGCAGCCACAGCTTCTCTGGGCAACCTGTGCCAGTATATCACCTTCCTGTCTCTCCCCTTGCAGTTTAGAGCCATTCCCCTTGTTTATGAGCTGCATTTGACTCCCTGTGGATTGTGTTAAGTGAATTAGCGAATGATTGCAGATGTGGCATTTGAAATATAAATAAAGGGCAGTGTAGCTATTAGCATTCATAAACAATTCAGTGGGGTCTTAAGGAGATTTTGAAATGAAAGAAGTTCCCAGAAGGATGTTCCAAGAACACTTGCATGTGGAAACTAAAACACTGATATTGGTTAAAGGTGTTAGCGAGCTTATCAGAAGGATAAGCCAGAAAAGTGGTGCAGGTTTAAAAAGAGGGTGGCTTAGAAAAAATGGTAGGAAACTTTCTTTTATCTCATAATGTCTGTGTCCAGGCTAGAATTTTGTGTACTTTTGTCGTGGTTTAAACCCAGCAGACAGCTTGTTACCCACTCCCCCCCCCTTCTTGCCCTCCCCCTACTCCTGGGGGAACGGAGAGGAGAATCAAAAAGAAATGCAACTCCCACGGGTTGAGATAAGAACAGTTTAGTAACTAAGGTATAACACAAATCACTACTGCTACCACCAATAATAGTAATGATAAAGGAAATAACAAGGGAAGAGAATACAACACCTCATCACCAGCCGACCGATAACTCGACCCCCCAGCCTGACCAAGCACCGACCGATACCTCCTCCAACCCTGCAGTCCACCATGCCCTTCTGTCTAACTCCCGGTTCCCTCCTGGGCATGACGTGCTGTGGTACGGAATACCTCTTTTGTCAGTTTGGGTCAGGTGTCCTGTCTCTGCTTCCTCCCGGCTTCCCCTCCTCCCTGGCAGAGCATGAGGCCCACAGAGTCCTTGGCCAAACCAAAACATCATTTTTATCAGCTTTGTTCCCAGCCGGAAAGTCAAAACACAGCACTGCACCAGCTACCAAGGAGAAAAAATGACTGCCACTGCTAAACCCAGGACAACCTTTCATAAGATGGGTTTACACTTTTGATCTGAAGTCTCAAAGATCTTGCAAGGGAATGGGAGAGCTGCGTGGCTGCATGGAGAGCATCATCAGTAAGAGCTGGCAGGCTGCAACACAGAGGCTATGGCTGCAGCAGTACTTGTTTTGGCTCAGACCTGTCAAGAGAGGAGCGAGAACAAGCTAAAGATGTGTTGAAATGAACTTTTCTTGTTCTATCCTTCAGTGCACAGTTTGGAGCAGTTGAGACATTATATATATGTGTGTCTATATATATAATATACATATACATATATTAAGGTTAAAAGACCTGTTTTAAGAAGCCTACCCAGTCTGTTGATCTCAGATACTAAAAAAATACCCCAAACAACCCAAAACCTGTGCAGATCAGGCAAAATCCCAGCAGAACTATCCATTGTTGATTCCTACTGTAGCGAAGTTCATAAAATTATCTTTTCTATTTGTTAGATTCTCTGCTTTCTCCAGCTGCCTCTGTCAGCTGCTAGATGAGACTTTCAGTCTGAAGATCAGGAAGAATACAATAAACTACTCAGTTGCATTTTATTCTTTAGCCTACTACAGTGCATTTAATATACTACAATGCATTTTATTTTTTAGCCTACAAGATCAGCATAGGAGGGTTTGGGTTGGAAGGGATGTTAAGGATCACCTAGTTCCAAGCCCCCTGCCATGGGCAGGGACACCTTCCGTTAGACCAGGTTGCTTAAAGCCCTGTCCAGATTGGCCTTGAACACTTCCAGGGGTGGGGCAGCCACAGCTTCTTTGGGCAACCTATTCCAGGTGCTTACTGCCATCATAATGAAGAATTGCTTCCAAGTATCTAGTCTATATCTATACTCTTTCAGTTCAAAGCCATTCCCCCTTGTCCTATCGCTATTTGCTTTTATAAAAAGAAATAAAAAAATGATAACTGAGTTTTGGATCCTGGAAAAACCATCCATGCTGTTATTTTGTCGATATTTTTACCCTGGTAGATTCTATGCATGTGCTTTCTCCCACTGCACTGAAGATACGAAATGAAAGGTGTAATTTGCAGGAAAATTGCGGTTGCACTCTGAAGATTTGATTTGATTATGTTTCTATTATTCCTCCAAAAATCAAACAGGTGGTAAAATAAGTTCAGGAAGACAGGAATAAAAATAAATTGAATGACAGAAAAGGCATTTGTGGGGCATCCGGTAGAACTTACTATTGCCTGCCAGACTATATTTGTTTTAGGCGTGAGTGGCAGTTCCGTTAACTTATTTTCATGTTTCAGGTTTTTTTTTTCTGTAGTTTTTAGTCAGGGGTGAACATTCATTAAACTCTCTAAGCACTGGGGCTCTGGTCCTCACAGAAACACATGGTGAAGTTTTGAAGGTACAGGTGTGTCAAGGTTTAAACCCAGACGGTAACTCAGAACCGCACAGCTCGCTCTTCCCCTTCTTCCTCCCCCCACTCCCAGAGGAATGGGGAGAAGAATTGAAAGAATGTAACTCCCACGGGTTAAGATAGGAACAGTCCAGTAACTAAGGTATAACACAAATCACTGCTGCTACCACCATAATAATAATGATAAGGAAAATAGGAAGGGAAGAGAATACAACCGCTCACCACCCACTGAGTGATATCCAGCCTGACCCTAGCAGTGATCTAGCCCTTCTGGGTAACTGCCCCCAGTTTATATAGTGGGTATGATGTGCTGTGGTATGGAATACCTTTTTGGCTAGTTTGGGTCAGGTGTCCTGTCTCTGGTTCCTCCTGGCTTCCCCTCCTCCCTGTCAGAGCATGAGACTCAGAAAGTCCTTGGTCAGAGTAAACATTACTGAGCAACAACTAAAACCATTGGTGTTATAAGTGCTGTTCCCAGGCTGAAAGTCAAAACTGCAGCACTGCACCAGCTTCTGAGAATGAGAAAAATGACTGCTGCTGCTGAACCCAAGACAGGTTGCTTATTTGTAATTAGTTAACGACCTTCTTTCACTTTCATCATTGCCACATACTTTGGAAAGGAAGTGAAAGGAAGCATTCAATGGAGAGAATAATTGTAATCTCAGAATATTCAGCAATTCTAAAAGGGAAAATCAGGAGTGGCTGTACCAGTGCTTTTACAGATATTGTATCTGTTGGCATAATGCATGTCCAAGTACATGTGGAGTTCCAGTGACGAGCAATTAATCCTCATTTTTGTGACAAAAAGTAATCTCAGAGGCTTTGAAGAGGAAAGTACTAGTTCTGCCAGTATCAGCTGTCAAATGCATCATTACTCGATTTGGGAATTCAGGCTGCGAGCCAATTCTTGCTTGCTGGTTCTCATTAATGAGTAAGGAAAAAGGTCTGTCAAAGTGCAAGCTGCATAGAAATTAGAAGGCCTCAGAGGCACAGTTTGTCTTACATTATAAAAAAAAACCAACCTTTTTCAGGGAACTTTTACTCTGCTTAGATAAGCACTTTCATATAATGACATTACTTCTAGTATTTGCTTGTACAGTTGTGTAAGGTGAGTTCTTGATTTTAATTCTTTCGTATTTTGTATTTAATGCCTTTGTATTCTGTATTACATTTTTGTCATTCAGATAACTATCTTGTTCTGTGAACGTTGGGATATACCCTTATTGGTGAAGATGCAAAAATACCAACAGTTACTCTGAAATATCTGTTCTTCCTTAGATCATTGAAGTTGGATTATGTGAAGTCTTTGAACTGATAAAGGAGACAAGATTTTCTCATCCATCTTTGTGTCTCAGGAGCCTACAAGCCCTACTTAATGTGCTTCAGGGCCAGCAACCAGAAGGCCTGCAGTCGGAACCTCCTGAAGTCCTAGGTAATGTCTCATCTATTACTGTATTTGTATTAATATGTATCCGTTACTGTGCTGGACAGAATAAAATGGTTTCTTGCAGGTATTTTTGTGAGATAGTAATGTGCTTGTTCTCAGCTGACTGACTTTATTCTGGAGGGTAAACTCCTTATGGTGTAACCAGTACTTTCTCAATATTAATTATTTGTAGAGCGGTAATCTTGGGATGTAAAGGGGTATGTGTGTGTATATATATGAAGGATTTTGTTGCTGTGTAATGTAACATTTCAGTGAAACATAGTAAACTGTACAACCTTACAAATTCATTTGTCTTACTGAAGGTATAAAATACTTGGTGTTATTGGAAAGAAGATAGTTCTACAGTGAACTTACCATCTGCTGTTGTGATGTATAGCTTAGCTAATTAATGTTGCAATTTATATAAAGCTATTAAGAATTCTTGCCTTTGTTTCCTCTGGTCATCCAAAAGCTTCCCTGAAAATTAATTTTGTTTTTAATGATACTGAAAATAAAAGTTGAACTTCTGATGGCTTTGAGTGTGTAATTATGCCGTCTAAGTTAAAATCTAATTATCTTTTGTTAATTCATAGTTTTTACTGGTTTATAGAACTGTGAGGAAGTCTAGGCTGTAGCATCCTTTGTTTAAAAGTAAAATAAAAAATAAAATACATCTTAAGAGTTTTTGTGTATGCTTTCCTGTATTATGGCTCAACAGTATTCCATTTCCAAACATGATAGTTTGTTCCAGAAGGCTTTTATTTTGTATTGATGCAGAGTATTAAAAAGCTACAAAGAAGGCTTTGTTTTGATTGCTGCCTTGGTGATTATTTGTATATACAATCAAAAAAATTGAGGTGGATTTCAGTTCTCACCTTGATTGTTACAGATGTTCAGTCACTACGCAGTGCTTGAAGAGGCACACGATCAGAATAATTTTCAAGCTTTGATTTGAAATGCTTGTTTCTGAGAAATGGGATGTGCTTCAACATAGATCATAGTTATAAAGACCTACACACTGTCTTAGTGATGAGGTAGACTGAATAGGCAGGTAAAATAAGTGGCCCATTTCTTGTTAATGTGTTCCACTATAATGGAAGGACTTTGATTTCCTTCTCTGGCTGTTGGGATAATCAAGACTCAACATTTTCTGGTGGAAAAAGAATGAAAAGTCAGGATGTTTTAGGCCTATTTAAATGGGATGCTTTCTTTTCTAGGGCTAAACTTAATGGCTGAGGAAAGATGTATTTTTTGTAAATCTTAATTTCACATTGACTGGCAAATTGCTTTGTGTGATTTTGTGACTTGTCTGTATAATTACTGTGTTTTATCTGCAGAATCCCTGTTCCAGCTTCTTCTGGAGATAACTGTCCGCAGCACAGGAATGAATGACAGTACAGGACAGTCCTTGACAGCACTTTCCTGTGCTTGCCTCTTCAGTTTGGTAGCTGCATGGGGAGAGACAGGAAGGACGTTGCAAGCAATCTCTGCTATCCTCACCAATAATGGCAGCCATGCTTGTCAGACTATTCAGGTCTTGCAGTAAAACTTCTCTGTATCTGGGGGTTTATGTAAATAATGCGTACATGAGTTCTGAGAAGATCTATCGTGTAACTTCAGTTATTTTTTTTACCCTTGCTAGTTTTGCAATAAGAGTAGGTTTTTCTTTGTCTTTCTTGAGTTAGAGATAGAACAGAAAATGCACCATTTGAAAAACAATTGTGTTTTTTACTCTTTGTTTTACCATTTAGGTGCCGACCATTTTAAACTCTCTTCAACGGAGTGTACAGGCAGTTCTGGTGGGCAAAATCCAAATCCAGGACTGGTTCAGTAATGGGATAAAGAAGGCAGCCTTGATGCACAAATGGCCATTGAAAGAAATATCTGTAGATGATGATGACCAGTGCCTACTTCAGAGTGATGGCTTTTTCCTCTATCTCTTGTGTAAAGATGGACTTTACAAAATCGGTTCTGGATATAGCGGGACAGTGAGGGTAATGTGATTACTTCTTCCCTGATGAATGGCAGTTAAAATAGTAACTTTTATGATGTCCTGTTTCCGTTGAGAATCTTTGAGCTTACTAATGATCAGTTCTGCTGCAGTTTGCCTAAATTTTTCTGGTTATTTCTATGTGAATTTTACAGTATTTTCTTAAAATTTTCGCTTGTCAATATGGTTCAATACATTGTTAGACAGTAGATGTTTATTTGTAAAATAGTTACTCTGATATTTATTAAATGATTGAGTTTTTTTGCTTTCCAGGGCCATATATACAATTCTACATCCCGCATCAAAAACAGAAAGGAAAAAAAGTCTTGGTTAGGCTATGCTCAGGTAGGTGAATACTTAAAACATGCACCCCACCCCCCATCCCTCATGAGTAATTTAAGTAGATCTTGGCTTAGAGTAAGCTTACATGGATAATGTACTGTTGTTTTGACTTCAGTTGTAAAAATCAGGTTTTTGGTACTGACTTTTAAATTGTGGAAGATGAGGAACATCTGATTGAGCTGACATATAGAAAAGTGTAATGAAAAGTTTCACTGGTGTTGTCACTCTAGGCTTTCTCACAATATGATGGTTTAACACATAAATTTATGATTTGTACAGTCAGTTGATGTATGCTTCTTGAGGAAGTTGGTGGATGTAAAAATATGCTTTTGCAAAAAAATAGTGTTAAAATACTTGAAGTATCTATTCATGAAAATAAATTGCCTTTAAAGCATTTGCAGTAAAATAAGGAAATGCTGTTTTAACTGGGGGAGGATTGAGGGTGCATAAGCCATAAATAGAGATAATTGTTCATGTTACCACTGCAGAGTTAACTATATTTAGATATTTTGTTTTCTTAGAGTTAGTTTCTGGAATATCAACCAGCTTTTTTTATACCTTTGCCATTCATTATAAAAATTGTGGGGTGTTTAGAATCCTGTTATTACCACTATATGTGTTCTCTTCCTCACTCTTAAAAAACCCGACAGCAAACTGCAAAAGAAACAAAAACAACCCCCACAACAAAACACAAATTTAATTTCAGAAAATAATTAATTTACTTTATCTTATAACTACTAAGTAATTTTTATGAGTGATTTCATTGTTCCATTATGAAATTAAGTGCACTCCTTGCCATGTTTTTGAAGTTAAATTGCTCAGAACAAATATGTATTCTATTATGCAGTTGTCTCGTATATATGCATATACACACAAAATCGGTTTTTGTTTAGTATCAAAGCAGGTCACCAAAGGGAATACTGGCACAATACACGTATGCAGATGCCTTCATTCAGGAGCCCATTTTGTCAGTTTGGAAAATAATAGGATCCATGCAATGTCACTATACAGAGTTACGCATTTGGACATTTTGTACATACCTATAAATGTATTTGATATTCTTCTCTGAGTGCTTGTACAGGTGTATGCAGTCCCAGTGACTGTACCCAAAGATGCTGTTAGTTGGAAGAATGTCACTCTAGGACTATATTTGTAGGAAGATGTGTAAATTGCACTTATTGCTAAGTATGTGTTCATGAAAGAGCTTAAGATGTGCCTTCAGTCTCATTTCACTTCAGGTGCTTGGTTAAGTCAGCTCAAATTGAAATGATTTTTCTAACTTCATCGTATCAGTTATTTTAGACTGAAACTTTTTCTTGTCTAATGCTCTTTACTTATTTTTCCTAGTTTGTGTGGATTTGATTTTTCAAATTTCACAGAGATTGATTTAGTCAGGAAATTTCAAGTAGTTTAGATGGAAGCAAAAGGGTTGGTTGGATTTTTCTGTTGATTATAATTAGGTTTGACAGATGAAGATATTCTGAGGTTAAGCCTTAATGACCTCCCTGTGAAATGCATCCATTCTTATATGTGTGGAAGCCCCACCGGAGGTCAATTGTGCCTAAAGTGAGTGCAAGCCATTGTTGTATCTTCTGCTGTGACACTGCTGTTGTCAGGATCATTACTTAGTCATTTTTCATATTGGCCTCTGCAGCGCTCCTTCAGGTGAATACTATTTTTTCGTGGCCTCAGTCACCTTGAATGTGTTTATAAGAGCCCTTAAGTAGTCTTCTTCTGTAGCTGCTTTTATAGCTGAAATGCTTCTTAAGTGTAAATTTTGCAAATATGTTCCTGCCCTGCACCCTCAAAATTTTTTAAGGATCCACAAGCATTGTAGCATCAAAAAAGATAGGAGAGCAAAGTTGCCGTATTGCCTCTCTTACGGATCTGTGCACGTTATGCGCACATAGAACCAATCTTGTTTAAGCTAACAAAACCTCACTTGACGGTATTTTTTTTAAACATGCACTCAGAATTATAGGTATAAACAATAAACCTCAAATGTGAGTTTCGGGTAGGGAGATCTTTATACTGAGAAGCCTTCTAAACTGGTGACTGAATGAAACCTTGCAAATATATGCACAAATGAACAGAGAGAGGACACTATTTTGGTATACCAAAGGAGACTTTCTGACATGGACTGCTGACCAGAATAGTTAATTTTGGAGAAATGAAGGTATTCTGCACATGGAGAACCAGAAAGAGAAAATTAGTAGTCCTCAATATGTCCATTCCCTTAGGTCTGGCTATGAGATAGGAAGTGAGCAGTGTATGTAACTCATTGTATGTAACCTTGTGTCATGGCTGCTGTCACCAAAATCACCATATACTTTGTGACATTTCTTTGAAGGGCTTAGAGAATAAATACATGGAATCCTGTTAGCGTGTGGGTCGAAGTAGTTAATCAAGGGTTTTGAAGAATTCTGTAGTTTTTAATGCACGTATTTATTAATGATCACCTTTCTATATCGGGTAATATATGCATTTCCATCCTGGAATTCTTGTGAATCTTTTGTTGATTTGGAAAGTGGGAACAGGAACACTTTTTTTTTACTGTGGCTGTGGATCTGAACTGTAATTATATGCACATATGAAGAACAGCATTACTATGTATGGCTTCAAAAGCTGTATATGATCTTTAGTATGCTGATCTACAGCATGTAAAAATGGTGGAGGAAAGAGGTCAAATTTCCTTTTTTACTGTAGAATTTGATTAGTGGAAAAAAGTTGATAAAATTAAGTAATCTTAATGTAAAACTAAAAGGTTTCCAAAATTTTTAAAAAATACCTGTGATGTGCTTTTTTTTCCACTCTTGACAATACCCTTTAATGTAATTAAGAATATTTCCATAACAATATATATTTTGTTACTCTTACCAGGGTTATTTATTATATAGAGATGCGAATAATCACAGTATGACAGCCGTAAGAATAAACCCTGAAACCTTGGAGCAAGACGGTACAGTTGCTTTGCCAGGTAAGAACCTCCAGCTATGAGAAGATGGTTATATAGCATAGCATGTTTACATGCTATGTATTTTCAGGTAAGCAGAAGAGAAACTGAGACAGACTTTGAGATTATGAAGAGATTGCTTTTTTATGACTTTGGTTTGCTGCACTAGGCCAACTGCAGTATTTCATTCAGAGGTCTGCCATCTTACTCTGACTGCTACAAGAATATTGCAACATTTTAGAATGTATGCTCATTTTAATGTGAAGACTCCAAGAGCTTAACTCCCTTCTTAAAGAATTTTTGTTTCACCCCTTGTTTAAACTTTGAGCATTTGGCTCAGCTATGACCTTGTGTTCAGTAGCTCTAACATCTAGGTAGTAAACTATGGCCAAACCCATTTGTTTTTTAATATAGGTAGAAATGTATTCAGTAATCAAAGGAGGCTAATGAACATTGAGGAACAGTGCTCCTGATGTTTAAATTGTGGGTTTTCGTTTATCTGTTTTGGATTTTTTTTTGTAGTTTTGTTTGGGCTTTTCATTTGTTCTTTGTGTCCTTTGCAAAGGAGCCTCGTAACTTGGGTCTCTGTTTTAAAGATGAGGATGTTCTCAGAACATCCTTTAATGACCTTCTGGAAAAACATATCTGTTCTTAGTCACTCAAAACAGTAGAAAGGCATTAGAATATCTTTCTACAACGACTACAACCTTATTCTATACATCAGAAGAAAGATTTTGTGTTGCATCCTGATATGAATAAAAATGCACTGATTGAAATCTCAGGAAAAATCTCCAGGCTTTCTGTATTTCTAACACAAACAGTAATTTTTGAATTGGTTTGTGGAACTGGTTTTCTACTTTATTCACCTCAAGGTAGCTTCTTCAACAAATAGGATTCTTTGAGATTCTCAATTATGTTACCCCTGGTAAACAAGTCATTGCTATTTGTGCAAGTCTTGAGAGACACTTGAGCACATTGAAAGTCTACACCTCTGAACTGCTAGCTTTCTTTTGCAAATCTCAGTGACAAGTGTCATTCTTCAAGACAGACTGTATTGTGTTTATACTGTAAAAAGTCACAAATTAAACAACAGCATGCCTGCTAAACAAAAATGTATTAATCTTTCAGTGCAAAAGGAAATTTTGTAACTGCAGGAATACCCCATTCATAAATCCCTCAAAGTACTTCACACAGTTGCATTTTGTATGGTTTCTGATGGTGTCAAAGTGGATGCTAGGTGTTTTCATAATGCCTATCCTTTGTATTTCAGCCCTTGAACTTGCTATTTTTACTTTCTGTGCTTCTGTCACTGTTACATTGTGAGCAGAGATGGTCTTGTTCTTTTGTCTAGGACAAATTCAAAGGGGTCCACTTCTGGTTATTTCTATTTCCTGTTAGAAGGAATGAAGGGAAATGGGATGTATATATCTTGAGGAAACCGAAGTAGATACATAACACTTAAATAATAGTGGCTGCTAATGACTCACACCTTGTAGTTCTGAAAAGCCACACCAGATAGAACTAGAGAGCAGTAACCTTGGCAACAGCTGAACACTTATATGGCTCCTACTTGGTAAGGTATTCAGACATGGCTGTATCTGGAGTTAATGTGTTTCAAATGCCTGGGTTGGTGATAGTGCATTTAAATAAGGTATTCGTATTTATTCATGCAGGTATGCGTAGGAGATGAGGAGTTCATTAGGAGATATGGTTAGGAACTGATACTAGCTAAAAGTCACATCACCTTACAGTGAGCTATGGAATGTTATCTTTTCCTTTCTCAGTATGATACATCAGCTTCTTGAAACCATAAACTTCTATTTCAAAGTATTTCTGCTTTAATAGATAAATCTAGCAAATCTGACAGGGTATCTGGAGCTACAAGACTGTGTGTCAGCATTCTTGTACCTAACGCTTTTGCCAAGCTTTATACACTGTCCTTGAGCTGTGGATCTGTCTTTCCAGTCCAGATACCATAAAGGAATCTCTGAGTTCTATGAGATTTTCTAGCTGATTGAATCTGAATTTACAGAGGAGGTTTTCATCTTGAACTTAACTGTAATGCTTAGAAAGGTTGCTATGCTCAGCTGAAGAAGTTGAAGTTACACGTTACGTGGAAGTTACATGTTATGTAGATTCATTGTTCTTTGAAATTGCACATAAATATCTTGGTGCTCAGGACTAGTCACTTATTCTGAAAAGTACTGCTGAGTTTAGCCTAGACAAGCTCAAGAGTACTTACTAGCAGGCACAAGATGCTCTGTCATAGATTCACAGGATGTTTTGTGTTGGAAGGGACCTTAAAGATCATCTAGTTCCAACCCCCCTGCCACGGGCAGAGACAGGTTGCTCAAAACCCCGTTCAGCCTGACCTAGAACACCTCCAGGGATGGGTTATCCACTACTCTGAGCAGCCTGTATCAGTGTCTCACCACCTTGTGCATAAATATTTGAATACAAAGGTGGTGCTTGACAGTCATCTTCTCTTGAAACCTCTAAGGAGGCTTGTGATTAACAGATGTCTGTAGTTAATGTCCTTTAAGTAAAACAGAAACCCTTTTTGTTACAGTAATCTTCATACAGTAATCTTGGATAGCTTTGTCCCCAGACTAATTTCAAAAGTCAGATTGAATAAAACTACAGTAAGAGCACCTTGCTAGCTGATGCACTACAATATTCTACTTTTTGCAGATATTTCACTTGCCTTCCATTTTCTGCTCTCCTCATTAATTTGATAATTAATGCTGGGCTTGGATGTTACCTTATTAAGTGCTAATTTTTAGGAATGATTCAGAAGAGCATATACATTAAACCCCCCAAATCAAACAAAAACACCCACACCCCCAAAACATCCCTGTTCAGATATTCTACACGAACACACCTACAAAACATCTAAACAAAACCCAAAAATGTTTACTGTGAGGCCTGCCTCTTCTTGAAATGTCTCAGGAAGCTGGCCAGGAGTGTAATATGGATCCACTGGTGGCCAAAACATTCTGTTTCCTTGACTGTTGTGTGAGCATTTAATTTTCAGCCATTAAAGTGTTCTTAAAGTTTAGCAATTTTCTATAACGATTCAGAAATGTCATTTAATTATTTTTTTTTAACTTGTCTTTAACTTATAGACAATTCTTTTGTTTTATCACTAGTACCACTTTACAGCATAGAGAATTAGTAACATGAACTGACTTTGGACAGAGGTTATTAGAGATTGTTTCTGAGACAGCAATATTTCAAACTTCAGTGTATCTGCCATTCTCCATCTTGTTTGCTGCTTACTCCATTTGTGATTTGTACCTGTGTGTGCTCTAAGAGGGAAGTTGACTACTTAGGTCTAATGCATATTCTACTTCTGGTAAGATACAGTATTAGACTGGGCAATACAGCAGGAAAATGTAAACATGTTTATGGGCTTGTGTAATCCTGTGGGGTTTTCCAGCTGTATTATTTTTACTAGAACATTCCAGCTACCTAGAAAAACTAGCAAACTTGCTGCGTATGCTGGAAAGATGTTGTATGTGCTTCATTTAACATTAAATTTGTTAGATAAAATGACTGATGCTGGATTTTTGTTCTTGTTATGAAGCAGATATTTAGAGTGTAAAGTAGCTGTCCTGTAGTAGAGATCCTTTCCTGTGTGTGATCAACGAAATGAGCACCTTACAAGCCATATAATACCATGTTAGTAGTTTTGCCAGCAGAGCAGGAAGGGAAGAAGAGATGGTGTAGAGTCATACTTTCGGACTTGTTGAGAAAGTGGTCACTTCCTTATCCTCACCACCCCCCCCTCCCCAAAATATGGGCAGAATTCCAGAATTCTTTCCTTGTTGTTCTTGGAAGTAGCTGACCTGTTTTCAGTAGAGGTGCAATATATTCACATATATGCTTTATAGTTTTTCAGCATTCCTAGTTTTGTAGTTTGGTGTAATTTATAAACAATGGAAAAATGAATAATAGAATCATAAAATCATAGAATAGTTAGGGTTGGAAAGGACCTTAAGATCATCAAGTTCCAACCCCTCTGCCATGGGCAGGGACACCTCACTCTAAAACATATCACCCAAGGCCTTGTCCAACCTGGCCTTGAACACCGCCAGGGCTGAAGCATTCACAACCTCCCTGGGCAGCCTATTCCAGTGCCTCACCACACTAACAGGAAAGAATTTCTTCCTTATATCCAATCTAAACTTACCCGGTTTAAGTTTTAACCCATTACCCCTTGTCCTATCACTACAGTCCCTAATGAAGAGTCCCTCCGAAGCACCCCTGTAGGCCCCCTTCAGATACTGGAAGGCTGCTATGAGGTCTCCATGCAGCCTTCTCCAGGCTGAACAGCCCCAACTTTCTCAGCCTGTCTTCATATGGGAGGTGCTTCAGTCCCCTGATCACTCTTGTGACCCTCCTGTGGACTTGTTCCAACAGTTCCATGTCCTTTTGATGTTGAGGACACCAGAACTGCACACAATACTCCAAGTGAGGTCTCAGGAGAGCAGAATAAAGGGGCAGGATCACCTCCTTCGACCTGCTGGTCACACTCCTTTTGATGCAGCCCAGGGTACAGTGGCTTTCTGGGCTGCGAGCGCACACTGAAGCTGGCTCATGTTAATTTTCTCATCGACCAACACCCTCAAGTCCTTCACCGCAGGGCTGCCCTGGATCTCTTCTCTGCCCAACCTGTAGCTGTGCCTGGGATTGCTCCGACCCAGGGCTAGGACCTTGCACTTGGCATGGTTAAAGTTCATGAGGTTGGCATCAGCCCACCTCACAAGTGTGTCAAGGTCCCTCTGGATGGCATTCCTTCCCTCCAGCGTATCAACCGAACCACACAGCTTGGTGTCGTCGGCAAACTTGCTGGGGGCGCACTCAAACCCACTGTCCATGTCAGCAATGAAGATGTTAAACAAGATCACTCCCAACACTGATCCCTGAGGGACACCACTCGTTACAGGTCTCCAGCTGGACATTGAGCCATTGAGCATAACTCTTTGTGTGTGCCCATCCAGCCAATTCTTTATCCGCCGAGTGGTCCATTCATCAAACTGATGTCTCTCCAATTCAGAGACAAGGATGTTGTGTGGGACAGTGTCGAACGCTTTACACAAATCCAGGTGGATGACATCAACTGCTCTACCCCTGTCCATCAGTTCTGTAGCCCCATCATAGAAGGCCACCAAATTGGTCAGGCAGAATTTCCCATTAGTGAAGCCATGCTGGCTGTCACCAAGCACCTTGTTGTTTTTCATTTGCCTTAGCATGCTTTCCAGGAGAATCTGCGCCAAGATTTTTCCAGGCACAGAGGTGAGGCTGACTGGTCTGTAATTCCCCAGGTCATCCATTTTCCCCTTCTTGAAAATGGGGGTTATATTTCCCTTTTTTCAATTGTCGGGAACTTCACCTGACTGCCATGATTATTCAAATATGATGGACAGCAGCTTAGCAACTTCATTCGCTAGCTCCTTCAGGACCCACACATGGATTTCATCAGGACCCATGGACTTGTGCACGTTCAGATTTTTAAGATGGTCTCGAACCAATTCCTCTCCTACAGTGGGCCCAGCGTCTGCCTTCCATGACTTGGGTGGTGCGGTCAGAGCCTTTGCTAGAGAAGACCAAAGCAAAGAAGTCATTCAGAACCTCAGCCTTCTCCAAATGCTGTGTAGCTAGTTCACCCGAGAGCTTCCTGAGGGGTCTACGTTCTCCCTGGTCTATTTTTTATTTGCTATGTACCTGTAGATTCCCTTCCTGTTATCCTTAATATCCCTAGCCAAGTTTAGTTCTAACTGGGCCTTAGCTTTCCTAACCTGGTCCCTAGCTTCCTGGACGACATCCCTGTACCCTTCCCAGGCCACCTGTCCTTGCTTCCACTTTCTATAAGACTCTTTTTCATTCCAGTTTTCCTCATCAGCTCCTTATCCATCCAAGCAGGTCTCCTGGCCCTCCTGCTGCACTTCCTTCTAATTGGGATGCAACACTCCTGAGCTTGTAGCAGGTGATCCTTGAAGACCAACCAAGAGTCTTGGGCCCCCCTGCCCTCTAGGGCTATATTCCATGGAGCCTTACTAAGCAGGTTCCTGAAGAGGCCAAAATCTGCTCCCTTGAAGTCTAGGGCAGTACGCTTGCTGCATGCTCTTCTCACTGTCCTAAGGATCTCAAATTCGACCATCTCGTGGTCGCTGCATCCAAGGCTGCCCTGCAGTGCCACGTTTCCAAAGAGCCCTTCCCTGTTGGTGAGCACGAGGTCAAGCATGGCACCTTTCCTTGTCGGTTCCTCTATTACTTGCAGAAGGAAGTTGTCTTCCACACAATCGAGGAACCTCCTGGACTGTTTGTGACGGGCTGTACCATCATTCCAACAGGTGTCAGGGTTGTTGAAGTCACCCATGAGAGCGAGGGCCTGTGAGCATGAGGCTTTTCCTGTCTGCCTATAGAGTGCTTCATCCACAGATTCCTCTTGATCAGGCAGTTTGGTTCTATTTCATTTATTTCTGTAGGGTTTATATGATGGACTGGGAAATCTTTACAGAATGGCTCTACTAAAAGAAAACATTAAGTCTTTGGAGAAGCATAAACACGTAAGACTCTCAGAAAATTAGAATTCAGTTGTGTTACAGTTTACAATAGCCCTCACAGGTGAACACTAAATGCTTTTGCAGTTAAATTGTGCAGTAAGCTCTTAAGTTTTATACGGTGGAGAGTGCTTTAATAACTTCTATGGGGACAAAGGAGTATTATGCTTTTGATGAGAGAGGAGATCCTAGCATAAAACAGCATGTTGTCAGAATGGTAAGATCTCTCTTTAGACAAACTAGAACTCTCATAGAGTCTAACCGTAATGAGAATAAATTAGACGGAAGCAGAGAACAGTGTCTGGATGTATGTTGATATAAACTGCAGTCTACATCTTTTTCTTACAGATTGTCATACTGAAGGGCAGAATATCCTTTTCACTGATGGAGAATATATTAACCAAATAGCAGCATCTAAAGATGTAAGTCTTACATGTATTGGGTAAACTACTTTTCTCTGAATGGAACTGGTTTTTTTTTACAATGCTTACAGCTTCCTGTTTGCTTCTTGTTTGGCTTCTTCTTCACTGACGCTGAAATCCATGTATCTAGATCACTAGTGAGAAACTGCCACATTTGTGCTTAAAGGAGCAGTAGTTTGGTATCTATCCACACAATTTTGATTTTTGGTAGATTTTTCAGGTATTTTTCTATTTTCCAGATAAGTTTTCAGGAAAAAAAATGTTGCTCTTCCTGAGGAAAATAATCCTATGTGGAATAGTGTTTGCTTAACATGTTATTGTTCAGGGCCTCTATGGGATAAGCTTCTTAGAGCTTAATTTTTTTTTTTTTTCTAATTTAATTCCCTGTAATTGCTTTGGTACCTGTTGGGGAATTTCAGCCAGATTTAATACAAGAGATACGAAAGATACCATGTTCCAGTAGAATTTTTTTTTATATGAAAATTGCCTATTGGCCAAAGCTGTAGAACTAACTAAATGTTTCTAGTAGGGGCAAAACCAGTTTTAGCTGTTCTCTGTTTTCTTAAGCAGACAGTTATTATGTTCTTAATTCTGGACAGGTCCTTGTTTTTAGAGAAAGCTGTAAAACAGGTATGGGGTGAGACAGGGTTGTCAAGAGATGCCAGATGTGCATCTGGAAGGAAACCAGGATCAATCGATTTTCATGCTAACAGAACAATTGTGTTTTTTTTTAACATGGCCAGAATTTTGGGCTCTGAATTAGGAGGATTAGAGGGCTTAAAATATAGGTGTAAATACTTGCAAAAGCAAGATTTCTGTATTAAAATTCAAAGTTAATTATTTCTATAGCAATTTACTATTCTCTTAGTGTTCATAGTATTTTTTTAGAAGCCAATATATATAATATGTTTAAGGTCTGTTCAGCTCATCCTGTTTGGCATTTTCTTCTTTTCTCCTCTATAATAAATGTTACTTTATCAATGTGTCCTCTAATAACTTAGTTTGAAATAGCATTATATGGATGTCCTTAGGCCATGAAAAGTAAATTAATGCATTTATTCCACAGTATAAAGTAGATTTTTACAAAATTACTTATTTATTTATTGCAGGATGGCTTTGTAGTGCGAATATTTGCAACAAGTACTGAGCCAGTACTGCAACAAGAACTGCAGCTTAAGCTTGCTAGAAAATGCTTACATGCATGTGGCATCTCCTTATTTGATCTGGAGAAAGACCTGCACATTATCAGTAAGTCCACTTTGAAGGTCAATAACAAGCCCAGTAATTCAAATAATAAAACTGAAACACTGTCCTTGCCTTTGTTTGGATTTATTACGTGCAAGAAGGTGTAGCTCAGTTATAAACATGTGGAGAAGTACAAGGGTTTTGAAAGTGCTTATTTGACTCATAGTAATCCATATGCCCAGTCTGAACTACCTTTTTGTCTATAGCACTATCCATGGTTTTCCAGTGGTTTTTCTAGTTCTGTAATAAATACAATATTATTTGAAGCTTGGACTTCATAGTAGCACTCCTATAACAGGTATTTAAGCTACAGAGCTCTTTGCTGTGGGTCAAAGTTAACGAAAGTTGAAAGGACTGCTGGCTGGATTAATGGAAAAGAAATGCACTAAAAAATACTAAATACATGGAAATTAATTCTTTGCATCAGAATTTCAGTCGCAAAATTCTTGTTGTCTGTGAAGGTAATTTGAAGAAATATCAGTTGGCTTTTGCTTTGGGGTTTTTTGTTTGCTTTTTTTTTTTTTTTTCCCTGTTAGCTGTCTGTTCTTGGCACTATCAGAACAAATGCATCTTTGATACATGGAGCTTTTGTCTGACCAGTTTTTCTTATGCTAGTCCTTTTCCTCTTTGAACAACTCTGTCAGGTCTATCCCAGTAAGCCGTCTTGTGGCAGCAAAACTTTGTTTTGCTTGTGACTTTCTTAGAACCTTCATTATGAGATGTTCTCCCTGGCAGATTTAGGTCTGTAAACTGGTCTGTGAAAGTGCCTGTCTAAACTGTTCAGTTAACGCAGTCTTACTTGCACAGGTACAGGGTTTGATGAGGAATCAGCTGTCCTTGGTGCTGGAAGAGAGTTTGCTCTAATGAAAACCGCTAGTGGAAAGGTACTGAAAATGTTCCGTAGTAAAGAACAAATTGCATCAATGTATTTCTAAGTGCTTTTTAATTTATTTTCCCCAATTCCTTTCTTGCCTTTCTAGTATGTTCGAGTGAATTTATATGACTGTATTTAAAAACATTTTTGGATCCCTTGTTAAAGGGAAAAAGACAAATGGTTATTTGAAAGCATAAACAGATGGTGTTGGAAACATTGAGAAATCTGTGGCTTGGGTTTATAGAAATTGCTGTAGCCGATCTCACTTAGAGACAGTATGAGGCTCTGTTTTAGATTTGAAGGGTAGAATTACCTTTTGTCTACAATTGATGTACATTTGCAGAATTTTTTACCTCATAACTTTGCGTAAATCTAATCTGTAATTTGTTTAAATCCCAGCCTGATTTTTCTGGTACCTCAAAGAATTATTGACTTCCCCTATGCAAAGTTTTTTAATTCATTCCTTTAAACTTCTTTGGAACGGTTTCATATGTTGGTTCTGCTCAGTGGAGACTGTATTTCAGAGGCATTTGAATATTCATTGAAATGTAAAAATAATTTTGCTTTCTGTCACTATGACTTTTTACATGATTTACTGTGTTTCTATTTTAGTTTGGGAAACTAATGTTATTTAACTTATATGAGCATAGTTCTTTGTTTGCCTGTGTTCATAATTGGGGGGGGTTTATTGGAATAAAGGCCTTGCTCTGCTGCTTTCAAAACAGTGCGAGTGCTGAAAATGTTTGTAAATAAACATAACCATTGTTTTCTTAATAAAATTTAATGGCATGGAGCAGCATTTGACCAAGCACAACTCTTTAGACATCAGAGAAGACAGATTAGTTTGATCTTCAGACTAACAAATGCCTCTTCAATATAAAATAAACAAATTCCTAGTTTTGATACCTAAAGTTCTGTGTCTAGGTATGAAATACACTTTATAAAACAATAAAAATGGCTCTAAGTGCCCACATAGGTTAACATCCATTTTATAGTACTATTGAGAAGCATGGTTGTAGAGGAAACTTTTTGGTCCATATTAGTAGTTTTGTTTGTTGATGTGGAATATTTTATTCTGTGTTATGTACTCTGTGGCCACTGTGAATTTACTGAAAATAAGTTTTAAAAATGTGTTGAAGCATATTCACGGTTGTAGCAATTTGGTATTTTATTTTTTTTTATTATCATGGTACCATTTTGGTTTTGCACAAACCAGACATTTTTCTGAAGCCTTCTAAATGCTTAGTTTTCTCTAGGTAGTTTCTCCTGAGCAATTCTTTCTTTTGTGTTTAATTCGTCTAGCCAAACAATTATATATGAAAACTAACTATGGCACAGTAGAAAGCACATTTTAAAACAAGCAGAAAGTAATCAGAATGTTTCCCCCATTAAGGCGAAATTCACGGATTTAGGGTAGAGGTACTGAAATGACAAGATTTAAAAACAGTGCAACTTGAAAAATTATGCAAGTTTTAAGTGCTGTGGCATAACTGAAAATGATAAACTGTTTTCTTCTAGATTTATTATACTGGTAAATATCAAAGCCTTGGTATCAAACAAGGTGGTCCTTCAGCAGGAAAATGGGTGGAACTCCCAATCACAAAATCTCCAAAGATTATTCAGTTCTCTGTTGGACATGACGGCTCACATGCCTTACTTGTTGCTGAAGATGGGAGCATATTCTTCACGGGTTCTGCTAGTAAAGGAGAGGATGGCGAATCAAGTACGTATTATGTTTGCTAGACTAATGGTTGATAAAAGCCTATTAACCACCTTTTAAGTTGAAAATAAAGGGTTTAATTAACATTTTCCAAGAACAGATAAGCATGCCACTGGGTTTGAATTTTATGTGAGCCCCAGGTCCTGACTACCAGTGCCACCATGTCGCCCAGCAAGAGTTGCTGATCTCACTTTTACTACAGTTTGGATTATGTGATGGGAGTGCTATTTTAGAGTTGTCCTGAGAAAAGGCAGTCGTAAGCGTGGTCAAGAGGCCATGCTGTCTGCCTGGGGCTTTGAAATACTGAAGAGCCAAACTTTTGCCTCTTCACAGTTCTTTTAGAGAACTTTGGAAATGGGTGTTTTGCCAGTTGATCATAGAATCATAGAATAGTTAGGGTTGCAAAGGACCTTAAGGTCATCAAGTTCCAACCCCCCTGCCATGGGCAGGGACACCTCGCTCTAAACTGTATCACCCAAGGCCTTGTCCATCCTGGCCTTGAACACTGCTAGGGATGGAGCATTCGCAACTTCCCTGGGCAGCCTATTCCAGTTCCTATTCCTCCTTATATCCAATCTAAACTTCCCCCGTTTAAGTTTGAACCCATTACCCCTTGTCCTATCACTACAGTCCCTAATGAAGAGTCCCTCCCAGCATCCCTATAGGCCCCCTTCCATAATGGAGAAGTACATTGATTAGAAATGGTAGAAGCATGTTCTTCTATCTTCAAGCAGAACTTTTCAGACATTAGAGAAGACAGATTAATTCGATTAACTGCACTAATGTATTCCGCAGGAATGTGCAGGGTTTCCAATGTAATGTGACTAAAATACAGTGATACATATGGAGTGGATTCTTGAATGTATTCAGGGGAAGGAAGTTAGTAGTACTAGTAGTACTTTTACACACCTGTGTAAAAGTATTTGGATAACAAACTTGGTATGTGCTGTAGTAACTTTGTGGAGTCTTCGTAAATGCAGATCTACTTAAACATGTGTGGGACAGAATCATGCTACTTTCTCCAGTAGATGTAAAGGAAATTTAAGAGGTTGAAAGAAAAAGATTGCAGGAAATACACTTACAGGCACAAATTTCAATATTTCTTTGAGGCGTTATTGGGAAGTTAGCCAAAACACAATCGGATTGATTATTTTTGTTGGTATTTAATTAAGCTACAACTTCAGATGAAACAGAAGTTTAACACTTTGAAGTAAATTGCTGTCACTGCTTTTGTTTGAACTAACAAAATTCAGATGAGAAGATTTAGTGCTTTACCGGATCTTCTTACTGAAAAGTCCATTCGAGAAACTGATCAAGGTCTTCCTGAGTTCTTTTGAAAGTGCAGCTCTCTTCTGACTTACCCAGTTCTCTTACCCACTCTGAGCCAAATTAAGAAGTGACAATGCACAGCTTTTATTTTTTTCCCCCTATTTCTTTTAAATTTGTGTTGGGAGACAAGGGTGTGTGTGTGTTCTTTGTAGAAAGTTAGTACTTTCATCAAGTGAAAGTAGTTGACAGTTCTCTCACTTGCATGAAAATTCGCAGGCAGTAATGGCAGCTGTGAGTGGTTCTATCCAGTCTTCAGCTATGTTGTCACTGTTTCATTTGAGGACAGATTGCAAACAATAATATTGGGGTGAGTTGGGGGGGGGTTAGTACTTTTTCCTCCTTTTTTTTCTCTTGTGGGAATATGTTGTGACTGAAAGTCTTCGAATCGGGGTTTTAATAAATAGAAGATTTAGTATGTTCTTAAAAAAACAAAAAAAAAAAGAGAAGAACTTGTGTCACATTTCTTTGTGGATTTATTGTACATATATTGCCATACATACTCTCCTCAGTTGGCAATGAGGACTTTTTTAATATGCTCTGCTTTGTGAAGTTCACAAAGGTAGTTCAGTATATGTGTGTGTGTGTACATGTATATAAAAAGAAAACCTTCAAGAGTCATTCCTGAAAGTTACCTATCTAATGATGACTTCATTTGCCATAAGATTTTTTGAGAGAAACCAGTATAATTCAATAAAAATTAGACCAGGAGATCATATAGATGGAATTATTATTTATTTTTTTTTCTTTTTTGGTCAGTGGCAATCCAAAAACTAACCCCTAATTAAAAACAACAGAAAAAAGAAAAAAGTTACTGTGGCTTTGAAAGTTTGGGTTTTTTTGGGTTTGGGTTTGTTGGTTTGTTTGTTGTTTTTTTTTGTGTAGAATGACTTGTAATTTATCTATTTATTTAAAGCTAAAAGCAGACGGCAGTCAAAACCATACAAACCTAAAAAAATCATTAAAATGGAAGGAAAGATTGTCATATCTACAGCGTGCAATAATGGCAGCAGTTCTGTAATTTCAAAAGATGGAGAACTCTACATGTTTGGAAAAGATGCCATTTACTCTGATAGTACAAGTAAGTTAATATTTGTTTTTAAAGTGATTTCTCAACTGTGATAATTAAGTCTGGAACATTTTAGCCTGTGGAAGTTTGTGTGTTTCTTACTCTCCTAATAGAATTTTCTAATTTCTGCTGATTCAGCTAAGTATGACAGAAGGATAGAAAGGGAAGAGTTTCATTAGATTCTGTAAAAATGTATAATAGCACTGGTGACAAATACCTGAATGAATGCTTCCACTAAGAAGAAAAAATAAAAACAGATAATTTCTTGTATTAATCTGACACTAAAAGGCCACACAGGGAAATGTCACAGAAATGAGATGTTATGAAAAAAGGCTGTAGGAAACCAAGCCGTATACATTGCTCACAAGACAGACTGGTTTGACTTCACAGGTGATCCAGTACATCTCAACTGAAATGAAATATTAAAGAAATAAATTGCAGTGGTATTATGAGAAGTTAAGAACTGTTTTTCAGAACAAGTGATTTGCAGCAGCGTTTGCTTTGGCTTTCCTTCCTTTGCAGGACAAATGGTCTAGGCCTAATTCTGCTTTTACTTTTTATTCTAGCACTTGTTTTTTGTAATTGCTGGTTTTCTTCCTTGACATTGATCTAAGAATTTGGAGTATCCACCAGCAATTTTGTTACAGAATCGTAGAATAGTTAGGGTTGGAAAGGACCTTACGATCATCAAGTTCCAACCCGCCTGCCATGGGCAGGGACACCTCGCACTAAACCATATCACCCAAGGCTTCGTCCAACCTGACCTTGAACACTGCCAGGGATGGAGCATTCACAGCCTCCCTGAGCAACCTATTGCAGTGCCTCAGCACCCTAACAGGAAAGAATTTCCTCCTTATATCCAGTCTAAACTTTCCGTTTAAATTTTAACCCATTACCCCTTGTCCTATCACTACAGTCCCTAATGAAAAGTCCCTCCCCAGCGTCCCTATAGGCCCCAAATAATCAGTGAAGTTTGTTTCTTACATAGAAAATGCAGTTTATCACTCAAATTTTTAATGTCTTACAGGTTTAGTCACAGATTTGAAAGGCCATTTTGTGACTCAAGTAGCCATGGGCAAAGCTCACACCTGTGTGTTAATGAAGAACGGAGAAGTTTGGACATTTGGAGTGAATAATAAAGGACAGTGTGGACGAGACACAGGCTCCATGAGCCAGGGAGGAAAAGGTAAGAGACCTAGATTTTTACTTTTGTTTGCTGGAAAAGGTTGCAACTGAAACTATAGCTAAGCATTTTATTATAATTCCAATACTAAAGCTTAAGTATATGCAGCATGCTTTATGCTTAAAAGAAACAACAAACAGGTATGGATGCTTTCACTTTAAGTGTTGGCTATGTAGTGTTTTGCACATACTTAGTTACATTTAAAAAACAAAGTTCAATTACTCTTCTTTAGTGGGTGAAAAAGCTTTTCTGTTAAAAAAAAAGAAAAAAGAAAAAAAGAATTAAACCAAAACTCATCACTTCTTGTCTAGCTATGTGCCATTTTCCTAGTAAGAAAAAATTTTCTAAGTGCAAACAGCATTTAGTCTTGAGGCTTTTTTGCCTAAAGAGGCATAAATGCAAGTCTACATCTTTGTCTACACAAGTGAACTTTCCCATTACTCCTAAGTATAGGTATAAAAAATCATACTGATTCACCTTTGCCTGATTGGAGTATTTTATATATGACAAGTAAATGACCTGTTACTTGCATACCGAATATAAATGCTTAATTTCCCTCTTATTTGTAAAACCTGGCTATATACCATGCCCATGCTCTGAGAAGTTTCAGAAATATTGTGCTGGCAGAGTGCAAATCAGGCATGCTTAGCCATTTCTTTTAAAACCTGGTCTGTTGGTGTTTGTCATGGCTTCCTCAGTAGCTAATGTTGGCCACACAAAAACAGCTGTTTCTTGTTTCAATATCTTAATTAGGTTTTGGAGTTGAGAACATGGCAACAGCAATGGATGAAGACCTAGAAGAAGAGCTGGATGAAAAAGATGAGAAGTCTATGATGTGTCCTCCAGGCATGCATAAATGGAAGCTGGAGCAGTGTATGGTGTGCACTGTATGTGGAGATTGCACAGGCTATGGAGCTAGCTGTGTTAGTAGTGGGCGTCCTGACAGAGTACCTGGAGGGTAAGGAAACATACAGAAATACACTTGCTATAGTATGTGGAATGTAAACTGAGTTGATGTATTCTTAAGCTTCAGTCTGAGGTGAAATCATATCTAAAAAGAAGCTGCGCTTTTAAAATCACAAGTAGGCTAAAATTTTTCTAAATATCTTGATGGTTGTAGGGGATTTAGTTTTAAACACATTTCTTTACATTTCTTTAGCCTATAGGTCATTATTAGGAGCTATTGAATATGAGCACCAGTATAATCTTTCTCGTGACAGAGCTGCTGGCTTTGGCATAACCCTCTTAATCCTATGATGGAAGCTTTTTTATCTTGCTTTTCTAGTTGCTTTTATCTGTCACCTCAGGGTTGAGCTGCATAAAGAGCCACTGCTTTACATATTGCCATTACTATTACTTCAGCATTGCATGTTTTGCATGTTTGCATCTTATGTTTTCATGTGGTTTATGTTTGATTGAATGGAGAAAAGATAATGCTGAGGAGTCAGTTCAGATATGTATGGTCAGTGTGTGCGCCCTGGCACCATACAACAGCAACTAGGTTTTAAACTGCTGTGCTTTCTGTTTATCTTGGGAAAATGACATATCCACAGTAGAACAAACTAATAATGTATGTTTTAGTTACCAAGGCATCGGTAATGCATGAAAATAAAAGATAGTGATGAAGCAACTCTCTTTGCTGCAGAATCTGTGGCTGTGGCTCAGGTGAGTCGGGCTGTGCTGTATGTGGCTGCTGCAAGGCGTGTGCTAGAGAACTGGATGGCCAGGAAGCAAGGCAACGAGGAATCCTTGATGCTGTAAAAGAGATGATACCTTTAGATCTCTTGCTGGGTAAGTGATACAAAATTAGCAAGATTACTTTTAATTTTCTTTCTTACTATACTTTTTTTTTTCCCCCTCAGTACATTTGTTTATACTCTTCAATAGACTCAATCCCACTGCTGACTTCTGAAACATGATTTGGAATAACACGTTAGTTTAGAAATAGGTTTGTTCTCTTCAGTTAGGATTTTGATTCTTTTCTATGATAAAGCTATCTTAAATAATCCAGTTTTTTCTTTCCAGTAAAATTACTGAGATTTTAGGATTACAGGACAGTGTTAGTATAAATTGTTGAAATGGATAAAATATTTCTTACCAAAGAGATCTGTTTATTGGTGATATAGCAAAGTGACATCATACTGGTAAGTGAAGTATTTTAAACTTGCCCTTCCTTGTAGACATGTGCCATTTTGATCTGTGTGGTTATGATACTAATGCTGATACTATGAAGTTGTTCTTGTCCTGTTTTGATAGCCTGAAAATTTTACTGTAATCCTTTTATCAGAGTTTTTTTGAAGTTACATAAAAGATTAGGAATATTGTTTCATGCAGATGCTTTCTTTTTTAGTCTTAGAAATTTTCAGAGTGAAAAAGCTGCCAGGAATGTGAAAATTGCTTTAAAAAAAGAACCCAAAACACCTTCCACCCCAGCTCGTCTCCCCAAAAATACCCATCTTAGAGGAAAAGATACCACTTGGTATGATTATTGGAAACTAGAGTTTGGGATCTTTCCTTGTAAGGTCTATCATCACAGCATTTTTAATACTGTATTCTTGGTGCTGGGCAATTACAGGTGTTTGGAGATCCGACTTTCCTCCTTCTTTTTCTTTTTTTTGGTAATGTTTAGATTTACATAGAGCCCTTAATCCTGCATGGATGTATGGATATAGTATCTGGTATAGAAAAGGACCATAAAACAGTCAGATATGTGACTTAAAGTATTTATACCACGAATTTACCGTGGGGGTTGTGAGGGAATAGAAAATTAGATTCTACTACTTAGTGTGGGATTTTTGGTGGGTTTTTTCCCCAAAAGATTAAGCCAAAGTTAAATGGAAACTGGAAGTGTTTCTCTTGGTAAGTTAACACTCAAGACCCCAAATAGCCTCAGTGTGCAGTCGTGATACTTCCATACAAGTATTTCTAACTATAATTTGGTTGTGTATGACTATCATAGATTTATCTTGATGGTGACTGTGGCAATACCAGCTCTGCTTCACAGCTCTAGTCTCATGCATGACCAGAGAGGAGTTCTGTTTTTTTGGTAACCTCTGCTTTGCTAACTCCTCTCTTAATGGGGTAGACAACAGCTCTGATCCTCTGTTGGGCTGGGGGTAGATTGAGGTGAAGGCAATGACCACATTTGTCTGGAGAAAAAAAGCAGTGCTTCAGATGGAGTTTTTGTTTGATATTGGAATAAGGTATATATTTTTTTAGGAAGTAGCCACTTGCTGAAAAAAACACTGGAAAAAAGGTTTTTCTTTTACTAGTAGTTTTATTGTTGTGTTCTTTCAAGTCGTGTTTTCTGTTTTAAAAATGTGATTTCTCAGTTTGCTTCAAATTCCTATTAGTTGGCTAGTTTGGTAAGTCTGATTATAGACCGACATACATGTGCATTGAAGTAATTGCATACTTTTTTGGTAAGCACAAAGCATATAGTTATATAGCATTCTAAAACAAAAAAATACCTGATCTATTTAAAACGTTTTTAAAATATAACAAAGTTTGTGCTTGTTTTAATAATTCTCCATTCTGAAACTTTTTTTTGGAAAATTCAGATAACTGTGACAGCTCATAACTAAATGTAAATACATACCTAATAGAAAAAAAATACTAAATACTGTTTAAGTGTTGTTGGAATTGGGGCAGGTTCATGAAAACCAGGCAGTTTGGACATGAGGCCTAAAACTCTTTTCCAGATTTACTCAACTCCTTTCTTTATTTCTAAATACCGTCACACCATGTGAAGAGTAGGAAATAATTAGGCTTTGGTTTTCATTTACTCTCACTCCGTCTAGGGTTTATTACCATCATAACAGTTGTTAGAAATAGGTTTATGTATTTTATTTTGTTAATCTACATAGCTGTCCCTGTTCCTGGAGTAAATATTGAAGAACACCTTCAGTTACGGCAAGAAGAAAAGCGGCAGCGTGTAAATAGGAGACATAGGTTGGAAGAAGGAAGAGGTAAGTGGCTTTCTTACTGATGAGAGGCTTGAATAGTTCAAGCAAACTTCTTAGTCTGTTTTCAGAGAATGGCAGTTAATTAGTTTTGCTCTGGTGAGCCAATACAGTAACCAACCAGAAACTGAAACCCTAAATAGCTAGTTTATTTAGCATGCTTTTGGAAAACTGTGAAAAATTTCCGTGTCTACTCATAAGAATCAGAATTTTAATGTAAAGAATAGCATTTTTGTATCACTTTCATATAGTCGACTTTTTTTGTTTCCCAGCTGAGTAATAGTCATCTAAAATGTAGATGCTAAAGCATATTTTCAACTGAAGTGTTTATATGCCTTTTTATACAAAGAATTTGAATGACTGCAAGCCTGTCCAGTGCTAGTTACCTGTAATACACATTATTTAATTACTGTTCTAAATTACTGAATTTCTGTTGTATAATAGTAAGCAGAATTTCTTGATTTATAAAGTGAACTTCTCAATATTTGAATAGCATAAAAAAAAGACACACTGACTGAGTTATAACCAAACAAGAAAACACTGCATAGTTTCAACATTTTTTTACCTTGTGTATTATTTGCCTCAGGAATTGTTGTTGATTTTCCACAAGAAATATGTTGCTGTTACATTCCTTAACAGGTTTTCAGCACTCTCTTTAAAATACCTCAGTGTCTTAGCCTAGTAAATAAAGTTGAGTGGTTTAGACTGATACAAATCATAATACTTTAGTGAAGCATGAGGATGTGGTTAGTAAGATTAGTGTGTGTTGAGAAGAAGGTCAACTTTATTGGGATGTTACGCTTTTCAAGTTCCTGCTGTGTTAGTAAAATACCATTTTGTGTTAGTAAAATACCATTTTGATTCTTCTTTTAGGAATTAGATAACTGGTTTTAGTCAGATACAAAATGCTCATTGTAATCAAACCCGGCTCCTTTACAGGATGCCAGTGAACCTTGTGAGGCGAACTGTGACTTTATTTCACTTGCATGTAAGAAGTTACTGGTCTTGTCACAAACAAGGAGCAACAGGAAAGTTTAAGATTATTGTGTCCTGTGCATATGGAAAAGGATGTTTGGAGGGTTTTTTTCCTTCAATCTTCGTGGTTAATTTTAGCTGTGAGGTAAAGAAGGGAAGCCTTTTCTTCTTCCTTCGTCTAGGTCATGTTGGAGCTGCATTGCATACTGCTGGCAAATACTAGGTACAGCTAGCAGTCATTTTTTTTTTTTTTTTAATCCTCACTGAATGTCTGGACATTACTGAAGCTGCTGCCGTTCAGCCCAAGAAGACAATGATGGCAGAGCCAAGAGGCAAATTTCAGTGGGGGGGGGAGGGGAAGCAACAGAGAAACATCCAGTTTTGCTTCCATTATTGTGGTTAGAAGTAAAACCAGAGCAACTTACCTATTTTGTGTACCATCCGTCTTTTGGAAGCAAATAACTCCCCTCCCTCCACCCAGCCCCTCACACACACACACACACACACAAAGTTTTCTTTCTAACAGAGTCTCAGGGAATCAGTATCAGGAATATGTTGTTATTGTTGGCTTGATAGGTGTATAGGGACTATAGTTAAACAGATATTGCTAGTGAGCTTGTTGCACACATCCATTCTGTAGCAAAAGAACATTGAAACGTCATACCTTTATGGCTGCCGGAGCTAGTGGGGTGTGTCTGGGGGAAAGGGTTGGAGATTATTCTTCTGTTCTGCTTCAGAATGACTTACGTGATAAAGCTGAGGATAGATTTTCACAAACACTTAGAGATCTTGATTTACATAATCAGGTGTGAAAATTTGATTTGATAATTAATCTTGATTTACATAATCAGATGAAAAAAATGGACCTTTGTTGCTTCTCCATCCAAGTGCTGCAGTTTTCCATGAGCTGGTGTGAAGATAACACCATTCTTGAGGACTCTTACAATGCGGCTCTTCCTGAAGAGAGACCAAGAACATTTAAATAATTACTAGGTTTTCATTTTGCTATGCAAAAAAGGTTCTGCACCCTGAAAAAAGAAAAAAAAAGAAAAAGCAATCTGCATATTCTTTTTAACATTACTATAACTTAGCTTTCCCCAAAAACTAGTATTTATGCATAAGTAACTTAACAGAATGAAATAGCTGTTTAAAAATCCAAACAACTGTTTCAGCCTTTCACTTCTCTGCAAACATTGCTTAGACAGTGCAAGGCTAGATTAGCATTTTGAGAGTACACAGTGTTTTGTTTGTCAGGATTATGATGTCTGGGTTGTAGTGTGTTAATGTGTGGCTTGTTCTTGTACACTCGATTACTGAGGAACAAACTATGTGTAGTTTTTGATAGTCAGGAGTAGGATCCATCACTGAATGTTGCTGATCATTCTTCAGTTACAATTCGTGACCTTTATTTAACACAAATATTTTCAGTAGATCTTGAATGTTATGTGAACAAGAGGACTATGAAGGCTTTTTAAATAAATAGAGGAATATTTTATTTCTAAACCAAGCAGGCAAACAAAACAAAAAAATCATAAAGAAACCTCTCATTCCTTTTGCCACCAAATGTGTTGAAATATGAGTATAGTTTAGGACAGAGGCATGAAAGCACAACTGCTGGAAGTATACTAATTTCCACACTGCAGGCTTTTAGGTGGTCTAATTATTCGTGTGTTTTAGTCCTGTTCCAGTGACCTCTGATTTAAAAATACGTTCCAGTGGTCCACTTGAATTAAGGGAGAATGTGATGGTTATGTCTACAGGCTGCACAACCCCAGCTTTCTCAGCCTGTCTTCATACGGGAGGTGCTCCAGCCCCCTCCTCCAGCCATCCTCATGGCCATCCTCTGGACTTGTTCCAACAAATCCATGTCCTTTTTAGGTTGAGGACACCAGAACTGTACACAAGACTTCAAGTGAGGTCTCACAAGAGCAGAGTAGAGGGGCAGGATCACCTCCTTCGACCTGCTGGTCACACTCCTTTTGAGGCAGCCCAGGATACAGTTGCTTTCTCGGTTGCGAGCGCACACTGAAGCCGGCTCATGTTCACTTTCTCATCGACCAGCACCCCCAAGGCCTTCTCCGCAGGGCTGCTCTGAATCTCTTCTCTGCCCAACCTGTAGATGTGCCTGGGATTGCTCTGACCCTGGTGTAGGACCTTGCACTTGTCATGGTTAAACTTCCTAAGGCTGGCATCAACCCACCTCACAAGCGTGTCAAGGTCCCTCTGGATGCCATTCCTTCCCTCCAGCGTATCAACCAAACCACACAGCTTGGTGTCGTGGGCAAACTTGCTGAGGTCGCACTCAATCCCACTGTCCGTGTCAGCAACGAAGATGTTAAACAAGACCAGTTCCAACGCTGATCCCTGAGGGATACCCTTTGTTACTGGTCTCCAGCTGGACATTGAGCCGTTGACCACAGCCCTTTGAATATGGCCATCCAGCCAGTTCTCTATCCACCGAGTGGTCCATCCATCAAATTGATGTCTCTCCAATTTAGAGACAAGGATGTTGTGTGGGACAGTGTCGAATGCTTTGCACAAGTGCAGGTAGATGACGTCAACTGCTCTACCCCGTCCATCAGTTCTGTAGCCCCATCATAGAAGGCCGCCAAATTGGTCAGGCAGGATTTCCCCTTAGTGAAGCTATGCTGGCTGTCACCAAGCACCTTGTTGTTTTTCATGTGCCTTAGCATGCCTTTCAGGAGAATCTGCTCCAAGATTTTGCTAGGCACAGAGGTGAGACTGACTGTTCTGTAATTCCCTGGGTCATCCATTTTCCCCTTCTTGAAAATGGGGGTTATATTTCCCTTTTTCCAGTCGTTGGGAACTTCACCTGACTGCCATGATTATTCAAATATGATGGACAGTGGCTTAGCAACTTCATTCACCAGCTCCTTCAGGACCCACGGATGGATTTCATCAGGACCCATGGACTTGTGAATATTCAGGTTCTTAAGATGATCTCAAACCAGATCCTCTTCTACAGTGGGCCTAAGGTCTTCATTCTCACAGTCCCTGTGTCTGCCTTCCATGACTTGGGTGGTGTGGTCGGAGCATTTGCCAGTGAAGATAGGGGCAAAGAAGCCATTAAGAACCTCAGCCTTCTGCAAATCCAGTATAGCCAGTTCTCCTGATAGGTTCTGGAAAGAGCCTGCATTGTCCCTTGTCTGTCTTTTATTCACTATGTACCTATAGATTCCCTTCCTGTTATCTTTCGCATCCCTAGCCAAGTTTAATTCTTACTGGGCCTTAGCTTTCCTAACCTGGTCCCTAGCATTCCTGGACAACATCTCTGTATTCTTCCCAGGCCACCTGTCCTTGGCTTCCACCTTTTATAAGCCTATTTTTTTCATTTGAATTTTCCTCAGAGCTCCTTATCCATCCAAGGAGGTCTCCTGGCCCCCTCCTGCACTTCTTTCTAGTTGGGATGCAACACTCCTGAGCTTTCGGTAGGTGACCCTTGAATATCAATCAGCAGTCTTGGGCACCTCTGCCTTACTAAGCAGGTTCCTGAAGAGGCAAAAGTCTTCTCCCTTAAAGTCCGTGGCAGTGAGTTTGCTGCACGCTTTTCTCAGTCTCCTGAGGATCTCAAATTCAACCATCTCATAATTGCTGCATCCAAGGCTGCCCTGGAGCGCGACATTTCCAATGAGTCCTTCTCTGTTGGTGAGCACGAGGTCAAGCATGGCACCTCTCCTTGTCAGTTCCTCTATTACTTGCAGAAGGAAGTTGTCTTCCACACAATCGAGGAACCTCCTGGATTGCTTGTGCTGTGCTGTACCGCCACTCCCAACAGATATCAGGGCGGTTGAAGTCCCCCATGAGGAGCAAGGGCCTCTGAGCGTGAGGCTGTTCCTATCTGTCTATAGAGTGCTTCATCCACAGATTCCTCTTGATCAGGTGGCCTGTAACAGATCCCAACAGTAATGTCCCCCATAGCTATTCTCCCTTTTACCCTGACTCGCAAACTCTCTGTTAACTGGTCACCTGAAATGAGTCACAGCAGATTATATCACTTGCTATGATAGAATTGTAAGCAGTAAATAATTTTTATGTTTAGAATCAGTTATTTGTGTTGCTTCACTCTGGAAAAAAATTATTTGTGACAAATTAGATTTGTTAAAATTAACAGCAGCTAAAAGTGTTTCAGTTTGGGACAATAAAATTATAATTTCAAAAACCATGGGAGTTTCTTAATATTATTTATATTTCTTTGCTGTTTTCGGTGCAACAAGTATGTGCAGTGTCTTCAGGTGTTTTGCTTCTTTTCTGCCACAGTAATAGAGCTGCTTTACTCTGCTGCTTCTAGGTTAATGGCTGTGACAAGCAGTGAGGAGGGCTCAAAATCAGTGCCACATTTTTGAGTCTGATGTATGACCTTTTGAGAAATGAAGCCAGCTATATTCATCACAACTTCTATGCTAATTCATACTAGCTCAACATAATTATTGATGTATGCTTCTCAGTTTTCCACTGCCTCTGTTCTGGTGAGAAGTGAAGGAGCTGATGTACTATATGAAGAAATGTTTATTGTTTTTCAAGCTGTTTTAGGGCTTGATATGAGTAGTGGGAGCTGAGTGTGGGAGCAATTGCACTTTATTCAGTGCTTATGAGGAACTTTTGTATGTTAGAATGTTCAGAACATTTTATAAGCCTCTTTTTTCCCTGAGTTTCCTCAGAATATTCAGAACATTCTAACATACGTTATTTTTCCTTTCTAAGAAACACCTATTTTTTTTAGTCTTCAGTCCATTAAATTATGCTTTAATGGATTACAGAAATCCCTGGACTACATGTACAATTAATGTAATAAACCTAACTTGACCATTTACTGAGTGAGCTAATCTTGAAAGCTGTTCCTGTGACTTTTTCAGACTGACATTTGAAGTAACAGAATTTAGTAGTAGTCAAAAATTTCAGCCTACCATTTAGAAGATAACTTTTTCAGAAGGCTGGATAATGTGAAAATATATTTTTAAACAAAAAATATTTAGCTAATAAGCAAAAGATACTAATAAGGAAAGAAATAGCTCTTAAGATGGTGATAAATGGTCTGGTGCTTCACTGATATTTCACTACTTCTTTTTCTTAGTGTATGATGTAAAATCCTTTTTAGGTAATCGTCATTGAGATTACAGATTTGATCTGTAATTAACCAGAAAACCAAGGTTGAGCTTTTGATACCTTTACAGAAAGGGAAAATAATTTTCCATCAGTCTTACTCGGAACAACGAAAGAACCCACAGGAGATCTGTTAATTTCAATCAGAGGTGCTGTGTTTTGAGACTATTTAATCTAAGCCTGTTTGTATTTGGGCAGGTTTTTTATTCTGTTGTGTACCCAATTCACTTAATTTAGTAATGTAGGCTGAGTACCATATAAATCTGTTTAACATCTGCCCAAGCCACTATAAGCTTGGAATCAATTTGTCAGTAACACTGTTTTCTATCCATTGCTGAACATACACCTAAATATACAGCAGAACTATGTATTAAAATCCTTTTTTTTTCCATTAAATGTTAGTATAGCTTCTTTGTATACTTTCAGTTAAATATTTATTTGGATGCTTTTAGGATCCGGAGGTTATATTTCTTTCAGAGTACTTCAAACAAACCAAAGCTAAACAAAAAACACTGCACTTTTTACTTGAAGCAGTATCAAACCTGTACGTGACTTTTTTTAAGAATGCTTTCAAGAGAAAGCTACAGGTTTTTGTCCTTAATGGGCAACAGGTATGGTTCTGTGAAATTATGTTGTTGTACTTCAGTTTTTGGTTACTGAAGGTAAAACAAAAGCAAACTGTGACCCTTTACCATCAGAAGCAGTTCATAATTAACAAGGGGACGTACTCTTGGGATTCCAGATAAATATAGTTGAACCAAAACAAAAAAAATCTATGTGTGAAATGTACATGATTAATGAGGTTTGGGGGGCATTATGTTAGCTAATACATGTGCACACAGATGGATATATATGTATATAACAGATGTATGAATCTCAAAACTGCAGGACAGCAGTGGATTTAAAAAAAAAAACCACAAAAGAAATCATGCTTAAGATAATGCTCAAATTTGTGAACTGTGTGTGAAGACAAGTTTCTTCATCAGAGGTTTTTACAACTAGGTAAATTTGGCCTAACTTCCACTTAAATTTCTTTCCATTCTGTTTGCTATTAGTGAAGGAACTGAAGGTCTGAAGCTGACAGCAGGAAACCTGAGGCAGTGGACATTTATGTAAAGTTAGCCTATGGTAATTTGTTAATAAAGTTCAGCTATGGAAATAGACTGCCGGTGGTTTGGGGGAATGGGGAGGAATACTTGTTTTCAAAGTTTTGCATAAGCTATTTCTAACATAACACAAATATTGATTTGGGGTGTTTTGGGTGATTTGGTTTCTTTTTGTTGGGTTTGTCTGCTTGTGTTTTTTTCTGGGATTTGCACAGAGGCAGGGGAGAGGTATTGGACATCCATGTAAGGTCTGGGGGCCTGTGGAATGGCAAGTGGCACTTGGCAGATTTAGCTGGTCCTGATTCATGGTTTCTATTGAATATGAGACTTCTGGAAGAAGATGATGCCTCCAGAGAAATTCTTGGTGTCATGCTTATCATTCAAAATAGATGAAAAAAGACAGGTTTAAGGAAGAAATCGCTTGTGTATGATCTACATATAATCAGCCTCAATTAAACTTCATACAGCGCTGCTTGGGTCTAGATTTTAAAAAGAAAAAGTTGTCTAGAAAAAGGTTTAAATACGTACACCATTACTTTCTTCAAATACAAATCTTCTCTTGAAGATCTTCACATAGGTGGGTAATATTTTAAAATAAATAGACTTCAAAATTTACAGGTAATAAGGAAAAAGTAATGATTTGGATAATTATGATTTGAGTAATTTTCTTCACGAAACAGGTGCCTTTGGGTAGCTGTGTTCTTTATAAGTGATAACTCTGCATTTTAATTGTAGTAATTAAAACAAATGGTTATGGTTTTTAGATTTTTCATTGATATGATGAGACTGTTCCAAATCAGTATTTTGAATGTAATGTTGTAGGATGTAAGGCATGGTAATTTTTTATTTTTTTAACTGTTAAAGGCAGTAATAGGTATTTCCTGTAAAATTTGTACAATACTTACACTGGAGTAAAAGGCAAGGTTCTGGAGTACAGTTTTTCATTGCTTGGAGTTCAGTTCCATACTTACAAGTTCAAGTAGAACTGTTACTATGGGATATTTATTGTTTCTTTGCATAGTAAATGGCTTTATTACCAAGAAATGGCAACTTTTGTTTACTTAGTGTTCCTAATTTAGGAAAACAAGGTTATTATACAGTTATTATTCATTTGTTTCATTGCTTTTTATTTGATTTTTGTTTAACACACTGTTTCCATTTTGTGAGCTTTCCTATGCATGTGCAAAATGTTTCTCCTCAGGCCCCCTTGTATTTCCTGGTCCTATTTTTATGAACCATCGAGAACAGGCTCTAGCCAGAATCAGACCCCATCCAGCACAGCTAAAGCATAAACGGGACAAGCACAAAGGTATTTGGTCTTCCTTATTGGCTAGGGTGGAAACAAGCCCATCTTCCCAGTCACTTCTGTGCGCTGAATCTGTCTTCTCAAGGAACTGCACAAAATGGGTTCTGCCTTTCCTCTTGTTAGTATCTTGTTACCTGAGGAGAAAGAAACACATTTAAATGTTGACCTTTTCGTAAAGGTGTAAATGTTTGATAGTCTGCATCATCTTTTTTTTATTTTCTTTTCTTCCCACCCACCCCCCCCCCCCAAATATGCATTGTCTCTTTGTGTGTCTTTCCTCATTTCTAATGTTGCCTCATTCCTAAGGTTCTTTAATTTCACTGTGCGAAACTTAAACAGCTTCCAGTGACTTGGACTGCTGCATTACTTTTGCATTGGTTTTTTGAACCTTTGTGTTGTGTATCTGGGGTGATTGCTTTAATGTATCAATTCCAGACTTGTTAATTCTAGCACACAGTTTTTCACTGGCGTTATCTTTTAACCAGCCTCTTTTAGAAATTAAATATTTAAAAATATGTAAATAGCAACTTTTTTTTTTTTCACAAGCTTTGAATGGGCAAAATACAAATCAAAGTACAGATTTTATGTTACAATATTCTTGATTTAAATGTTCTTTTGCAAAACGTATGTAAGGATATTTCTGATGGTTTTGTATGTCTGGAAAGCCACTTCATTGTACCTTAGATTTCTAAAAGTGTAATTCGTTCAGATGTGATTCCTCCTCACCCCCAACTTAGGAAGACAGTACGTTAAAAAAAAAGATCAGCAGGGTTTATTAAAGTTGAGCTGTATCAAATCTGTCTGTAGTTTGTGTGTATCTCTATTTAGCCATGTCTGTATATATGTATATGTAAGGGATAAATATGTAAAATACTGATTATAGACCTGATCACAGTAAGCAGAAAGCTCCTAAAATGGTGAGGGCCTTGAAGTTTCAACTGTTTTCTGAAGAACAGCTAAGTATGAAAAGAATTCTTGGAATGCCATTTCAGTTGAAATAGCGGAAGTTAGTGGTAGTATTTGGCATGTATGCAAACAAACTGTGTGACAGCTTGAAGCTTTTTGGGATCTGTTTTCAGTGTGTGGGTGATAGGTTCTACCTAGTTATGAACATACTGGATCATGAAATCATCTTAACTTTACAGAAATTAAAGCAGAATCTAGTCCTTTCTATTTGCATAACATATGTTCAATCTGTTTGGAAAACTTATCATCTGAGGTTTAAATCTTGATGGATTAAATAGAATATCCTATTACAGTCTCCCTGGGACAGATTGAATGCTGAAAGACAGAACATACAGAACCTAAATGCTCTCATTTGAGTGACAGTTTGCTGATGACCAGTATTCTTGAGCTGGATACTACTGCTGGTTTTACTGCTTCCAAGCCCTTGAGCTTACAGGCAAATGCATAAAGCAGTATACTCATTCTGTGTATATCTGTATTTTTTTGGTATGTGTTAGTATTTTTTCAGCTTTCAGCTCAACTCTCCTTACGAGAGGTATATTTCTTAGTGTCAGTCTGAGGTTTACGTTGTTTCTTGGAGTTACAAGAACAATGTGAAGATCTGTATTGTGCTGAAAAATTTTGTCAGATATGCTCTGAAGAACTGAGCATTTATTTTTCGTTGAGGAAAGTGATATGAAAAGAAATGTTTATTTTAGTTCTTTGTGTCTCATGCTAAACACATAAGGAAGATTGTAACATCCTTACAAGTAAACTTTGACATCCTTCTCTGCCTCAGAAGACTCCTTCTCAAAAGACAGCCGTAAATTACACTAGAAACTAGAAATTCCCCTTAACTTCTGGAAGAGCTTCCAGGGGAAAAAGGGAAACTGGTGAAGTGGAATGTTACCAAAATAATGGGAAAGGTGGGAATTGTGAAAAAGACAAGTATACCTCATCTTAAAAGGCATGCCTTTTGCTATACACAGAATGCAAAAGCAGTTATCAAGCAATCTGAAACAGGGATGTTGACTACAGTAAAAGCACACTATGATGTTGAAATCAGCATGTTCTTTTGTTTTACTTTTGAATATGATGCTTTCTATACTGGCATTCTTACTTCAGATGTTTCTGCTAAAGTAGTCTTGTAACTCTTCACACCAACCAGACCTTCAAGATCTTTGGGCAGAGAAAATTTATTTTGACTGGTAGTATTGATGAGGCCAGTACCAAACTTGGTGGTACCTATTCCTGCTTCTCTAAAGCTGCAGAACTTCTCTGTAATGATATTTAAACTTGAATGTGAACAGCTCCTTCAGAGCTAACAATTGTGGCCTAATTAAGAGTGTATTTTATATGTATTTTTACATACTATCAAATTTACATGATTTTCATTTGTGGAATTCTTCTGTTGAATTGCTCGGTTGAAAACTCCTTCAACTTCATCAAAATACCCATTTTATGGAAAGCTTGTTATTGTCATCTTCTCGTTTCACACTTACAGGGCCTGTGTATCAAAATCCTTGTTATTATAAAAAATACTTATTAAGCATAATCATAAGCTTTCTGATCTATGTCTGTGCCTTCATTGTAGGTATAGATAGAAAGGAGTAGATACCACCTTCTTGGTATTCATGGAGTGCTTTGAGTACTAAGAAGAAAATGACCTTGTGCTTCCTCCTCAGTCTTCAATGAGCTAGTGAATTCCCAGTATACATCTCCAATCCCCATGGACTTCATCACTGGCAATCTGAGTAAAAAAAGATTAATGGAAGTCTATAATTTTCTCAGCTGTAGAAATGAACTGAATAGCAAGTAAAACCCAAAGTAAGCTCCTTGAATCTGTTAAGATTCTGCAAGCAAATACCACTTTTTTCCCTGTATTTGGGAAAACAGTGTTCTAAATAATATGAAACCCAGAACCCTCAAAAGGTTAAAGGCTACATGAAACTGAACCTGCACTGATGGAACAAGCCAGAAGTGAACCATTTTTTCAAATGTTAATACAAACTTATTACATGTTCAGTAAAATTTACTTGGAATTTACTTTTTAACTGTAAAATACTCCATCTGAAGTGTAGTTTGAAGCACTCATTGGAGAAAGACAGCTGACAATGAAAACTTGTGCCTAAGACTTAATAGAAATAAATGATACTGGAGTATGTCAGTATGTTCCATATTGGCATTTCCATAGTCCAGTAGTCCTGTTCTAAATGCAAAGTGTTCAAAAAAAAGTTAAAAATGCAACTAAAGGCGTATTGCTTAAGGCTTTTGCTCTTTGCTTGAGAAGATTGAAGTTGCACAAAAATGTTTCAGAGCCGCTGTTTTTTTGCTAGGTTTATATACACTGCCATTAATAAGGAGACATGTTAGGTACTTTTTTTGAATTTGAGACTTGAAGAATGTGAGAGTATGTCAGACCTCACAAGCATACATAATCAGCGTACTAACATCACAGCTGTTAACTAGTAACTTGGCTGATATGCCTTACTTAGGTAATTGCTGCTGAACTAAACAGAGATTTGTTGGCAAATTATGTGGTCTAAAGAGACAGTTATTGTAAGAATTATTTTTTTTGTGTGTGTATGATCATATTGCATTAAAAGTTTTCATCTTTGGAGAGAATTGGTATTTAATACCTTCAGAAGAACTTTCTCTCTTCTTCAGAGATGGTCAGTTAGAAGTGGAATACCATCACCCCCTCACTGCAACTCGGGAACACTAAGAAAATGTTTCCCTTTTGTTGTTGTTGCGGGGGGGGGGTTCCTTTCCCCACCCCCCCAGCAGAACTCTGATTTATAGTTTATGACTTTCCTTGCTGTTGAGACTGAACAAGCTCTTTCTTTGTTCCTTGAAAGCAGTTTTGGGTTTTTTTTCTCTCATTTCTCTAGGCTAGAGATGATGTGATTAAAGTCATACATGATATTTTTTTCATTGTAAAAATGCACTTTCTTTAGTGCTTTCCTTGCCCGCTCTCTACACAGGTATAAGTGTTTTAATGGTGATGAGCATGTTGTCTGTTTCTCTGTCATGTTGGTTTCCAGCTACTATTGGGAAACCACCTTCTTTTGTGACACTGTGACCATGCAGTTTAATTACAGTGTAATTGTTAGATGACTTAAATATTCTGATTTCTGGAGAAGATAGTGGTTTTAAGTAAGTTTATAAATTATACAATTCCTTGTCACTTTGGTGCTTAAATCTGATGTAAGAGCAGTTTGACTGTAAGAACTAATAATGCACTTCATATTAAAAGAATTCACAGAGGTGATGTCTAAAAGTGCATCTTTGATAGGAAACAGGCATGCTAGTAGTAAGCATGTTGACATTGTTAGAAATGAGCTGTGTTGTTAGTTACAAAAAACAAGGGCTATATGGCCAAGTTAGAGTCAAGTGAAATGCTTAACAAGAATTAAAAAAAACCAAACAACAAGCTGTGTTTATTGAGTTTAACTACAGGGCTTTCTGTCTACTTATCAAAGTGGTAGTCATTAAGCAAAACTTCTGAAGTTGTTTGAATTTCCGGTTTTGCTGGTCATTTTTGCCCACTCTTCAGAAGTTTCTGCTTTAGAGGTGATACTTTCCAATGTGTGACTTTGTAGTAGGTTGTTTAGAAGTAGGGGTTCTGTCGTCTTTTGCATCTAATTTGATACCACGTTTTGAGCTGTCTCTTTTACTCCTCTGCAAGCTCTTTCTCATGCCTTCCAAACAGCAGGGTGGGGAGTTACATTGTTCTATTTATTCTTCTAATATAACTCTTTTAGTTATAACAGAGGATATAACTAAGTTTTGTTTATAGACGGAAGTGGAGAGAGAGGTGAGAAGGATACCAGCAAAATCACAACGTATCCACCAGGGGCTGTCCGCTTTGACTGTGAACTGCGAGCTGTGCAAGTCAGTTGTGGATTTCATCATTCAGGTAAAAAAAAAAAAAAAAAAAAGTTAATTATAGAATAGGTTATTTTTTTTCCAAGTTTTCACATGTGTCTTCCCATGCGTTTTCACTGCTTTGTGTTAAATTTTCAATAAGGAAGTACGCAGGAATGATAAAGTTTGGAAAGGTTGCAGTATCATTTTATAGTCTGCTACACTGTCCTTCAACATTGAAGGGGACTATGAGTATCATATATTGAGTTACATCAGAGCTTTTAAGCAATTTTTAAATCATTTGGAAACATCTGCATGACACAGAGTTCTAGCCCTTCATTGAGGTGCCAGCTGTGAAGGATTGTGGAATCTGGTAGAGATCTCTTAGTGTTTCAGTAGGGAACATCAACTGTGCTGCTCAGAAAGGCTAACCAGCACTGGTGCAATACCATATTAACAAGTGCATGTCAAAAATATTCTTCTTGTTTGTTTTTCAGTGGTTTTGATGGAGAATGGTGATGTTTACACATTTGGATATGGGCAGCATGGGCAACTTGGACATGGTGATGTTAATTCCAGGTGAGCTGGTAGTTAAAGGATGTGATTGTGTATTGATGTACTGCTGCATAAAAAGTGGCTGAATTTCTGGTTTTGTGTAGTGGCAAACATGAAAACTCAAATGTATTGCAAATGAAATTGATAAGCTCTTGTTCTGCACTTAATTTTCCATACCCCTCTAGATATAGATACAGTAACAATACTGTTGTAGTGTATAATTTAATACATAAAGGCTTTTGCATAAAGTTAGTATCAGAGCTTTGATAACTGAGTTGAGTTGAAATGCTTCTGTCTCTTTTAATTCTCCCTACATGACATTGAAATGACATTGAATGACATTGAAATCTCATTATTTCTGTAAAATACTGCACATGCAATAATTATAATAGTATGGTGTTGTAAAGCCAGATTAACCTGTTTCTGTTACACCATTGACAGTAGTTTAGTTATGATAAAATCTCATTTTTGTTTATTATTACTCTCCAAAGTAAGTTTACTAAGCTTGGGTCTCAGCTGCATTACATAGACACTTATTATGGATGTCAGTATGAGAGTGATGCGTGCTTTCTTTGCTGTCAGTGGAAATAGAGAAGTCAACAAAGTGCGAAGAGCTATTTGACTAATCACCCACTACTTAACTGTTTTGGGTATGCTGTGTAGTTCTGTAAACTTCATGGGCATGATCTCCATTGACTACAGTGACATAATTAAATATAGGCATCTTTAATGTGAAGCTCAATCTCACCCTTAGTATCTCATCCTTAGCATCTTATCTACACACTAAAGTAAAAAAATCAACATGCTGCCATAAAAGGAAATGTAATAATGTTGTTCTTGGGTACGTACATATACTGTATAACACGTAAGATGGGATTTTGAATAGTAGAAATCACAAAGGGTTCGTGTATGTCCAGTAATGCCTGGTATTCTTATGTGAAAGGCATACAGAGTGGAGCATCTGTGACCTGTCTTCAGTTCTGTCGTTTCTCTTTTAGTAGTGAGATGAAAATGACTAAACGTCTATCCTCCTAATCTCTTTGGAGACTTCCAAATAATTTCTTTTGTCAAGTTTCTGAAGAAATCTTCATCATCTTAAAATTTTCATTGGTTTCACTAAACAAAAAGGGGAGAGGGAAGGAAGGAAGTTTGCCAGAAGTATTGCTCTGCATTGACTGCTGTGCATAATGCTAGTCTCTAAACTGTTACCTGTTCAGTTTGCATTGGACTGGTGAATTCAATCTGTGTTTCTGCCCATGGTAGAGCCATATCACTTGTTTTCATTCCTGGACGTTTTTGGACACTTGTTCCAAGCTACAGTGGCTTTTAGCTGGCAATTCATGTCACTACTTAGAATAAGGCCAGTTTTGTGTTAAAAGACTGAAGAGGTACAAATAACAGTGGCATTTCCAACTTTGATGAAATCGCTTGGCTTTTCTGAAGGCATCGGAGCTATCTGCTGTATCTGTCAGAATTTCAAGTGGTAAAACCCCACATCTGTTGCTTATTTAGACAGAGACTGGATGGAAACCAAATGTAGTTCCAGGTTCGATCCTAGAAGAGACCATGAAACATCCTGTACCAAAAGATAGTGCTTGACCAGTCCTAGAAGCTGAGGAGGTACAAACGACCTGGCACTAACTGTTATACCATTCTACAGCAGACCCTAGAGAGTGTCTGAGAAAAGCCTTGAAGAAATTTGGAGTATGTCCTGTGCATGAGAACTGGCTGTAGTACTATATTGCTGTTTAGCGTACTCATTCAAATTATGATTTCCTCATTGATGTACTTCTTTTTCCAGCTTTAAGTAGAGATCTCTCCTCTATCCTCACAGTAAGGGATTCAGAGAAGGAAACAGGGAATCCTTATGCAGAGTTGCACCTCAGTTGGGACGCAGTGGTGCTCAGATGGCCAGCTCCAGCCAGGTCAGTGGTATGTCAGTCATGCAGTGTGTCACATTGCTTGTATTGACTTCAGGAAGACATCTTCTGAGTCCAGGAATTGATGCTCTGCTGTATTTCTGAGAGAGAGGGAAAGAAAGAAAAAAAGGAACCAATGTTTAGACAGCCTGAAAAAAAGGAACCAATGTTTAGACAGCCTAGCTAGTATATCTAAATATGGGAACCCTGAAAACAAGAACTGTAAGGGAAGATACAGGAGCTCTCACTTTCATCTGAGTGAGCCATCTTCATTGCCAGATGAAGCAATTATGGAAGTTCCTGCGCAGCAATTGATGACTTACCCTTTCAGAGACTTCTGTCTTGCAGTGTAAAGATTTAATAGTGAGACCTTCTTTTTTAAAGTCTTGAAAATGATTAACTATTTTGAATTTTGTGCACCTGTCCCGGCATGGCTTTCTCCTTAATTAAGGATTTTGGACTTCTCTATTAGAGTATGGTAAACACTACAAATTCTTCCCTGTACTTCAGTAGGAGTGAGACATATTACACAGATTTACTGTGTATATCACCTCTAAATAGAAGGATTTACTACTATTTTTTATACACACAAGCAAAACATCACACGAACAGGGCAATGTGATTCTTAATAAACCATTAATAGGACTGAAATGGTGTGGAGGAAAAAGCATATGCACAAAGTGGTGTTATTTTTTTCTCCAGCAAACACTTCAGCCATTCACAGATGGACCACTTAAAAATGCAAGTGATCTGTTTTTTGGGAGTCCATCTTTTCCTTGCCAGTATGTTGGAGCCATTAAACTAGTCTGTGTGGTCTTCTTATAGTAAAATCCACAGAGGTGGATGTTGATGAGCTATTCGCTACATGAAGGTTTTGTCAGTCTGCTAATATTCTCATCAAATTAGATGCTGGTGAGTTGGAAGTGGAAGCAAGAAACGCTTTGCAAAATCTAATCTTGGTGAAAAATAGCATGTCTTGTATTCAAGTAAGCAAAGGCCTGTTTGTTGCTGTTGAAGCTGGAACTTAAAACTCCTAGGATCTTTCTCTTATTGTTCAAATACCGCCTGAATTTCTTGTGCAAACTGTTGTCTTCAGCACTACGTTAGCAAGAATATGATCTGGCAGTGAAGTTTGAGAAATGGAGCACCTGAAGTAAGACAATCCCGAAGTAATTTTGCTTCTGAAGATTCAACGATGACATGGAAGAAAACTGAGCAGACCTTCCATGGACAGTCAGCCATGTTCTGTTTGAAGATGAAGTGTAGACACTATACCCAATTAATATCTCTAGGAAAAAAACGTGTTCCATCATCTCTGTTTGATTGGGCTGTTTATAGGTACATCATCTGACTATTTAATTCTTATGTGTGTCTTACTTAGGTCTTTTCACCAGACCTCCAGTTACCTCAAATGTAAAAAAATCTCAATTTTCTTTTTAACGCCATGATGTCCAGCTCTGCCTGCTACTGGCAGAAGTCACTGCTGGTTTCCTTTTACCCACTACAAAGTAAACAGCTCATGGTGAACCTGAATTTGCAGCAGCACTAGGATCATTTGCCCCAAGTGACATCATTCTGGAGCTGGCAGCCAGCTATTGCCTGAATAAGTACTATGAAATGCAATTGTCCAAACAGTTAATGTGGGATGAGGTTTCAAAGACCACATCTGCTCCCAGGAATGCTTACCCTTCAGGACTGAAGAGAGTTTTGGTGTGGACAGCCAAAATGCATTTGGACCTTCTGCGGGATCCTGAATTAGCTGATGCATGTGTATCTGCTGGTTTTCATTTAGCAATCTTACATCTTCCCAAGACGTCTTAGGTTACTTTCTGTATAGTTGAGGTTGGTCTTTAGTGATTGACCTGTGCCATATCCAGGAGCCAAAGAATCTGTGTGTCTTTCAGCTCCATCTCAGAAGACAACTTCTTCCTTTCTCCCTTTCAAATGGAGAAACCGCAGTTATCAAAACTTTGTTCAAAGAGTCTCTCAGACTCTTAAGTCTTGTTTATGCTGAGCTCTTCTGTGTTGAGTTCTAGAGGTATAGAGAAATAGCCAATTGTATTTGCAGGTTTTGAATTCCATGTATACCAGTCAAGATGGCTTACTGTATTTTTCAGGATCCATCCTCCTTTCATGAAGTGAAAACAATTTTTCTGTAATTTCACTTTATTTGTTTTACATAGTTGAGTGTCTTAAGCTTTTTCCTTTTCAGTTCTTTAGTTGATACACTTAGCTGGTCATTCTACAAACTGGGTTAGCTTAAGAAAAGAGCTGTTTAAGAGGATGACGTACAACATTGCTTTACAGTAGTTGCTTGTCCATTTTTGTTTTGCTGCTGCCAAGGGAATTTCATGCACAGCTTTTCCTTTTTTTTTCTTTTTTTTTTTTTTTTGAGGAATTTTGAGGGGGAGGAAGAAAAAACTGTAATAAAAGTATTTTCCTTTAACGGGAATGCATTTGGATTAGTTCTTAACTATACTGTGTTTCTGCATCAGTGCTTTTTTGAGCTTCCTTAAAGTTTATGGGAGACAAATGTGATATTTTTTTCTGGTTTTAAGATATTTCATCGTTGGTGCTGCTGAACTTGCTCTGTGTGTCTGTGTATAATCTTACTGATGTTCAAACCCATGTGCCTGTAGTCCATAAAAGGCTAATATATATATGAATGTCATGTTGTGCATCCTCTACCAGATTTTGTGCAGCTCTTCACTCTCTCCGTCTCCACTAGAACTGCCCACTGGAAGCTACATTCACCACAAAGGAATAATTTGTTTCTGTATACCTGTGTTCCTCCTCCTTCAAGCCATCAACCTGTCTTCATGCTACATTCCTCTGTTCCACATCTTTGGATGTTCACATATTATCTGTCCTTCCCTGCTGAACACAATGCCTCTCCTTTCTCCTACTTTCTCAGCTTACGTTCTACCTGCAATTCAGCCAAAATCAGAATATGCAGACAACCTATCTTCTTGCACATCAGCTGCTAAGCAGTCACTAGATGATTGTGGTTTGACACTTGGCTTTTTTTATTCCATCATAAGACAAACTGTTCTTATTTTAGGTTAATTTACTTTTGAAAGAGTGTGTTTCAAAGTAAGTTTAAATAGCGCTGCTGTTCTCTGGGATTAGAGTTCCCAAACACAGAGTTATTTGGGAATAACTGGTTCTTCACATTCTTTCTAAGTGCACAATAAATTTGAAGTCTAGGTAGGCATTCATTATGGGATTCAGAGTCTGGTGCAGTTCTTGTAGGCTTCTATTCACTTTGTTGGATTGAGATTATGTTTAAGTTTTAATATCTCCTTTTTTTTTTACCTTTTCTGCTATTTGTATTACAAGTCATCACTTCAGGTTTTCTTTCTTTGTTTTTTGATCATCCTGTTGAGGTTTTTTTCCATTATTTTTACTGGAATAGGAGATTTATTATACCTGTGAGACACATGGATTAGAATTTCAGATCTTTCTGGAAAACCATTTGGAGAGGTTTGTTCTTTATTGAGTCTGATTTTAATGGAGAGCAGGTTTTGAATGCATTATTCTCCATTAGAAATGGAGAATAACACACTATTCTATTGCATTATAATAATTCATTAGAAAGCTGATAAGGTGGGTAGTCCTCTCTTTTATAGTTCCCTAGAAAGTGATCTCAGGAAGGCTACATAAATAATGCTTCTGGTAATTGTATTGGTGTGCTAAATGCATAAGGCTTTTGATTCTTCATAATGCAGATAGTTTGGGGGGTTTTTTTAAGTGTTTCACCAGCATCCTCACAAAAGAATTTTTTTACTGCTGCAGTTCATTGCAGTCTATTTCATGTACATACACACACATGTATATAACTACAGTAATATTAATGGAATCCTACAACTATATATTAAATTAACTGGTTTTATTCTATGCTAATTTGAGTTTAGCTGAAGAGAGTGTACTTGGTCCACTTCCTTGTTACAAGATGGCATAAACTTAAGTATCTGGTACAGTGTTTAAAACCTCTGTTTCTTTAATATGTAAGGTGTTGATTGACTCTGATTCCATGTAGTATGTGAAATAGTGAATACATTTCACAGTGATTAAAATCCTTATAATGCTAATGTATGTGTTAAATGTTGCATAAACATATATTAATACAGAATTCATTTATTTTGATATAGAGGATGTCCCACTTTGGTGCAGGCATTACCAGGTCCTAGTACACAAGTTACTGCTGGGAGCAACCATACAGCTATTCTCCTAATGGATGGCCAGGTTTTCACATTTGGAAGTTTCTCAGTAAGGAAATAATAATAATAATACTTACTCATGGGAATATGCTAGTATTTAAAGTTGGTTTGTTGGTTTTTTTTTTTCAAAACTGTTCATACTTGTTCTTACAGAACTACTTATGACTTCTTCGTGTCTTTTGTGTCTGTCATGTTTTAGAATGTCGTCTTTAATATTTTTGTGGTCATAACTTGTTCCTTGTATTTAAATGTGTAGTGCTTCACTTAGAGTAGCCATTACTTTGTGAAGGTAATTTTGTGGAAAGATATCTCTTCCAGATTACTACTTTTGTATATTTTAACTGTCAAAATAACTTGTTAATCTTTGAGGCTTAGTGTCACATACTAATTCTGTATTCTCTCTATAGAAAGGTCAGCTTGGTAGACCAATTCTGGATATGCCTTACTGGAATGCAAAACCAGCACCTATGCCTAATATAGGCTCCAAATATGGACGCAAAGCAACATGGATTGGAGCAAGTGGAGACCAGACTTTCCTCAGGATCGATGAAGCTCTCATTAATTCTCATGTGCTTGCTACATCAGAGATATTTGCAAGCAGACATATAATAGGCAAGAACTCTTCTATAATATTTAAATGCTTATGGAAGTATTAGAGGAAAAAATAGCTTCAGTCATGTGAACAGTGGAGGAGCAGCAGGTCAAAAATGTGAATGGAGGGAAGATATTTTGACTGTCTGTAGTGCACATGGTGATCCGAGTTTCTTTAGAAATTAGTTTTATTAAAAATAAGAATGTAAAAATCTAAACTTTTCTTGCATTTAATTCTTACTGTGGTTTATTTTTTGCAGTAACAATATATATATTCTTCCCTGCTATGTTAATGCTTGTCCTGGTTTCAGCTGGGATAGAGTAAATTTTATTTCAAATAGTTGCTACTGTGTGGTGTTTTGGCTTTAGTCTGAGACTAATGCCACATAATGAGTGGAATCTTCATGTTTTTCTGCTGTTATTGCTCCCTGATCTAGGTTTGGTACCAGCTTCAATATCAGAACCTCCTCCTTTCAAATGTCTTCTGATAAATAAAGTAGATGGCAGTTGCAAAACATTTAATGATTCTGAGCAGGAAGACCTTCAAGGTTCTGGTGTGTGTCTGGATCCTGTCTATGATGTTATTTGGAGGCAAGTGTGGATTATAGCTATTAAAGTTGTAGTATAGAAATCCTATTTAAAATATTTTGGGAGGCTGGAGATTGATTATGCTCATTTCCCTAGAAAATGAAGAACAATATTTAGTCTTAAATGTTTCTTTTCTCACTTTTTTTTTTTTTCCTGATGATTTGTTCAGGTAGGCCAGAAACAAACATCTCTTGCCTGGTATTTTTTTTTCCTTTTTTTTAATATATTTGTTTTCTTTTTTTTTTTTGCATCATTTTCTTTTCCATCTCATGATGTTTGGAGAACTCCAATCTCTTCAGCTTATTTACTGTTTTCACTCTTCCCTCATTTGCTTTCATATGCTTAACACTTCACTGAATAATTTTCTTGCCATACCCAGCTTCCACAGCCTTATATCTTACCTCTTCATCCTTCTTTATTGGTTAAGACTTTATAGGAGAAGGAGTAGAGTAATTGTATTCTTTTCAGTTATTACATTTTGGGAGGTCAACATAAAAATACTTACTTAGATGGCTTAGACATTCAAATTCTGGTTGTACTTATTTCACACTCTTAGGGGTGGTTGCTTTCAGTGGAGTCTTTGAGCAGGCATAGATCAAAAATGCTTGTTCCAAAACAGAATTGTAACACCCAGTTCTTCTATAATGATTTAAAAGCTATGTTAGCCACGTATTGGTATAGAAATCTGACTTTTGACCAAGTGCAGGTGATCAGTTATGTTTAAACTGTTTGAAGACTTAGGCAAAACAAAAATAATCACAGAATAAAGCAGAGAGCCAGCTGGTTTGTATTCATCTGAAAATTATAGTGTCATGTAGGATCAGCTCCTTAATAGATCATTGTGTCTGTAGGCTACTTGCATCCTACTTTGGATGCATTCATCCAAAATTCCATTCTTATGTAATAGGAAATACTGAAACAGACAAAGGAGAGAGACATTAATGAATATGCCCTTCAATAGTGAAGTATCTGGTATATTAATTATTCCTGGACGTTTTTATTCATGCCTTTTTAAATTCTGTTTTTCTGTGCAGAGAGACAGCATTCTTGATTATGTAGATTTTAAAGATTTTCTTTATAACCTTCTCCAGGTAGTAGTGAAATTCGAGTGGTTAAATAATTTTGTAGGTCTGTATGTATAAACTTGCACATTGCTGACTTATTGAAATCCTGAATACATACGGTTTCCTATAATATTTTTCATCAAAACTGTTTCTTCGTTAGTTAGACCATCTTAACCCAATTTAGAAAAGCGTACCAAGTCAAAATTCTTTTTGTGCTTATTCAGAACATTCCCAGGGGTTTTGTTTCTTCCTTTTACACAGTGACATCAATGACATATTTTTTTCTTTTTTTATTTTCTTTTTCTCCATGTTAATCTATGTTAATCTTAATTTCTCCACGTTCATCTATAATACAGAAAGTCTTTGTAGTCCCTTGTTTATGCTGCCCTTTTCTATAATCCCTTGTAATATTATGAAGGGATGTTATCCATTTAAAAAAGACCAAACAAAATATATTGGATATCTCAAGATGTTTTTAACTTTTATTTGAAGGTAACCATTTCACTTTCAGTTGGCATCTTTTTCATTTTTGAGCACAACTCCCATTATATCTAGTACTTTGCTAGTTAATTCGTGCTTCTTAATAGATTATACCATATTAATATTAGCTTTGAAAAGTATCTAACATTTTCTGAAATTTGTAAGTTTGTAATACTGTTTGACTTGAAGTACACTAAAAGTGTTTTTGTCTTTCCGTTTCCTAGCGTATTGTGCTGGTAAAGTTTATATGTGTTTGGTGTAATGATTTGCATTTTACATTAAATTGCTTATAAAAGTTAATTGTCAGTTAGATTCTATTTTTTTTTAGTAGGTGAAAGGTTGTTTTTTTTTAACTCTGTTTTGCCTTGCTCTAGGTTTCGACCAAATGCTAGGGAACTGTGGAGTTACAATGCAGTAGTTGCGGATTCCAGACTTCCCTCAGCTCCAGACATGCAATCCCGGTGTAGTATTTTGAGTCCAGAGCTTGCCCTACCAACTGGTTCTAAAGCTCTAACCACGAGATCTCATGCAGCTTTGCACATTCTAGGTATACATTTATAGTTGATGAGTCAGAAGCTTAGATAAAATAAAGATACATCCCTTAATGTATATGTGAATCCTAATCTAACAGCTGACTCTTTTTTTTGAGTTAAAATCTTACTTTGTAATATTTCACTGTTGCTCTTTAACACTTATGATCTGGCTACTACGCATTATTTTTAATCAAGATAATTATCTTCTGCTATCTTAATGGTGCTGGAGGGGTTTAGAGTTCTGATGGAAGCTGCTATTAGAAGTCAACAAGAGACCTTCTTAGCTGTTTTGGGTTTTTTTTGACTGCAGAGTAAAGTCAATGCTGATAAATTAACCTGGAGCTTCCAAGAGACAGGAAAAAAGTGATCTTAAATAAGCTAATTTTTGAAGTAAATGTAGTACCTGAAATTAGAATTTGCTCTGGTTAATTTTGTATAATGGGGCACTAACATTAATATGATTTCCTTTAGTAGTCTAAACAGCCTAACAAAACAAAAATAATCCCATGATATTAATGTGAAAACTGGCCATATGCAACATACACAGTGCTTCAAAGCACAGCTTTAGAAGTCATTTTCGGTTACTTGCTCACTGATTGTGATGAGGGATCTGTTCCTTGTGTTGCCTCCTTCATTGTGTGTGAGATATGGGATAAATTTTAAATTAGAATCATAGAATGGTTTGGGTTCAAAGGGACCTTAAAGATCATCTCGTTCCAACCCCATCTGTTAGGGGCAGGGACATTCAAATCTGCACATAATTGTTACTACTTCAGCTCTTTTTTTGGTAATATGGAAAATCTAAAAAGGAAAAAAAAATAAGGTGTTGCTGGTAATTTATTTACCATTGTAAAAGTTGCAAAGTAGATTTAATCACATTAGTCGGTTATCCTAGGAAATGAGTGATTTAAATGAAATTGATCTTCAGTAGTAAACTTTGAGATTCTACAGCAGTGACCCTTGACCTAATAGAAGCTACAATGATATTTGGTAGCGCATATTTGGTTATTTCCATTTTGCTGATTATAATCAACAGTGAGAAATTTTGACTTCTTTTTGGTTTTGCTTTCTTTTAGGTTGTCTTGATACTTTAGCTGCTATGCAGGACTTAAAAATGGGTGTAGCAAATATGGAAGAAGAGACTCAAGCAGTAATGAAAGTTTATTCTAAAGAAGACTACAGTGTTGTTAACAGATTTGAAAGTATGTACACATCATAATTTCATAACGCAAGCCAGTCAGCTTGCAGAATGAAAGACTAAGATAGATTAACTGTATTTTTGCTCTTAATTTTATTTTTTCCTGCAGGTCATGGAGGAGGCTGGGGTTATTCAGCCCACTCAGTAGAAGCTATCCGTTTCTGTGCTGATACAGATATTTTGTTAGGTGGTCTTGGTCTATTTGGAGGTAGGGGTGAATACACTGCTAAAATAAAGGTAAGCTTTTTAGTTTGATTTTAAACAATATTGTATGTCAAAATCAGAACTTTAGAAATGCCAACTAAAACCTGATTAATCTTATTTCTTGATGAATGAGTGGTTTGCTGTACATTAAAAGCACTTGTAATAGAACTAGAACACAGCTTTTCAGTGAGAAGTAATGAAACTTATGCAGGTAAGGTGGTTGAAATAGACATCTGAGAATTAGACATCTGAGAATTAGACATCTGAGAATTAGACATCTGAGAATCTTCTTGTCAAGAATTGGCCCAGTCTTACCTTCATTAAATGCTATGCCATCTTACAGGTGTCTTGAGCAGATATGGTAGTGGGTTAAAAGGTTCTGTGATCTATTTATACAAAGCTCGGAGGTCTACCTGCAAAAAACTGGTGGTGTGGGCTTCAAGCTAGAATTGCATCTGGTTCTAACTAGCATGAGGGACTGCTTCTCAAAACCAGGAAAAGAGTGCTTATCTGTAACTTCTTAGCTGGGATTATTTAACTGAGAGTGAATGGCACTAAAGATACTTAACTCTGGTTTGTACCAAATGTAAGAATGATTAGGGCTGGAGCACGTGTGCTGACTTAAATAAACAAACCTGACGTTGCATAAAAAAGCTCACATAAACACACGGTGTGATGACAGAGCTCTGGTTTCCAATGAGTAATTTCTGTTCCAGCATTTAATAAGGATTTCAGAAACTCTGTGAAACATAATGTAAGGGAAGGATCCAGTATCTGAGATTTAGATCTGATTTATATATTTAGAATACATTTTTGTCGCTACTTGACATTTAGTGGGTTGTTGAGTTTTTCTATTTTCAGATGACTAGGTATTCAGGTTTGTTTTAGGGAAATAGATGGCATATGCTTAGCAGTAGCATTTGCATAAGTCAACAGGAGATCCAGAATAAGTAGCTGTACTTTATTCTAGTTTAACACAGTGATTAAATATTGCAAATTAATAAGGAAATCCAAGAAACTTTACAAAAAGAAAAAAAAGAATGACCCATAACTAATGTTTATATACTGAAGGTAATAAGCCTGTGAAAGCACACTAGTAATACTTTTTCAATTTGTTTCTGGTTGTTTAGGATTAGCTTATAGCCAAAATAAGAATTGCCAGTCATACTGCGGATAAGCTGTGTATTAAATAGGTGTTTGCAAGGGAAGTCATGTGTTGTGGTCCTTTTTCAAACTCCTCAAACTGCAAAAATTATTTTTGAATAAGAAACCCAAGTTCTTTTGCAAAAGGTATCATCTTTTGTCCTAGTCACCATTTATGACGCTGTTGACTAGCTCTGCTAAACAGTCAAACTCTCCTTTTCCAGAGAAGTTTAGTAGATCTTCAGTGCATTTCAGTCTATGACAAAAGCCTGCACTTTCTGCACATCTTTGCCTTACCTGAATGCTCTGTTTGACTTGCCTGCAAATGGAGTTTTTCCACTTACGAATATATCTGGGCATAAGGTTTGGGGGGGTGGGGAGGGAGTTAGTGTCACTTGCTATTTTTTTGACAGCTAATGATAGTAATAAAATCCTGCCTTCCGGGTGGGAATTTGTGTGAATCACAATTCTGTCAGTGATAGTAACTGACAATTACTTCTGGGGAGAAGGAATAGAAGTAGGCGGTTTCCAGAATACCAGACAGGAAGAAGTGGTATTATAAGGTTTCTAACACCTAAGACATATTTTTACCTTCTTACTCCACTAGTTGTTTGAATTGGGTCCAGATGGAGGAGACCATGAGACCGATGGAGACCTTCTTGCTGAAACAGATGTCTTAGCATATGATTGTGCTGCTAGGTAAGATGTTTTCCTTACCTATGGCTACCTACTTCTTGATCTTTATTTTTACTCTATTTATGAACATTTTAAAATCATTTTAAATATCAGAGATGATCTACATCATTAGAAGCTTGTAGCAGGTGACATAAAACTTACACACAAGGTGTATTGGGTGAAGCAGTAAAACACCAAATACCTCACCGGACCACTATGACACTAAATTAAAAGAAGGCAAAATCATTTCTCACTTGTTCTTGTATAAATCAAAGTCAAATCACATATTCCTGTGATGAGAAGACAAGACATTGCAGCAGATCTTTTGAATGCTTCTATCAAAAAAAATGCTTTCAAGCATAAAGGGGTGTTGTCATTAAACTTTGTGTTGTCATCATTAAACTTACTGCAGTATGAGATTATCATAACCAAAAGAAGAGTTACTGTGCTTCAGCTCATTAGAATACAAGCAGTTACTGTTTGGAAGATTTTGTGCATATGGATGGGATTAGCCACGTTTTAGCTGCTTTTTCATTCCCTGTTATGAAATAATTTAACATTCAAATCATCCATGACTACTTCTTTTAGGTTTAATTCTTATGTATCAATACTCCTAAATACATACTTTCTTAAATATTCATGTGTAATTCCAAAGAATTCACATATAAGCTCTTGTCATTTACTAAAACTTTATGGAATTGAATTCAAGTAATATAAATATTTTATAATTAATATTTTGTTTGCAGTATCATGTATTAAATGTAATTATGCTTGTGTGTGTTAATTTAACTCAGTCTTTCTTTACTCTCTGGCATTGATATCTGATTGTTTCAAAATGCAAGGTCAAGCTAGATTTAGGCATTTGTAGGTCCTTCTGATTTATTTTTCTAATTATTAAAGTATTTTTTAATGAAATATTTTTACTTTCTGCATATGAATAGATAATTGACATTACTAACTATATTCCATTAATTCTCATTTTTTTTTTAGAAGCAGGGTGGAATACATTAAAGATTGATTTGAAAACTAATTCATGTGTATCTTTTTCAAAATCTCTTTATCCCAGAGAGAAGTATGCAATGATGTTTGATGAACCAGTACTCCTACAAGCTGGCTGGTGGTATGTTGCCTGGGCAAGAGTGTCAGGACCCAGCAGTGACTGTGGATCTCATGGACAGGCCTCTATTACTACAGATGATGGGTATATTTCTTTTTATTTTTTAATTTTTTTTTAATGCAAAAGGAGATACTTAATATTACTGGACTAATAATTGGATTATTTCTCTTTCAGTGTTGTATTTCAATTTAAAAGTTCCAAGAAATCAAATAATGGTACAGATGTTAATGCAGGGCAGATCCCACAGTTACTCTACAGGTAACATTTGGATATCTATTTATAACAATTTATTGGCATGTTTTTTAAATAGAAGCCTAGTTAAAGTAAGTGTACGTTCCATGAAATTATTACTGCATTAGGCTAAGGAAATCAGTATCTGAAAAAATTGAAGAAAATTTAGTCTCTTCGAGAAATGTAATAAACCAGTTATCACAACACTTGTTTCTTTACAGTTTTTCTTGCAGCCATTTTTCATATATTATGTTCTGAGACTCATTTAGTTCTGTAGAGCCTCACGGTTTCACCTACTATGATTCTTTTTTTTTACTAGTTAGGAAGTATTCTATTTAGTAGGCCTTAGTTTAGGAGCAGTATACTATCAAACAGATGAACTTAATGAACACCAACCCTCCATTCTGCAAAAAAATAATCCAAAGAAGCAAAGGAACATCTAATTGTCCTTTACAATAAATTATAAACTTACTATTCTCATGTTAAACGTTATGTAGCTCTGTTTTCAAAAGCCAGAGCTCTTTTGCTGTATTGCTGTATTTTTCAGACTTCCTCAGATATATACAAACCCTAATTTTATATTTTATGCATATATATATACACACATGTAACCATCTGCTCCCACATTAATTCTGAACCTTGGAATTTCTTCATAGCAGTTCTTTTGCTATGTCCTTTGTAAGCATGTCCTTTTCAGAGTCTCTTATCAGAGCAGCTTGCTATGGCTGATAAGCTTTGTGTCTGTAGACCTCTATCTCTCCAGAGCAAAGCTTCATTTTGACTGATGCACTTAAAGTCCTGGCATAACCTATTATCATTTGAGTGATTTCCATGGATAGATGGCAGTGGGTGCCTCTGAAGGAATCACAGAATCACAGAATCCCAAGGGTTGGAAGGGACCTCAGAAGATCGTCTAGTCCAACCCCCCTGCAAGAGCAGGGTAACCTAGAGTACATCACACAGGAACTTATCCAGGAGGGCCTTGAATATCTCCAACGTAGGAGACTCCACAACCCCCCTGGGCAACCTGTTCAGTGCTCTGTCACTCTCACAGTAAAGAATTTTCTCCTGATGTTCACATGGAACCTCCTGTGCTCCAGTTTACACCCATTGCCCCTTGTCCTATCACTGGACATCACTGAAAAAAACCTAGCTCCGTCATCCTGACACTCGCCCTTTACATATTTGTAAACATTGATGAGGTCACCCCTCAGTCTCCTCCAAGCTGAAGAGACCCAGCTCGCTCAGCCTCTCCTCATAAGGGAGATGTTCCACTCCCTTAATCATCTTTGTGGCTCTGCGCTGGACTCTTTCAAGCAATTCCCTGTCCTTCTTGAACTGAGGGGCCCAGAACTGGACACAGTATTCCAGGAAAGATATGGCTGAAGAACTATGAGTGGCACAAAAGGAGAAGTGCTGTAGTAATAAGTGCTGTCTGTATTTTTGTATCTCTATATATATTTTACCTCCACAAAACTATTGTTCTTTAAGAAATAATGTTTCTATTTTTAAAAATGTCATCTTATTACAAGTAAATACTTGTAATAATTTCATGTGTTAATTAAATCTGAACTTTATTATCAGTTGTCATAATCCTGTCAATTGAACAGAATTTTAGATATTTCATTACTGTTCTAGAACGATTAGGAACTGGGAGAAGTTATGCTGAAATTGAATATTTTTTTGTTAATTACCTTTAAAGTTTCTTCCACTTCTGTTCCATTTGAATAATACAAACAGTAAGAACTGCTAAAAGTAAAAGGTGCAGACTTCCAAGTCAGTTCTTTAAATTGCTCTTCCAGGTTGCCAACAAGTGATGGCAGTGCATCTAAAGGAAAACAGCAAACCAGTGAACCTGTGCATATTTTAAAGAGATCTTTTGCCAGAACTGTCTCAGTGGTGAGTATTATCAAAAAATCTGTGTTCCCTGCGAATTCATTCATACTTGGAAAACAGGAAGATATAAATGTGGAAATAACTAATGATATTTTTGTGTCTGCTTTATCAGGCAGAAGTTAGTTAAACTGAAATGTATATGTATCTTTTATCTCAATTTTATATATTTATAACATTGTCTTCTTTTAACTTTTCCTGAGTGTTTCAGATGTTAAGCTTTATATTGAGCTGAGGGTAAGAGCCTAGAAATACACTTGTTTTACAAAGTTCAGCCTACTTAAATTTGGGGGTTCATGCTTGGTGGCTGTAGTCAGTGTACAAGCCTTACTCCCTGCCAATCAATTAATATTAGCGTGGTTTTTTGAGTTTTGAGGGAGCTTTACTATATGCTGTCTTCCATGGCTTTTAAATTACTGTCATTGGTGAGATTTGTCTTCCTCTTGGATACATTCCAGTGTACACTGAGGATCAGATAGCATTCAATTTAAGTTCCATATGCTGAGGAAAAGAGTATTAATAGGCACAGTGAACTGCAACTATTAATAGAAGATAATCTGCAGTTTTTCACATACAAGGAGGTTAGTCAAATTGTGAGAAATACTGCATTAATTGAAATGCAGTATTAGTGTGCAGGACAAGGCAAATTCAATCATCATGTGTTTTAAAGTATGGTCCCTTCCTTATGTGTTACAAGCAATGATTTTTTTCAGTTCCATCCTGGTTTATATTTTATACTGTATTACAGTACTGTCAGTATTCTCCACAGATAGTTACATTGAAGTTACTGCTTCCATATGGCCACACACAGTCCCAATTTTCTTAGCCCCCTGGCTTTCATTTATGTATTCTCCCTTTCTTCAGTATTTTCTAATTATCAGAATTACCTTCTGTTCAGGTTTCTTTTACAAATATATTATCTACATGATTTGCATTTTTAGTAATAATTTTTTTTTGCATAATCATAGCTACTCTTAATATATGTTTGCTTAAAAAAATGCACTAAGCTATGAACTCTTACTACTTTTAATTCTTCATATTGTATCCTTCCTCTTCATTAGTTTGCTGCTGTTATCCCTCATGATCTGACTTGGGATAAGAGGAGAGTTTTGGCTTTCTGAAGCATTAGATATTTTATAATTAACTTTTGAACAATTAACTTGATTGTTGCAGCTTGAAGGTATACCTGCAGCTTGAAAGTATTCAATACCAAATGCTTGTAGTTTGCCTTCTGAGGTACAACTTTATGAAACTATCAACCATACTTAATAATACTAGAAAACAATTTTTGGAAAAACAAAACTTTTTAAGTCCCTGAGTTTTTGTGGACTATTATGTGCTTCTTTTGAACTTTCAAGTACTGTAAATATGATATAGTTCCCATCACCCTGCAAATGCTAACTGTTTAAAGACAAGGACATGGGCCTGATAAGTCATCGCTGTTATGACAAAAATATATTCTGTTAAAAGTGAGTATTACACTATTCATATGCAGATGAAGCAAGTAAAATATATTGAAAAATCTCTATTACAGGTGAATACAATTGCTAGATCTTAAATAACTGGAAGACTTCCACACACATATAACATTCATAACATATAGAAATTGCTTTTAGTATGCTATTACAGTGCAGTCTTCCCTACATTCTCAGTGCTCTTTATTCTCAAGCAGATAGGATTTGTGTGTTGTATGGTAGATGTGTAGAGACATTAATATGTTTTCATAATAAACACGGATATAAATGCTATTTGCTTCTCATCTTACACTGATGCTGAAAGTTCAGTTTTTGTTTTTACCACAAAATCTGTTTTTTCTGGTTTTCATAACCTGAATAGGAATGCTTTGAATCTTTATTGAGCATCCTTCACTGGAGCTGGACAACACTGGTGCTGGGAGTTGAAGAACTTCGGGGACTTAAAGGATTCCAATACACTGCTACTCTTTTGGATTTAGAAAGGTTGCGTTTTGTGGGCACTTGCTGCCTGAGATTGCTGAGGGTCTACACCTGTGAAATATATCCAATATCAGGTATTCGTTAAACCACAGCCCTCTTAATTTGCTTGTTTCATATTTATCAGCAAATAATCTACAGAAGGTTCAAAATTTGATCTAAGTATTCATGTATGGTATGCTGTCAGATGAAATTGCCTGCGCAGATGGTTTTATTGGAACAATTAAGAGGCTTGCTGTCAGAAATGGGACACTTGCTATAATCTGCATAATTAAGCATCCAACACCAGATGTTTACACTAACTTTTGTATATTTAAAAGTTAATTTCTTTTTTGGCTTGAAAGTTGAGGATTTTTGGTCTATTTGGGGCTTTGAGGTTTTTTAGTGTTTGTTTGTTTGGTTTTGTACATAGTTGCTTTGCTGGTGAGCACAATTTAAATTTGAGGACAGTTTAAATTGGAGGACAGTATCTGTTTTTCATGGCTGTAGGTTAACAGTGCTTATGTAAGACCAAGTGGGATGGGGCTTTGAGCAACCTGGCCTAGAGGAAGGTGCCTCTGCCTGTGGGACACCGTTCTGTGATTCTGAAAGACCGAAAAATTGGAAGTTTCTGATATTCAGGTTTCTGTGATGTAGTTTAACACGCTTCATTGTTTTCCTTCTGAAATTAGTTTCACTGAATATAGCTTTATCAGCGTTGCTAAATTCTAGTTGGTTTATCTGCATGTACAATGTGCATTTTAGTATGAAAATGTTTCGTTTATTTTATGTCTAATGCTCCTCTTTGTCTAACCTTCTAGCTACAGCTAAGGCAGTGGTAGAAGAAACAAGCAAATTAGCAGATTGCATTGGAAAAACAAGAACCTTGCTGAGAAAAATTTTATCTGAAGGAGTTGATCATTGCATGGTGAAGCTGGACAATGATCCACAAGGATACCTCAGTCAGCCTCTCACTCTTTTAGAAGCTGTTCTTCAGGAATGTCATAACACATTCACAGCTTGTTTTCATTCATTTTATCCAACACCAGCTCTCCAGTGGGCATGTCTTTGTGACTTGTTGAATTGTTTGGACCAGGTACATTAAAATGATATAAATAAATACTACAGCTTAGCTTTCCCTTTATACAAAGATAAGCCAATCAGTATTTAAAGCCTTTTTTGATGTTTCTTCTAGTTTGCAGTTCAAATTCTGTTGTGTACAAGTTGAACAGGAGCTTAGGAACTTCTGTCTCCATTAGCAGTAAAATTCTCTCTGAGACACTGAATAAAATTTGTGGTGCTGGTAACTGTTTGCACCTGCTTTTTTGGTGTCGAGACCATGCTTTGTATGTGATTACTCTTGCTGCATGTTGCTTAGGAGCATACATGTGGTGGTTTTTATACGCATTACTAATAGTTGAATAATTTCTCATTATTAAATGTTAACAATAGTGTTCTGATCCAGCAAGGTATATGAGAAGCTGGCAATATTATTCTACAATCAACAACTTTTTTTTTAAGTGTCTTGCTTACTGTGAATGGACGATCCCCATTCAAACAGTGTAGTTGCTTGCTTGCATTGATTCAGGTGAGATGTAAACAGTTTCCTTTTGAATTTGTATGGAAATTCATTTAGCATATAAAAATTCAATGAAGAATCGGTTCTTTATTATTCTAATTAAATTATTTAAAATACATGCTTTGTATACAAAGAATGTCATAATTCCAAAAGTAATTTTTAATTGGTTTATTGTTTTAAAGCATGTCAATCAACAAATTTTAATTACTCCAATTTGAAAGATCTCAGTGGAAGCTCGTGAGAGAAGATAATGTAAAATTAACAGGAAAGCTATCAATATATGAAACGCTCTCTCTAAATTGCTCTTGTGATAGAACTAGAAAGTGTGTTTCAAAATTACTTTGTTCATCATTTACTTGGAATGCAACGGTACCATTCTGTTGATTTCCGTTTATGTTTTTAGGACATCCAGGAAGCAAACTTCAAAACCTCCAGTAGCCGGCTTCTTGCTGCAGTTATGTCTGCTCTCTGCCATACTTCAGTAAAACTGACCTCTATCTTTCCAATTGCTTATGATGGAGAGGCATTGCTGCGATCAATGGTTAAACAAGTCAGCACTGAGAATGACTCTGCTCTGGCCCATCGTTTTCCTCTTTTGGTTGCACACATGGAAAAACTTAGTCAGGTTAGGATATACTCTAAAAATTTAATGACTTGTTTTACTTTGCAACAAAACCCAGTTATGTAAGTTGAAGTTTTAGTTTTATAAGGATGTAGCTCAACTTGTATGAGTGGTTTTTTTTGCCTAAAAATCCTGTTTTAGAAACCTATTATTTTGTCCAAATTTCATCTTTCGTAAGTATTCTGATTATTTCTTGTTTGGAGAATGTCTGAGCAATATTAAATTGGTAACAGTACAGTTCGGAGTTGTTTTCCATTGCATAGTGTTTTCTGCAACAATTTTTAGCTCTTCTTGTAATCACAAGAATTAACATATGGATAGATTCAGTGTTTTTAGGAAGAGTCAACACAGCTTTGGTAATAGAGTCATGTCTCAAATTGGATTTTTTAAAGGAGTTACCAAAGCAGGTAGACAAAAGAAGACCAGTTCATATAGTTCTATCAAAGGTTTTTAAACCTTTGGGCTCCCAAATGTCGTAGTATTGCAGTTCTATTATTTCAGAATAAATTTACAGGAATAAAAGGGTAAAGATGATAATCAAAGATAAGGGACTACTAAATAGTATTCTTTACTTTGGAAGACAAGAGGGGTAAGATCTTACAAAATTGTAAGTTATTCATGAAAGGTAAATAAAGGATAATTGTTGAGTCTTCCAATGACAAAAGTTTGGAGCAACCAGAGACCTTAGCAAAAAGTAAGTTCTGAAGAATGCTGTTCTTCATAAAATACACAGTTAAGCTGTGGAATGTATTCCAGTAGGCTATTATTATGCTAGAAGTTTTCACAGATTGAGAAAACACCTGTGCAAGTTAATGAAGAGGAAAATCACCAAAACTATTAAATGCAAAGATAGTATTGTCAAAAATCTTAGGTACCTGCTGCCTCTTAGCTGCTAAAGATAAAAAGAGTTCTGTGCAGGCATCTCTGCAGGTTTGCTTGACCTGATTGTCTTTCCTATCTGTTTACTACTTGGATATTTTTGAGAGACAACATGGTAAGAAAGACACAATCAGTAGAGCTGATTTTATTTTTCTTTATTGGGAATGACTATCAGTATGGGTAACTTTCAAAAAATAGTGGGTGTTATAGCTAGGTAGAAGATACAGTAAATGCCTAAGCTTAGATTAGATTAGCTTAGATTTCATAGTACTCATTCAGTAAAGAACAATTGTTTTTATAATCATCCCACCATAGGTTTTATCCTACCTGTTTGCATAGAAGAGTCTCTTTGCTAACATCATAGCCAAAAGCTTTTGAGTTTATTTTTAGACACTGTGGAGGACATTGACATGAAGAATTCTGCAGAATCATAGAATAGCTAGGGTTGGAAAAGACCTTAAGATCATCAAGTTCCAACCCCCCCTGCCATGGGCAGGGACACCTCACACTAAACTGTGTCACCCAAGGCTGTGTCCAACCTGGCCTTGAACACCGCCAGGGATGGAGCATTCACAACTTCCCTGGGCAGCCCATTCCAGTGCCTCACCACCCTCACAGTAAAGAACTTCCTCCTTATATCCAATCTAAACTTCCCCTGTTTAAGTTTGAACCCATTAACCCTTGTCCTGTAACTATAGTCCCTAATGAAGAGTCCCTCCCCAGCATCCTTGTAACGCTGCCTTCAGATACTGGAAGCCTGCTATGAGGTCTCCACGCAGCCTTCTCTTCTCCAGGCTGAACAGCCCCAACTTTCTCAGCCTATCTTCATACGGGAGGTGCTCCAGTCCCCTGATCATCCTTGTGGCCCTCCTCTGGACTTGTTCCAGCAGTTCCAGGTCCTTTTCATGTTGAGGACACCAGAACTGTACACAGAACTTGAGGTGAGGTCTCACGAGAGCAAAGGTAGCTATTTATCTGTTGACAAAGGAATAGATTCTCTAGCAGCTTTGAGAATTATTTTTTTTTCTTACCCTCTAGACAATTCCATATTTTTAAGACATCACTGGTTTCTCAGTTATCTAATGCTTATAATATGTGAAAATCAATGTTTTGTTTAAAGAATGTTGTAAGAATGATGTAATTTGTCATTTTTCTCTTCATAATGCAGAGTGAAGAAAATGTTTCAGGGATGACAAGCTTTCGGGAAGTGCTGGAAAAGATGTTGGTCATTGTTGTTCTACCAGTACGGAACAGTCTTAGAAGAGAAAACGAACTTTTCTCTTCACATCTGGTTTCTAATACCTGTGGGTTGCTTGCTAGTATTGTGAGTGAGCTCACAGCATCAGCATTAGGATCTGAGGTAAAGATTCTATGAAATCATGACTAGAAGTCTTTCAGGACAAGTATATTATGAATGTGATACACACTGTGACAGAAATTTTATAGCAGCTTATTCATCCTATAAAATACATATTTAAATTCTTTAAAAAAAAGTAGAAATCACATTCCTAACTATTCCTAGTTTAATTTCAGTTGCCAGAGATTACATTTTCTTTTTAGTCAGTACTGAATAGAAGCCCTATTAGTGGCATCTTATATGTTTTGTCAGTTGATTTTTTAAATTTGCCCAGTTAAAAATCTCATAGTTTAGTTCACCTCACTTTATTAAAGTTACTTAATGTTTAGCATGTAATTTTTTTCTGGTACTTGCTTTTAATGTTATACAGGTTGATGGGCTGAATTCTCTCCATTCTGTGAAATCAACTCCAAACCGATTCACTAAAACAAGTCAGGGAAGAAGCTGGAATACTGGAAATGGATCCCCTGATGCAATATGTTTCTCTGTCGATAAACCTGGTGTAGTTGTAGTAGGATTTTCTGTTTATGGTGGAGGAGGAATTCATGAATATGAGTTGGAAGTATTAGTTGATGATGTAAGTACTGCATTTGCAAAATCAGCTTGAACAGAAGTAACCTCAGAGTTTTTTGTAGTACGTTTTAGAAAGTAATACTATATTATTACATTACTTTACAGTCTAGGCTACCAGTGAAACGGTACACTGGTAGCAGGGGTTTTTTGTTTGCCTGTGGTGGTGATTTTTGTGGTATTGCTAGCTACATACCATATCTAGTAGCCACCTTATAGATTATGATTAACCTAATTATGATTATCCTTATTATAGTCTCAAAATCTTTATTTATGACAAATAATATTTGAAGTATAGTGGGTCTTTCACTTGCTGGAGCTAAATGTAAATTAGTATCAGCTGCAAAGAAAATGAAGAAATAAAGGGGACCAATTTAAAACAATTTAAACCAACAGTTGAAGAAAGGGGTTGCTACCAACATGGTCAGGCTGTAGCTACAGATGTTTTGTATGTTGATCTCTTAGAGAAAACCGTATTGTGTGTTCTTGTAACAAAGGAAAACCTCTGTTCTTTTACACCTCACCTGTTCAATTTAACTGATTGTTCTAACCTTTTCCAGAGGGCAAGCATAGGTTGCTATGGTAAATTAACTTCTTTGCTCAGTAATTTCCTTTTTAGCAGAAGGGCTTTACTCTTGATTCTGAACAGCTTTTTCAGCTTTGGTGTACTTGTAATGATGTCTGTAACAATTTATGCAAGAAAACATGCAACAGTTGCATAAATGTGTCATGTATTTACATTATAAAAGTATTGTTTCTTTGAATCAGAGTGATCATACTGGAGATTCAACTCATTCACACAGATGGACATCTTTAGAGTTGGTTAAAGGAACTTACACCACAGATGATTCTCCCAGTGACATAGCTGAAATCAGACTTGACAAAGTTGTGCCACTGAAGGTAAATAAAAGAAGTGCACATCTGTAGGTTTCATATGAATTCTCTAGGTAACAAAAATCAGAATGTTCAATGTAAATTTGGGGGTTTGTGTATGCATTTGCTCCTGACATGCTTGCTTTATTGAGTCTCTTTCACACTAACTGAAAAGTTCAAATTCTTTTAAATTTTAACAGCAAAAAAAAATATTAAATCTCAGTTTTGATAATAGCATAAGATAGGTTGCAACTGTTCAGTAATTTCAGAATATTCTTGAATGTGCAACTTTTTTGCATGCAATTTGGTAGTGTATTTTCTTAGATACCTGGTCACTTTTCAAGTAATCAGGAGTAATATTTTACTTAAGTTATGGCCCATTGTTGGAGAACAAGGAACAGCTTTGACTTTTGTTAAATGCTGGATCTTTCCTAGTTAATTTCATTCATAGTGTTTTGAAGGACTTTTCAGGCTCTTCAGTATTAATATAAAATAATAGCTTTCACAGTACCATGAAGTCTAACTTGTTGTATAATCAGTACTATTTTTGGCTCTCCTTTTTAAGGAAAATGTGAAATATGCAGTTCGCTTGAGGAATTATGGAAGCCGGACTGCCAACGGAGATGGAGGAATGACCACAGTTCAGTGTCCAGATGGTGTAACATTTACATTTAGTACATGTAGTCTGAGCAGTAATGGCACAAACCAAACACGAGGACAAATTCCACAGATTCTTTATTACAGGTTTGTGTGTTGTCGTAATCCATTTCTAAGAAAAGTAAATAAAACCATTGTAGTGCAATTATACCACATATGTTTTTGAGAAGTAACAGAAAGAAATACAGCTAGAGTGTGTTTGAGGAAAGAGTTTCTTTAGCAGTAGTACTGTATTCTTCCTGTGTAGTTTCAGCCTTGACAGTTTTTGCAACAGCAGTTTTACTGGTGCTTCTTCCACACTTGTTTTAGGTTCTCTTTTTTTTTTGACTTGGCAGATAATTTGATGGTTGACCTCTCTTATAAGGTCTATTGTCCACTGCTTTAAAGCTGTAGTATGGGGAACTGGTAAGATGCACCACTTCCATCTTGTGTGTTTTTCTATAACCCATGAAATTTTTGAGAGCCTACTTGCTGGAATGTTTATCTCTCTGATTTCATTTAGTTCCTTCCTCTGTTTCCAGAAAGGATTGCATTATGTAATGAAGCAATGTCTGTTTATGCAGGAGCTGTCTTCTCTTACTGTGGAGTTCAAAGTTGTAGAAAGAGAAATTGCAACAGCCGGAAAAAGATAAACTGAAATACCTGACTGTCCTGCAGGGAAGCTTTAATTTAATCTTTCAGGGTAATAGTAATAGTAAGAATTCACTTAAGGTAATGCTTCTGCAGAAAGCATTACTTTTTGATGTGCATATGTACACTGATATGCATGAAGACATGATTTTCAAAATACGTCAGCACCTGAATATATGAATTACTGCTATCTCTACAGAAAAAAAAAAAGGTGTCACATCTTTTATTCAAATCTCAGTTTTTGTCATAAAAGGCTAATCAACAGTATGTCCAAGGAACAAAGGACTAAAAAATAGTAATTTACTTTTCTATTTTATTACGTGTGAGATGCACAATGCATAATAAAACATGAAAAGATGCTACAAGTGACATATTTTGGACTAAATCACAATAACATGTTTCTCTTAAAATGTTAAAGAAGATAAAATACGAAGAAATAATATTCCCAACAAAATGGTAGTAATGGGTGTATTTGAAGATAAAAGATTGTTCTGCACTTCTAAAACGTGAGATTGGCTGTACTCAGAGATCCAGCCTGTCAGTAATGACAGTAATTGATTATGAAAGAATGGAATTACAGTGATGTATATCATATTTCTGTTGATTTGGTCTCCTTGAACCTTGGACACCTATGTTTAGGGAATTCCTCCAGCATTTTGAGTAATTCTATTATGAAGATTCATAATTATGAAGTATCATATTACATAAGAAGGAAGAAAAAAGACAAGGAAAACATTTATTCACACTCCTAGAATATATATTCTTTTATATCAGCAAAAGTGGGAATAAAGGAGAAATAACAGCTACTTTGATTTCAGAAAAGGACAGAAAACTTCAGTAAATGGAAGCTTCAAGGCACTCTAACTTAAAAATAAGCTAACATATGGCAAAAACCCCACACTGAAGTGCTTTCTTTGGAACAGTCTCAGGTTTTTTGTTTCAACTGTGATAAAATTCTAAGAAGCTTTTGAGAACCATAATAGCAGAACTAAGAACTGTTACAGAATAAATTCTGTTTGGAAAATGTGCATGCTGCTTCCTGTAGTCAGAATGTGTTTTGAAATTTGCTTGGACGACAGAAACTTAAGTGTTACCTGATGGGTGTCTATAGTCATGGACTTAGTTTGAGGATTCCAGATTGATGTATAATGATTTGAGGTTTTGGGTTGTTTGTAGGGAAGGAACAAATGTTCAGTCAACTGTTACAGAACAGGGCTTGTAAGAGTAACACTTGATTTTTTATTATTTTTTTTTAAGGACACTCAAATACAGATAGAATTGCTGCTTATGCAAATGCCACAAAAGGCCCTACCAAAAGGAGTGTGTTAACACACTTCTGATAAGGGCAGAAAAGCTTTAGAAAGATTTGTTGGAAAAGTACCCAATTGGAATTGCACTCACTGTCAGTCACTAATAAATTAAAAAGGCTTGAGCAAAAATACAATTCTAGGACACACTGACACAAAAAAAAAAGAAAAAAGAAAAAAAAAAAAGCTTTTTTGTCAGAGTGGCTAATTTAAGTCATAGAGAAAGACAGGTATCCTTTTTGTGTACAGAACTGCTCCAAGTAAAGTTTTTGAGCATTCTGGCGTGCAAGTTCTGGAATCTTAATATTCTGGAATCGTGTTGTGAAAGATCAGATTTTTTTTGACAAACTCAGGAAATCTGCAAGAGAATGGGAAGTTTTGTTTTACATGTTGAGTAAGAGGTTTTGGTTGTCTATGGCAAGGCTTAATCACTATCATATTGAAGGCTTGAACTAGTTTGCAATTATCATTTGACTGCTTTGAAAAAGTAATCAAACCAGATCTTCTGTATACCTTATTGAAATAATTTTATGGATAATGTTGTTTATGAGAACCTAATTTGACATAGAGTGGATTACAAAAAAAAACAAACCTATTTGTTATGGGTAAGCCTACGGTTGTATTTCAAAATCAAAATTAATCTTTAGAATATGGAAGGAGAATCTTTTTCCCTGATTATGTTACTGCAGAATCATCCTTTCAAATAGTTGTATTCGTTTCTGTGATGCATTTAGTATGATTCTGTTTTCATCAAGACGGGTGATTGGGCTTGGAAGAGCACAGCAATTAATATATTTCTGTGGTCTGAAAGGCATCTAGTCAAAAGAAACAGTTCAGAAAAATGCTTTTAATATTTTCTGCCAAATGAAAAGATTGCAGAGGGCTAAAACTGAGGCATTGCCTCCAAATGTCGTCCGTGGTTTCTTTGTTTCCTTTACTGCTTCATCATAAATTGTTTTACTTATTCTATGCCAAAAATCAGTCAGATGCAGTTTTTTTTAATATGATTTTGTATTTTGTGAACTTTAATCCACCATCCAGGAGTGAGTACGATGGAGATCTGCAATCACAGCTGTTGAACAAAGCTAATGAAGAAGATAAAAATTGTAGCAGGGCTCTTTCTGTTGTGAGTGCTGTTGTACGGGCAGCCAAGGACCTGTTGCACAGGGCTCTTGCTGTAGACGGTAAGGCTTTTGAAAACTGACTTTCAGAATTTACTTTTCAAAGCTTCTTTCTTTGATAGCAAGAGATAATAGTAGAATCAGTGTTTTGTATCAGTAATACAAAAATGGTAATATCTCTCTTTGCTTTCCAAAGAATATTTTTCTAACCTTTCATTGCTGTAGGTATCAAACTGTAACTTTCCAAGTCATTTAGTTGCACTTGAGGTATCATAGGCAGATACCTCCTATAATTTGCACATCAATTTAGCAAGTATCATATTAAAGCTGGTAAGATTCTTTATTTGCAAAAGATACACAGTATAAATTCTGTCCCTACCTGTGGCAGTGGTTTGGAACTAGATGATCTTTAAAGTCCCTTCCAATCCAAACCATTCTATGATCGTATGATATGCTGTGATGGGTAAGTTCCAAATTTTGTTGCATGTTTTGCACATTGGTGGTAATCAGGAAAACTGGTCAATGTAGTGCATTTACAAGCACTTAAACATCCATTTTTGAGAAATGTAGGCATTAGCCTTAAAACTGAATGGTATTTAAGCTATTGTCTTCAGCCATTTTAGTCAAAATGTCCAGAATATTCTCTAGTGCAATAGAAATTGATTTGGAGGGCTGGGAAGAGCTTGTTGTGCTAGATTTTGTACCATAGAAAGTATGAGCACAGCTTCACAAAATGGCAAAGAATGCAGTACAGTTATACTCAGGAGAAAATTTTTAAGCAGAAAACTGTACATACTGATGTTTCTCTCAGGTGAAATTTGCAGGTTTAGAATTTGACAGTGCCTAGGATGAAAATAATTTGAAGTAAAAGCCAGTGTAGAAACTTGAAGTATAACTTACAAAAATCAAGCTACCAAAATGTATTTTGAATCATGGTACATCTGTTAATAATAACCTGTATTGTAATTATCTTTGTTTAGCTGAAGACATTCCAGAACTACTCAGCTCTTCCAGTCTGTTTTCAATGCTGCTTCCCCTCATAATAGCCTACATAGGACCAGTAGCAGCAGCTATTCCCAAGGTACGCTCCTCAAAAGAAATTACTGAAGAAATTTAAGAATGTTACAAAGGTTTACTCTGAAAATCTGAGCATCTCGATTTCTTACGGTTTTATAAAGTAGTGGTTTATATTTGACCATGTGACTCATGAATTTTCCAGAGTCAAGAATTTTAGCAACATAATCAAGTTTTAAAAGTTACTTTTTAAAAACTTAAATCGAAGACATAATAAAATAAATATCATAAGGAAGCAGAGGGAAAGATTGTGGGCTTTAACAGTATAAAAAGAGAAAAAGCTAGAAGGATCTGTATTTGTGACTCATTGATGGCTATTGGTGGGATGAAATGTATCTCATATTATATATCTTTACAGTAAACATCCAAAGCAGTGGTAGCCGTTCCTTAAATTAAGATTATTTCTGTCAAATTTAGAGATGGGAAGATGTTAGCTATAAATAAAAAATAACCTTACTTTTCAGTGACATAGCATTCTTCCATGTGCCTGTTCTGGAGCACTCCTCAAATCTGTTACTAGATTTACAAATGTCATTAACTTAGCTAGTAGACACTGTTGCCTTTTACTGCTTTTTCATTTACTGTGTGCTCTTTTTTCACTTCTCTTTAAAGCGGGAGGAAAGAGGACTGGCTACATAAGATCTAGCAGATTCATTTAATTAAAAATAGTTTCAAAGCTAACTTGTTGCTTTGCTTTAGAAGTGTTCTTTTCCTTTAAAATGTTACGAAGATTGCACGGAGTAATGCAATGCTTAACGCTACCTGCATTAAAGTATGTTGAGTATTTGGAAAACACAGTATTAATGTTACAATACAAAATATAACTGGACTATGACTTCAGTATGGTATTTGCTTTCTGTCAGCTCATACTTATTGTTTGTTAATGTTAATGGCTTTTTAGTAGAAGGTATCTTGCATCTGTGTACAGATTTGTGTTTTAGCTTTGGCAAGTCTCCAAGAGGAGTAATTGGGATTAATGCAGTGATGCTTTTTCTGTCAGGATCGTGTAGATGCAGAACTGGAAAATGACTGAATGAATTGTAGCAGTAGTGATATTCTGAGAATATCCAAAACAACCATTGTAGAGAAATGTATTTGTGAGTATTGTCTTTACCAAGTCATAATACTTTATTGTATGTGGTGTTTTGTTACAGGTTGCTGTTGAGGTCTTTGGCCTAGTACAACAGTTGCTTCCTTCTGTGGCAGTTCTGAATCAGAAATATGCTCCTCCAGCTTTTAACCCAAATCAGTCCACAGACAGCACTACTGGAAACCAGCCAGAGCAAGGGCTTTCAGCTTGTACTACCTCCAATCATTATGCTGTTGTAGAAAGTGAGCATCCTTATAAACCTGCCTGTGTTACACACTATAAGGTGAGCACCATTTCCAAATGTTTATGCAGTTTCTTAAAAGATTTTGACACGTGGGTTTTATTTTGTTAATGTTTACTCTCTAAAATATTGTTGCCATGGATGATAATTCTTATTGTCTGCTGTCAGAGACAGTTTCATATACAATTACTGTACTGCTTTCTGGAGAAAACTCTGTCCAGTAGGTATAATGGAAACAGGAGTGGAAACAAGTGTAGCGTTAACCCCCTAATGCAGGTATCTAGGGTTAAAGTCTTAGGTTTTGCTACTGTCATGTACAGTTTCTTTGCTCTAACTGTACAGATTGTAGAAGTTGAAAGTCTTTATGTACACATTATGCGGTCATATCTCAGACTTTTTTACCTAATGCTAAACCAATGCTTTGTAAAAATACTGTCAATTCAAGTTGAATTAATTACGGTGTAGGGATCCCTATGCTGGCTGGTTTTGGTCTGCCAATTTAAATTTTTCATTAATTACTTTGACTTGGACCATGATCTGGCATTGCAGAAATCTCTGAAGCCTTTAACTGTGTTAGGTCACTCTGAGTAGGATGTGTTCCACCTTACATCCATGACTATTACATTAAAACTAGGTTTTCCTCAAGGTCAGTAATGAAAGGGTGTTTTTTCTATTTAAGGGCTGAGGCATACGTTACTTGCCTGAGAGATAAATCTCATGTTTCAGTTCTTGAAATAGGGAGTTCTGCAGTCACATTGATTCCATGACTGTGAATCATGAGGCAGCAAACCTGGAATAGAGAGCTGGATGAGTTCATTAATTACTGTTCCACTTGGTTCTCCTGTAAGACAGCAAGACCTTCACGGGAGAAAATGTAGTTACCCTATGATCTTCCTGATGCACTGATACTTATTATAGTTCTACAAGTTTATAGATCTCATCTGAAGCCTTAGGCTTAGTTGTTGCTGTCTTTGAATTTCTGTAGTTACACGCTGTCATAATGCAGGCCATGTTCACAAGCGCAGTTCAGCTGCTGTGTACTTTTCTAAGGTTACACAAAAGAGATACTGAATGTGTCTGTTGAAGTTTGCATTTAAAAACTCATTTGAGAATTAAATGTTTGTAATGGTCTCTGGCTGTTCTGTTTAATGATCCTGTTCAGAGATCTTAAAAACAATCACAAAACAGCATCATGCACACAAGTACTTAATCTGAACATAAATTAAAACACATAATTATAATTCAGTAAGGTGTAAAGCATTTCAGGTATATCTGAACATCAGAGATTAAATTAGGATAATGTTAATCTAAAGCATATCAAAACAAATGTACAGAATTGCATAACTGAATGACTTCTCTAACCTAAAGAGTTAAAACCAAATGAAAGTAAAAAAGCATTTAATTAGACTGTTGTTTTGTTCTAGGTGACTTTTCCTGAATGTGTCAGGTGGATAACAATAGAGTTTGACACTCAGTGCGGCACTGCTCAATCAGAGGATGTTCTTCGTTTACTCATTCCTGTTAGAATTGCACAGAGTCTGGGATTTGGACCAAAGCATGCTTCTGTTCATGACAACCTTAATTCATGGGTAGAGCTGAAAAAATTCTCTGGATCTTCAGGATGGCCTACCATGGTGTTAGTATTGCCAGGTAATAAATAGATACTGCAATATTTTCTACTAATGTGAATTATTAAAATAATGAAAGGTTTGATTTTTCTGCAAAATTATCTTAGAAAGCAAAGTTGAAAAAGTGTCTTCATCTAAGCTGGCAAGGCACTGTGAACCATTGTTGTACATCAGTTGGTTGCATTTTTATATTAGATTTCTTGTTTGAAGTGTTGATCTGCATGTTATTCATGGTTTTACTTTACATGTTATAAAGCCTAGGTTTCATATATGATCATATGGAAGAAACATACAAAAAGAGGAAAAGTATCAAGTTTTTATATATTTATTTTATGTATCCTTTTACTTTTTATAAGGAAATGAAGCTCTTTTTTCTCTGGAGACTGCGTCAGACTATGTGAAAGATGAAAAGGCTTGTTTTTATGGTTTCAAATGTTATGCAATTGGATATGAATTTAGTCCAGGATCTGATGAGGTAAGTAAAAAGTGCAATGGCTACAGTTGCTGCATCCATTAATTCTCTTCTATAAGGCTAGGTTTTTTGTTTGGTTTGGGGTTTGTTTTGTTTTGGTTTGGAGTTTTTTTTTAATATTTGTATTTCCACTTCTGACTAAATAACATTAGCAAAATGGCTCTAAATTAATTTCATGTTAGTTTTTAAGGATTTTTGTTTTGTTTTGTTTTGTTACAGACATTTGTTTGGAATTCTTAAAACTGAATATTATTGGAAAGGCTTTTGGTTTGTTTTTTTAATAACTGACAGTCTGCAAATAAATAGCATGTCAGTGGGATATGAAATTTCCTAGAATTTTGACTTTATCTTCCATCAGAAATCCAAAGGATTGGGATTTTCAGATACACAGTGATTAGTATTTTGCTGTCACTGCCAGTCGTGGGATGACAAACTTGCATTATTTTTCCATGTTCACTCATACCAGAGCTCTCAGACTCCCTGGAGATGCTGGTCTCATTTAGGCTACCTGAGATTTTGTGCAGTGGTCACCTTGTCTTGCGTTTAAGAACATGTGTCGTTTCCACCACTGTTGCCTTGTTGCAAAGGGAAGATAAAATTTCTTCATGTTCTTGGGCCAGTTAATCATTTTGAGTTATTTTAAGAGATTAATGATAAAAGGCTTTATAATAATGCTGGAAAAAATAGCCCCTCCTTTACCTTGGGAGTCTTTGAGCCCATTGCAGACCTTGTGAAGTGCTTACACTACAGCTCTCACAGAAGATTTACCTCATCTTATTCCTGGATTCTTCTCAAGCTAAATCATGTCTTCAGGTTTTCAAAACATGAAATTCTTCAGAATTTCATAGTATTCAGATAGTAAAACATACTGCAAGATTATTAGCTGTGAAGGCCGAGGGGGAGTGGCTGTGTGGTTCTGAATTACCAGGTGGGCTAAACCACAACAGTCTCCCTTGCTTGTACCAAATCAGATTTATAAACCCTGTAAATAATCTAAGTAGTCTGTGTTTGAGTAACAATAATTCTTGCTTAAGCAGAAAAAAAGGATGAAGAATCATATACATCATTAATTTTTTTTAAGCCGTGTACAAGCTAAGCTGCTGGTGTGTTTTTCACACTCGGTGCTAAAATATGCCAACCAGTACATAAGTTAACTATATCGGCCAAAAAAAAGTTGTTAGTAATTGTTTTCAAGCATACCTTTTTATGGCCCCAAAACTGTAATTTAAAATTTTACAAATAGAAAAGCTACCTTGCATCTCAACGCTAAAGCCTTAAGTTAAGTAATTGGATACACAGTTGTGACTTTCTCATTCTTTTGGGAACTTTGTGATGATAATTTTTGGAAGTGTTATCACTAGTAGAAAAAGAGTATGTTCTGGTGACCATTGCATTTTCTCTAGATAAAAGGAATCAGTAAGACCTAATTCAAGGCAGTGGGATTAGTTTTTCCACATCTGTTTCTCTCTCTTTCCAAAGAACAAGCTTTTGGTACCATTACCAAACTATGGTATATTGAACGACATTCATTGTTAGGGAGGTCTCTGCAAAAAATGAAAGGTGTCGTACTGTGAGCTAGTGCATCAAGGAATTGGGTGTAGTTGAGCTATTAAACTTCATTGAAACCTAGGATTTTTGCACAAATTTTAGATTTATGCTTTGAATGAAAAGGAGGGCTTTTTGCTGGTCATTATTAAATCTACAAAATATATGTAAAATCTGCCTTTTTCATAAGGGGTGTTCATACAGCAGAGACCTCTCTGGTGGGTTGATCCACATTTTACATCTTTACTTGCTTGCTATTTCAGCACCTGCTGTTTTAAGTCCTAAAGATGCAGTTTATCAAGGGTTTAGCTTAAAATGCATTTTGGAGACTTCTCAGTGTGATTGGTATCTCAGAGGTTACAGGGCAAGTCTAGTGTTACTGATTTTGAAGGCTCTTTCCAAAAGAATAATATTTTTATCTACTATACATATTGCCAGTTTCTGTAAGTCTGCCTAGAAAATCCATCATAGAGAGGTTTCCTATCTCCCCCACTGGTTTTGGTAGTGTTTTTTGGTTTGGGGTTTGGTTTTTGTTTTTCCTCCAGGAGAGGCATCTGTCAGAGTTGTGTGCTAATCCACCCACAGATTCCTTTAAAATTTCAAACTGGTGTTAGTGTCAGCAAATTTTTGTGAGCAGAGTTAAGGAGGTTGTGCCTGCATGTAGCTGGGACAAGTTGAAGGGAAAATATCAAGATACATTTCTTCATGGTGTAAATATTAGCTAGAACCTCCCTTGCCACTTAGGTGCACCCCTTCCTTGCACCCAGCTTCCATCCCTCCAGGTACTTGAAAATCATGTGCATGGTCTGATGATATTCCTCATGGAGAGACTCTCATGTGTTTTCAGTGACAATCTGGTGGGTGGGAGGGAGTCTTCTCATTCCCTACAACAGCAGCATCAACAGAAAGAAGTAACTTTGCAGTGCAACTAGAAGGGAGAAACCCTCAAGGGCATTACCCAGGATATATAGTGGAGAAAGGGAAATTATGGAATTTTTTTCCGTCCTTGCCTCTCCAACTAGAGAGAGGGAAGAGGAAAAAGGAGAAAGGAAAAAAGGTTTTGAACAGTGCTACATTTAAACAAGATGGGAATGTGAGCCTGCGTGGTACAGCTTAGAAGAGGCATTGCTTTGCAATCTGAAAATGTATGAGTAGCGCTTTTTTGTATTAGGAGGTTTCCTTTCTCTTTAATGTTAAAAATTTTGGTACCCTCTCCCATGTCACAGCAAAATATGACAGTATATTGCTGAGGAACTTCAAACTGGAACACATACTCTCTCTGTTAGGGTAAAGTAGTGTCAAGGAAACATACTCGTCCTATTCTCTGAGACACTTTTTGTTTTCAAATCTGTTTCAATTTGAAGGGTATTATTCAGCTGGAGAAGGAATTGGCAAATTTAGGAGGATCATGTGCAGCAGCTTTGATGAAGAAAGATCTAGCACTTCCTATTGGTAAGTACTCAAAGAACATACTTTGCTATTTCATCATTACTTTGGGTTTTCTAAATTAATTCCACCTTTAAGACTTAATGTTGCTTTTAGTTAGAGATAATCATATGAAATTAATTCTTAAAACTGAATTAAGCGAACAAGATAGTAGAGTGGTGTCCCCTTCAAGTGTGTATGGGGAGGAGGGAAACTTAGTCATTTAAATCTGAACCAACTCCCCCCATCCACAGGTAGTGTATCAGTGTGTGAGCTATGTCTTACAGCTTCCTCGTGGCACTTCACAAATGTGCAGGTATCTTATTTGTATTTCGCTTTCACTGGTTTTTCTCCCTGCATTCCACACCTTTCTGAATGTAAAATACCTGCATCATTGAATTGCAAGATTTAAAATTGCTAGTTTAAAAATTGAAAGTGACCATTGACCTTATAGCCCAAAATATTGCTGCTATAGGGGTATTTTTTACAATTACAAAAAACCCCGCACACTTCTACAGCAGATGCAGCAAATAAGCTTGCAGTAATCCAAATGCAATTTAAAATGTAAGAAAAAATGTGAGTTTATGAAAACGAATGAATATGGAGATGAATTAGAACTCCTACTGGTGCTGCCATATTCCGTGTAATAACTTCCCTCCTAATTAACATTAGTGTATAGGAAAAACATATAGAAGGATCTTTTTGATCATTTTAATTTAGGGGCACAAACAAGAGAGACTGACATGTGTATTAATGAACTGGAAGGCATTGATCAGTATTCAGTTACAACCACAAAACCTAATTAGAATTTTTTTTTTTACTTGGTATTTTGCTTGTGTATTTGAATGTGCAACATTCTTTATATCATAAATAGGCACCTCAGTTGCACTGATAGATCTGTATTTCTCTCTCAAAAGTATAAGGCAATTCTGTACTTTTAATAGTGCCCTCTTCTCTTATCCTCCAAACAGCTGCATTAACTCCTTAGTTTTGTTGACTGACCTAGCATCCATTTATACTTATGCTCTGTTAGGAAAAATAAAAAGGTTCTCTCTTAATTTCCCAGGTTTCCTAATACATCACACTTCTCTCTAAAGCATTTTGTTGGGGTTTTTTTGTTCTAATTTTGAATGTAGGTGGTACATAGATTGGCTTTGTATGCTTTTAGAAGGAAGGAATCTGAAATAAAATATGCAGTCAAGTTTCCTCAAGTCTCAGCCATCTATAAAAGTGGTTGTGTAAGATCTGCATAAGAGGAAGCATAGGTGCATTGGCCTGCAAATAGTTTCTGGAGTACTGATGTAATTGATTCATCTGACCATTTACACCAACTTGAGGACTTCAGCCAAGTTCTGTTAGTGTCGCTGATACTACAGTGCCAATGACATACATACATACTGTTTCATCTACAAGACCACTAGACCTTGTGAATAAAGCAGATTAATTCTAGGCAACAGTGGTAGCTGCTTTTTTACAACAGTTGTTGGTTTTTCAGAAGGTCACACTTCATCCTTGCCAGTTCTCTTAATTTTTAAATTTAAGATGCTTCTTTCCAAGAGAGATCTGATCTGTGTCAAAAGATCAAACTTGAACAGCAATGTGGAAATATATTTAACATTATTACTAGCAAGTAATTACCGGCATTTCAAATTTGGTAGAAGTTACTTCTGAGAGCAGAGTTTTTATATATCTCTATTTCTTTGGATTTTTAAAGTGCCTTAGGACTTGATTATTCTCCTTTCTCTTTCCTCTTCTGACTACTAGAATTTCCTGACATGCTTTTGAGAGAGAGTAGAAATACGGTAACCTGATGTGGTTTGCTTTTCTGTTAAAAGACTGCGTTTGGCAATTCTGGTCACCCTGGAGTCAGAATTTTGAGTTGCATCTGTGAGAAAGAAGTACTGTATAATAGAATGTATTTGAGCTTTATGTTTTAAGGAGAAATCATAATTAGCGAAATTGTGCGGAGTTTTCAGGTTTTCAAATACTAGGGTAAGCTTGTAAAAGGGAGCAGTTGGTATTGCTTCCCCAAAACTATCTTGACCTACCAGAATCTTTTCCTGAAAGTTTTTAGTCATATCCAAAGATTTGCCATACATACTGTCCTGGAGATAAGAAGTGCCAATTTTTCGCTTTGTGTAACGTATACTGTTGTATATATGGGCAAACAACAATTACTTGCTTGCGCACTGAACTACACAGTACTGCATGTTTACTGTATTACTTGAAAATACTCATCTTTCAATTGCTATATAAACAATATTACACATCCTCACGCAAGTTTAAATTTTGCAATATAAAAGGTTTCACTAAACAAGAGTTAACATTATATAATATGTAAATAAGTGTCAGTGTTATTGTTATGAAAAATAGATACTTATATTTTTACAGCAGGTAATGAATTTGAAGAAGATCTTGAGATACTTGAAGAGGCTGCCTTACAGGTATACTGCAGCTTTTTATTCATTGCAATTCTTAAGCAAATCACTTTTAAGGTTTATATAATAGGAGGGAATCCACCTTTTTATAAAACAGTCTAAGAAAGTCTTACAGAAGTCTAGTATTTACATTTAATCTTTTTTATAATAACTTCACTTAGAGAAAAATGTATTAATTATTAATTAGAAAGTTATATTACCAAGTATATTTCAAAATGCCTAAGTGTTTGGCTGAAGTCGCACTATTTAGGAAATTTTAAATGTTCCCAAAATTAATCCTCTACATGTCTTTGTAACTGGAGAAATAAAATCACTTCCTCAGTTGAGTGGAAACATTTAGCAAGTTGCCAGATTATATGATTTCAGTTGTCCTGGTTTGGTTAGTATTTTGTTTGTTGTAATGGGAGCTAATGCTAGTCAGTAACTCCCTGTCGGTAGTCCCTAGCTGATGATGAACAGCGAAAAGGAGTTTTCACATTCTCCCTCTTCCCTTTATTATCTTCAGGGCAACTGTTTTGAAATTCAGTTGTCACAGTACTTGTTGGAAAACTGTATCAGTGCTACTGCATGACACTGTTGCAGAGGCCTTAGATGACAGAATAGAAACCAGAAACTTATCTAGGAAGAATCAGATGTTCCTTGGAAGAAATATTTTTCCATCAGTCTGCTCTTAGACCCAACATGTTCTAATTCAAAATGTGAGCTAGGAGTGTGCATGGAAGTAATAAATTTTCAGTTTTAGTCCTGTCCAGTATTTCCTGTATCACAGAATCATGGAATAGTTAGAGTTGGAAAGGACCTTAAGATCATCAAGTTCCAACCCCCTTGCCATGGGCAGGGACACCTCGCTCTAAACCATATCACCCAAGCCCTTGTCCAGCCTGGCCTTGAACACTGCCAGGGATGGAGCATTCACAACCTCCTTGGGCAACCTATTCCAGTGCTTCACCACCATAACAGGAAATAATTTCCTCCTTATATCCAATCTAAACTTCCACTCTTTAAGATTTAACCCATTACTCCTTGTCCTGTCACTACAGTCCCTAATGAAGAGTCCCTCCCCAGCATCCCTATAGGCCCCCTTCAGATACTGGAAGGCTGCTATGAGGTCTCCATGCAGCCTTCTCTTCTCCAGGCTGAACAGCCCCAACTTTCTCAGCCTATCTTCATATGGGAGGTGCTCCAGTCCCTGATCATTCTCGTGGCCCTCCTCTGGACTTGTTCCAACAGTTCATGTCCTTTTGATGTTGAGGACACCAGAACTGCACACAGTACTCCAAGTGAGGTCTCAGGAGAGCAGAATAAAGGGGCAGGATCTCCTCCTCGACCTGCTGGTCACACTCCTTTTGATGCAGCCCAGGATACGGTTGGCTTTCTCGGCTGCGAGCGCACACTGAAGCCGGCTCATGTTCATTTTCTCATTGACCAATACCCCCAAGTCCTTCTCTGCAGGGCTGCTCTGAATCTCTTCTCTGCCCAGCCTGTAGCTGTGCCTGGGATTGCTCCGACCCAGGTGTAGGACCTTGCACTTGTCATGGTTAAACTTCATGAGGTTGGCATCAGCCCACCCCACAAGCGTGTTGAGGTCCCTCTGGATGGCATTCCTTCCCTCCAGCGTACCAACCGAACCACACAGCTTGGTGTCATCGGCAAACTTGCTGAGGGCGCACTCAAACCCACTGTCTGTGTCAGCGACGAAGATGTTGAACAAGACCGGTCCCAACACCGATCCCTGAGGGACACCACTCGTTACTGGTCTCCAGCTCGACATTAAGCCATTGACCACAACTCTTTGTGTGCAGCCATCCAGCCAGTTCTTTATCCACCGAGTGGTGCATCCATCAAATTGATGTCTCTCCAATTTAGAGACACCTTACTTCCCTTCTTGCAAAGAAAGGATTTATTTTACTTTGCCTCATTAAAAAAATTCTTTCTTTAAGAGATCTGACTGTCTGTAAGTTGTATCTGTGTCCTTTTGTGTTCCTTTGGAGCATGCTCACTTGTCACATTTTCAGAATGGCTTTCTTCATTCTTCTGATCACAGTTCAGTAGTTTAGGGTACTCTTAAGATGAAAGTTCATATTACCTTTTTTTTTCCCCCAGAAATTCTCCCTTAACTCAAGATCATTTAATCTCCTTTGATGTAAATTATTGTTTTATAGACTGAGGTGACTTTTATTTTTATAACTTGCATCAGAGTAAAATTTATCCACCCCTCTCCTCCTTGAATGGTTTTCAGTGCCCAGAGTGTCTGTAATTGTGTCATATTATGGGAAAGTGCCTACATGTAAGATACTGAAAAGCTGTTTTATGTCTCCATCATTTCATCCCCACCTCAACCTCTGCAAAAAAACACAGGTGTGCAAATCTCACTCTGGCATTCTTGGGAAGGGCTTGGCACTGTCTCACTCCCCAACCATTTTGGAAGCTCTCGAAGGAAATCTTCCACTTCAGGTACAAAGCAATGAACAGTCATTTCTGGAGGATTTCATTGCTTGTGTACCAGGATCAAGTGGTGGACGACTTGCAAGGTAAAAGTTTGTGTGCTGCATGAATAAACCCATTGCTTCATTGTTGTACTGTTGAAGTTTTACAGCAAAGTAGAAAATGTTACATTGTCTGCTAAATTTTAAAACCTATGCACTGTTGCATGCCTGTAAAACCAGCTATAGAACTTTTAACAGTTATAGTAAATACTGGTTAAATAAAACTATTTGGCTGAATTGTTTGCTTATGTATTCATACCTTCTCTTAGCTGGAAGTGAAATTTGTACAGAGTAAGTATTTATCTTTTGAGGGGCTATATGGGATTTTAATGTTAGGTGGTTTTCTTTGCTATAGGTGGCTTCAGCCAGATTCATATGCTGATCCTCAAAAAACATCATTGATTTTGAATAAAGATGACATTCGATGTGGCTGGCCAACTGTTATTACCGTACAAACAAAAGACCAGTATGGGGATGTTGTTCATGTTCCTAATATGAAGGTAATTACTGTAATCTTGACAACTATTATACTTCATTTTGCCATCTTTTAGTATTTGTTGTAGATACTTACAGAATACTCCTGCATAGGGCAGAAAATGGCATTCATAAATTCAGTGTAGTCAGACCTTCTTACCTCTGAGTCCACAACATTATCAATTTTTTTATTATGCCAGCACCATTTCCTGCAGTTTATATCTTGCCTGTAAAGAGCTACACTTGTGTACATATGGAAATAATCAGTTGTAGGCAATGTTTGATGGGGATGATGTGTAAGGTGACATAAGAATCCGTTTTTCAACTTAATTACTGTGTTTCTTCACAAATGTATTAAAGTAACAGAAACCTTTATTTAATCATTCTATTGGGCTCTCTCAGTGTGCAAACCACCGAAATACCTTTGGTGAATGAAGTCAAATTTTGATAAAATTGTGCAAAATCTGCAGTAGTTAAACATACTTTATTGCAGATTAAGGAAGAGTAATGCATAAACTTATTTTCCAGGTAGTCTCTTCTCCCTCAGCAAACTCTGTACAGCTGGCAATGTTACGTGCACTAATGGAGGTCTGTGGTATTTCTGGGGAAAAAAAGTCAGTTAAAATAATGTTAAAGAGCACAGTATAAATGTACAGTGCTGATAAACTAGGGTGGCAGAGCTAGACAAGATCCAGTCTCACCAGTGCTGACCCACATCTTGCAGGTTCTGATGATACACTCTGAAATCTGTGTACTCGTTTGGAAGGCTCTTTTCCTAGTCTGTAGGATTTTCAGTTGTGGGAGAACTTAACAAAGCAAACCAGACTACATGCTGCTTCCCAGGGTATACTCTGGGACTGGCAGAACTTACACTGTTCTTACAGTCACGTGCCAAGTCAGTTGGGTGCTTCTCTCATGTATATTTACATTGTTCAGAGCTGCTGTGCTTGGCTTTGCAAATTGTTTGGTGTAGACACACTGGTTTTTGACACAGCTGGATTTATAGTGACTTCCCTGAGCACTTTATCACTGTACATTATCAGATATAAAAAACAATGTGTGTGTGTTTTCTCCCTGAATCACCTTCTGTATTCCATATCTTACTGCAGGTAGAAGTCAAAGCTATTCCTGTTTCTCAGAAAAAAACATCTTTGCAACAAGAACAAGCTAAAAAGGTACAACGGATACCAGGGAGTCCTGCAACAGCTGCGTCCCCTACCAGTGATATGACCTTTGGAGGACTTCCTTCACCAAAGCTAGATTCTTCCTATGAGCCAATGATAGTAAAAGAAGCTCGCTATATTGCTATTACAATGATGAAGGTAAATTACTGTCATTTCATCAATGTAACTAAAATTCAGCATTCAAAGTGTGAAAAGGCATGTAAATGAGAGGGGAAAAGTAGATTTGTTTTTGGTCACAATCTAAAAATACATTAATTACAAATTACTTTGGTTATATTTAAGTTCAGCAGAAAACTAGGTGCATCAAAAGAGCCAATTGCCTGAACTCTAAAGCCATTATAAACTGGATTAGCATTTAAAAAGAAAAGTTTTCTTTGATTTTGAATTGTACTGATTAACAAACTAGTCTGAGCCACCCAGGAGAAATGAAAACAGCTATTGAAATGGTGAAGGGGAAGTAAAAGTAACATACCCATATAGAGTTGGAGTGTTGCAGTGAATCTGTGTTAGAAACTAAAACTGGTAAACACAGGGAAAAAATCAGAGCTCAGCACAGTAAAGTCATGATTTCTGTATCAATAGAAATTTTAAACAGCATCTGTTGAAATTAGCTGTTGTCAAATGGATCAGCTCTCTCGTTGAAACATGCTTAACTTCTATATCTAACATGTTCCTGGGGAATCTTCCAGAGGTTCCTTTCAGGTTAGTCTTTTACATCCAAAACTTCAACATTATTTTTTAATTCACAAGAGAGCTGATACTTTGCTGCTTAAATTAAGGGCTGTCTGAAATTTCGGGAAATGCAGATTTGTTACCTACTGTATTTGATTAGCTTATTAACAACTTTACTGATTCAAGAAAGTGTAAACATTCTCTTCTACTGCTCTCCCTGCATTACCGAGTACATTCATTTTACTGTAAAATGCAGATGTCCTCTGACTTTCGTACCAGCCTGCATGTTGTATCAGTACTTGGTGTAAACATCCAAATATGATTACAAACTCTGTCTTCTCCCTTCATGACAGTAAATTATGGCATGTTGTATAGAGACCCAAAATGGCTAAGCTGCATCTATGTTCAAATGTTATTGAACATTTAAACACCTCTTCTTCCCCTGTTTTTAATTTAACACAGGAGTCATATAACCACTGCAGCCCAGAGAGATTCTTGCTGAGGGACTTTTTGAAGTTCTAGGACTACTACCATTAGTTACTTATTGGGGGGCTTTTCTGTACATTAATTTCACAGGAAACTGTGCAAGTGAACCAGGTCTTTTTTGTAGTGGGAATCTATGGAAATACCACCTCAATATAGAGTGAATATGTTCTTCACTTTCAGTAGAAAGCAAACTCCTTTGATAAATCCACTGGCCTGGTTCGCAGTTTTTTACCTGCAACGTATTTTGCTTTATCCTCACATGGTCTCCAGTTCTCTACCTGCATTCAAAGGCTTTTTATACAAGTGTGAGGTGAGAACAGATTCAGGGACTTCACTGTGAACAAAGGTTTAGTTAGCAATACTTAGTTTATTATCTAAATAATGGCTGTTCTAAAGAGAAAGTGAAGGTCCTTTTTTTCATGTACGTATATATGTGTCTGTGTTTCTGTGCTTTGGAATTTGTTTCTGGTTCCCTGACCAATGCTTCTAGTGAGTGTTAAGTTAGATTACTGTGTTCTTTGAGAAAATCCTCTGCTTTCTTTTATCCATGACTGTCCTATAACTGGTAACTGTTGATTTTATGTTTATAATTTATTAATTATATTAATTTGTTTATAGGCATATGAAAATTACTCTTTTGAAGAACTTCGCTTTGCTTCACCAACACCAAAGAGGTAAACCTCAAAAAATTCCCTTTTTCAATAGGGACTTAATTAAAATGCCCTGTTATATCTGCTTACACCCAGATTCACAAGCCTCGATTGCCAGATAAACTTGTTTAAGGGCAGAAGCAGAAAAATTGCTTTTTTTCTCTTTCTTTTAAAATTTACATATTTTTTCTTAAATTTAGGGATTTTGTTTAGAATCATTAATACTTAATTGTGCTAATTTTGATTCACTATTTGTGGTATCTTCTCTCTGAATGTATTCTTTCATCATTTGCTGTAAATAAATGTGGCATAGAGAGTTATAACTTCATAATAAATAATAAGGGCTTAGTGCATTGGACAGAGAAAAAAGGTACTACAGATGGTTTCCAATAGGACAGTAATTGTTTAATCATTTCAATTGTTGTATTTATGTCTAGACCCAGTGAAAACATGTTGATCAGAGTCAATAATGATGGTACATACTGTGCAAACTGGACTCCTGGAGCTGTTGGTCTCTATACCATTCATGTTACTATAGATGGCATTGAAATAGGTATTTATTTTTCACTATGCTTAAGCATAAATTTATATTATGTCCACTTTGTATACTGATAAATGTATGTCTTGGTGCTCACAAGGCTTTTTATTACAGTTCGTAGCAAAACTTAGCACCCAAGTAACAAAAAAACTCCAGAAGAACTGAAGGAAAGGAGAAATTGTTCCTGACGATGCAGGAGTAAATAGTATCACTTTTACTGTGGAAAACTGAGAAAGTGTGATCTTAACTGAGACTCTACACCAGGTCTCAATTATTTGCACTAATTTTTAAATGCATTTGGTTTTTTCCTTGCTGAAAGTCTTTCAGTTGTCTTGCTAGTCCTAGAGATTATGTTACGAGATACTATAGCATGCTGTGGAAAGATTTCCCCTCCAAAAAAGGTCTACTGAGACCGTTAATTTGTAGTTTGGCTTTAACAGTGATTTCTTTTAAGATTGTTACTCGAGGTTATATCTCTCTTGTTTTGGTTGGGGTTTTTTGGTTTGTTTTCTTTTTTCTTTTTTTTTTTTTTCATCTTAGTCTTTGTTTGCTTATAGATGCTGGACTGGAAGTGAAAGTAAAAGATCCTCCAAAAGGAATGATACCTCCAGGAACCCAACTTATTAAACCAAAAGCAGAGCCTCAGCCAAACAAGGTTTGGAGAACTGAAAAAAAACCCCAAACTCCACAATCAAACACAAACAGATAGTTACATGGGGGTGGGATTTTATTGTTTACTACATACTTTCATGTTACAGTACTGCAGGACTTTAAGGTATTTGAAACCATTTTAATGTACTAAATGGAATTAAATTAATATACTGGATACAGTGAAAGCTATTCATTCCATTTTCTTTCTGTCTGTCCATGAATAAAACTGTTAGAAGCTCAGCAGAAACTTCCTTAACCTTGGATTGTCGCACAAATATTGTGCAACTATTATAAAAGCCTCTAGGCTGCATTCTGCACTATTATTAGTTCTTTGATACTGTACTATGAAATAGTTGTATAAAGTGCTTTACAAAGAATTTGTTTTGTGATAAGGATCTTCTTCAGTCAATATGAAATCCAAAATTAGCTTCTTTAGTAGTATCTATCTTTCTTAGAACATCATTATTTTATTTTTAATAGTTACTCTTTCTGTAGCTTTTGATTTCCCCATTTCACCCTGTCATTCGACCCTGGGGGACTAAAGTAGACATAAAGAATGGAGGAAAGCCAAAAGGTGCTGTGGCAGTGCTATAAGGAAAATACCCCAGATGAGGGGACCTCATCTTCTCACTCATCATCCTCATCATCCACTTCCTCTTAAATGCAAAGGAAAGGGTATTAAATGAGTCATTAAATCCTTTTTCAAATGAAGAAACCTGTATTAAAAGATGTGGAATTCTGAAATACCGCAAGGTTATCCTTCCCCATCTTGGTATAGCTGCAAAGGGGGCTAAGAAATACACGATTACAAAAATGATTGGGTGCTTGCCAACTTCTTACCTATACAGCACATCCTGATTTACATGAATAATCTAGTCAGCAATTTGTTGTACAGTTCCCCAGTCTGTAAATGCATCCAGCATCTGCTTGTGCTACTAACAAGATTCTTTTCTCTGCACCAACACCTCAAAATAAAAATATTTACCTTTAGTTTCCACACAATTTTTTTATCCCTCATTACATTATTTCTCTTCCTATTTTTTTTTTTTTTCAAAAAAAAAAATGTATTTTTAGGTTTTTCTCCCTTCTGTTGGAAGGGAGACTTCTGGTTACTTTATTATCTTAATTAAAAATTCCAATTCCTACTGGGTGAGATTCATCTCACAGAGCTTAATGATATCTATCCAAGCTGGTCATCATATGTGTTGTTTGCTGTTACCAAAGCACGAGAGGCATCTGGTCTAAGATGAGATAAATTGCTGGATGGAAGTGCTGGGTTCTTTTGAATTTTTGCAGTGGAAATTGACGACTGGTTCATGCAATAGCAGCTATGTTTTGTCAATAGTCTTTGTGAAAGCTAAAAATTCTTGATAAAAGTTAGGCCTCTGGTATTCTGAGGCATTACTTAGTGTTTAAAAATCTCCCTGTTTTCTTCTGCTTGCATGTTTTGTTTCTTGTTCCAAGCACTAGTCTCTTTGAAAAAGGAGCCATCTTTCTGTGCTTTATAGAGCCTGCTGCAAAAATACATTAGACCTGTCATGGTAAATCACATAATCACATAACAAACCAGGTTAGAATACTTTATGTGTGAACAGTAGTATTAGAAATAATCTAGAAAGGTAATTATTGCACTGTGCCACATGCATACGAAGCCAAGAGTACAAATTAGACATGTATTAGTCAGAGAAAGTCCAGTATACCAAATCACATTTTGCTGAGAGAAAGGACATTGTTAGAAGCTTCTTCCTCTTCATTGTCAGCCTGAAATTTAATACAACCAAAGGATGCTAACAGTGTATTCTCAGCAATGATCTGTTCTTGACTACAAATGACAAAATATTTTCATTAAGGTAGTGGAACATTCCAGTTTTGTAGTCAAACCTTACTTGAATTACAAGATGAAAATGGAATAGTATATAGTAATACAGCATATTACAATTTTGTAAAGACTTTTGCTGACCATTCAAGTTGCTAAAGGAGATTATCATAGTGATCTCTGCTCAGCCTGGAGTATATGACCTATAGGAACTGCTTCCTCCTCATCGGCTGTGAAACTTGGATTAACTAACATGCAGAAAATTTCATTCCACTTCTATTGAGGGAAACATTACCTTTCAAGCTATGTAATGTAATTCAGAGTAGCTGGAACCAAGAGGAAGGAAGCAGTTCCGATCTAGCTGAATTGGAAGTGGCAAAACTGGTAACACAGCAACAAATCTCTTGAAAACTGCTGTGCACTGGAGTACCTTAATTGCTGAGCCTTTCTGCATTAGTCACTCCTTTAGTCAGAATCCATTTAGTTATGAACTGGTTATGAGGGTTACAGGGCAGAGTTACTGAACCATAGAGAAATATTCCAGGCAAAGAGGTGCTATATCAGGAAGAAGACTCAGACAGTTAAGTTTTTCGTGATGATCAGAAATGGAATATAATTTCATCTCTTTTTTTGTTGTATTGTCTTGTCAATGGATCTGATCACTAAACTGTTTGTAGCTACAGCTTGAAGTTTTCTATTAACTAGTTAGCTGCTGCACAGGGGAAAAATGCTCTTTCCTGGCCTGTGCATATCCACATCTTGAGTGCCAGTACTTCTTCCTCTAAATTCAAGGTTTTAATTCAAGTTTAAGCTTCTTATCGTATGATTTTCTGAAGTAACATTTTTACTGCAGGGACCCTCATTTGCAAGGCTCTGTTTATGGGCCTTTCTGTGTTGAGAGTGCTGTCAGCAGGGATTCAGCCTTACATTTTTACAAGGACCTTGTAAGTCCTACTTTTGCCTGTTGAAAAATCTAGATCTTTGGAGTAACAGGGTTGTTAGTAAACAAAACCGTGCACGTTCTGGAGTAAGTTACACTTGAAATTCTTCACGTTTCTGTCTTTTTTTTTTTTTTTATTAGCTTTAAAATAAATGCCATTTTTTAAAATAAATAGTTTATTTGTGGGGAGGGAGGAAATCAGGCACTTAGCTGTTAACCTTTCATTACATTTTCCTGAGTTTATTCTTTCCATACCATTCTGTGCTGTATGTTAAGTTAGAGTTTATACTACAGTTTATACTTTTTCAGTTTTGTGTGTGGAGTTTGAAAATAACCTTACAAGAAGAAAGCTTTATACTGCATGGATAGAATATATCCACTTCTTAAAACCAAAGACCAAAAGCATGGGTTACATTTGTTCTCTATAGGATAGGTGCCTGATAATGTGTTTGAATGGTGAAAAAAATTATAGTGAATAACAACTAGGAGATTTTTGGGGGTGTGGTGAATCAAACTAATCGCAAGGAGCATCTGATCTAACCTTCCTCTGAAAAAGGGAGAAACTATTGAAAGAGATATTTGAAAAATAAAGAAGTAGAAAGATCTGTTATTTCTCTATTTTTAAATGCTTGTTTAAACTCTACAGCTAAAGAAAATATCCACATTCTGGCCAAAAAGCTGACAGCACAAATGAGAAGTGGTAATCCCAGGTTGATCAGTTACTGGAAATACTAAATTTGAAAAGGCAAAACCCTTGAAACTTGTAAGAATTAGTAAAATGAATAGAGGGCAGCAGTTAGAGGAATCAGAAGCTTGTAGTGAATATTGTGTGGTATAACACAGATCTTTCTAAGGCTGAATCAGTGCACTTTCAGGGCTTTTCTTAACTTTATGATTTTATTGGTTATAGTAAAAAAGTGAAGTTACGCACAGCAGCCATGGGAAACTAGCAACAAACTGTAACTCTAAGACTGCCATCTCATCACTGGCATTTCAGAATCTATTAAACCTACTTCTTTTACTCTTTGAGAGCTCTGTTCCAATTTTTTCTTCCTTACTGTCTTCCTTTGCTTCTCTTAGGTTCGCAAATTTGTGGCCAAGGACAGTGCAGGGCTTCGTATCCGTAGCCACCCTTCCCTTCAGAGTGAGCAAATAGGCATAGTGAAAGTCAATGGATCCATCACTTTCATTGACGAGGTAATTAAGGGATTTCTGTTGAAAATTGGGCTAAGATGTGAAGTTAATTCATGCAAATAATGTTTTTTTCATGTTTAGATGTTGACATACACAAATTAAGAACATAACAGTGTAAATCACAAAAATTAAATATTTACTAATTTAGTTTTTCAAGCTGTCATTTCCTTTTACTTACTTGAAAACCTGTGTAACAAATTTTCCAGACTAATAAGAGGAAACAAAATTCCTACAGTTCATCTTATAATAATATCTCTAAGAATTAAGGTGTTCATACCTTACTATTTCAACCCTACATAAAAATTTAGATGTAGGTGTTAATTCATTACATCTTTTGCTTACACTTCTGAAAGATCACTAGTGTGTTAGACTACTATGCATGTATGGTTTTTACAGTATAAGTTTATATGTGAGGAATATTTCTGCAGTTTACTAAGTTATAAAAGCAGTGGAAAACTGGCAAGTGGGGAACTTAAAAAAGCTTTATGAAGACTTGACTTTCCTCTTCTCTCAAAGCAACTCTTATTACTGCATGAGCTGATTTAAATTTATCTTTGCACCTTGCCTTCTAAAAAGATATGCCTCCCATTGCTTTGAAATTCTGGTTTTGTTGATGTTTCTCTTTACCTATTTCTTAATTCTGTCAGCATAGTCGTGATCACTGCTTCCTTGCTGCTGTTTGTTTGTCTGAAGTCTGTTAATCCTTACTAGCTTTGGAACAGTTACAGAAGGGCATGGCTCGTTTTTGTTGCTTGTTTCCCATAGATCCACAATGATGATGGTGTTTGGCTGAGGCTGAATGATGAGACAATAAAGAAGTATGTTCCTAACATGAATGGTTACACTGAAGCCTGGTGTCTGTCTTTTAACCAACATCTTGGCAAGAGCCTTCTGGTACCTGTTGACGTAAGTAAAAGGTGCCTTTGAAAAATATCCAAAAGGTACACTCTATCCTCATTACAAGACTTTCTTTAATTAAGGCTGCAAATGAGTCCTGAGGTAAACAATACTTTAGTTACCAAATACTACCTTATATGTGTTTGCATTTTTGAGGGCTGTTGTGTAATGAGGGTGGAGTGTAGAAAGGTATGAGGCTTTTATGTTGAAACCTCTTGTCCTAGAAGAGGAACAAAAATGCAAGGACTGCTATAACAGCATACAAAAGTATAATCAAACTAGTTTGTTGTCTGCACCAGATGTTTCTGATGTACGATTTCATTGTCCATAAAGTGTTCCACTGATGCCATGATTTCAGAAGAGTATTGCAGCCAGCAGTGAATTGATGTAACTGAGGCTTTCTTAAAAAACTGGGAAAGCTCTTCAGGCTCTGTTGCTTTTTGTGTATATTTTTGGTGAGTTTCACACCTGAATCCTTGAGTTATCAATTTATTAACTAATCAAAGAGTCCCAGAGCATCAAAACTGAGTAAAAAATTGAACTTATAAGAGGAGGCACGATGTAACACAGTAATTTTAATGGTGATCGCCATCACAACAATTCAAAGATTAGTTCTTTTCTGGAAACAAGATATAGTTTAAAAAAACAGTGTTTCTCAGAAAAATTGTTACAGTGCAGGCCTTTCTGGCTCATCCAGTTTTGTGCATTCCCTAAAATGGGCAGTACTGTGGTTTCTTCAGGGTAGAATGTGAGAACCTGATCTAACTGCAAATACCGCTGTTTAGATCTGATTGTCATCTTATATGAGCGAGCTGATGCTGCTGTTCCAGTGAAACAGGACTGTTTGCTAGTAGCCAACTGTGAAAGTTCATAAATCCCCTGTGGCTGCAGCCTGTGTTCTAGCACTGTTGCTCCCTGCCCATGTCAGAGTGGTTGGAACTAGATAATCTTTAAGGTCCCTTGCAACCAAAACTACTCTATAAATCTATGATGTGACTAGATTATCTTCGTATTCACTGTTTTGTCTATAAACTATTCATTATTTTGGGAATTACTTTAATATTGCATTTGGGAAGCAAAGTATTTCTGTAGTCAGCCATCAGACCCTCAACACTGATGATGGGCATACTTACCTGATTTGTTGTAGAATACATGAAAACACAGACAAAAAAATCAGCTTTGCTTAAAATGTTTTGCCTTAGAAATTGATGCACATGAGAATTGCTATATTATACTTCCACAAAACAATATTTGTATGCAGCAGTTGCATTTTACCCGTTCACTGGTGATAAAAGTAAAATCACCTTGACTAAGTAGTTAACTTCAGTAAATATTGTAAGTCTGGATGGGTATTACATTTTATAGATTTTTTGTTTTGTTTTGTTTTTTAGTTTAACTATTTCTAATTCTTTTTTACTTGCTGAAGGGAATAGTTTTGAGCTTAGCAGTTATGTATGTGATTAGCGAGAAGTTTCTGCTCACCACATACATGACTTTCAAATACCTCTATCACACTCTTACTTCTAGAGAAGAACATACCCTGTGCTCCCTGAGAAAAGCCTGAAAGGAAATGGCTGTCATAAATAACATTCAATCTTGATAATGTAATCTTGAGAATTAAAATTTTATTTGAATAAGTAGGTCAGGTATAATCAAATGTGAAAAACAGTATTTAATTATCATACATTTCATTCTTCTGTAAACTTCAAATAAAATTCTTTTTTTTTTTTTTTTTTTCTTAATTGGTGTTGTAAATTAGTTTTGATACTAGACTATTAAGAGCAGGTAGATATGCCTGATTTTCTTTTAAGTAGCCAGTTGCATTACATCTTTAATGACACAAGGTGAAACAACACATGCTTGCTTAGTTTCTGATAAGCAATGGCCAACATAGTAGAAATCTTAACAGAAGCAACTATTGTAACAATGTAGCTGTACATAATGAGATGTATTTTGAACTAATTTTAGATGGAAGGTTTATTTGCATCTCTCATATACTTTCAAATTTTTGAAAGGACTTAGCACATCCTGAAACTATTGGATTTCATTATGACCATACATAAGCATAAAGATTTGTCATTTGATTCATAATAATAAGAGATAAAAGGAAAAACTGTTCTCTAATAGTTTCTTTCTTAAAGGCCACAGAACAAAAGTCAAGGTTCAGTGGCTTTACTTCTGAGTGCCTTAGCCTTTACTGCATGCTTTTCCAGCATTACGCACCACACAACTTTACGAAATTCAAGAAACTCTTTTGTAAGCTCCTGATCTTTGTAGTTCAGCTTAAAACTCTTTTTTTCTGCTAAATCTTGATCATCCCTTAAGTAAATAAAATCTCATTACATTTTCTAAAAATATGTAAAAAAAGTGTATTTTTAAAAGCAAGCTGTAAAGCTTCGTCACTGTATTAATTGAACAGTGAACAAAAAAACCCCAGCATTTTGCAGCAGTGTTAATTTTGGCCTCTTGTCCTCTTGAGACATATGTTGTATCCACATTTTATTTATTGACATTAACTAGATATTTTATGGTAAAACAAACATTGAATATCATAGATTTCCTAAATATTTAGTTTCTTCTGTATATTTTGACCAAAGCTGTTATATTTAAAGACAAATGATCTTAGGATAGTGAAGATCCATTGTAGTTACTATTTATCTGAGCTGTGGTCGTTTACCTGCTTAGAAAATCTGCATAGTTGTTTCTGTTCCTCTTGTTGCTCTTGTGCTTTCATGAGAAACTGCTATACAGCCATGGATCTGAAACTGTGCTTCCAATCCATTGTAGGCAATGTGATTATGAGACTATGAATTTAATAGACTCCGACTTTGGATAAACTGCTTCCATCCCTAGTAGTCACTTTTCTTTTGTGACATTCAGTTAACTTTTTGAGAAAGTACTTGTGAAGTTCCTTAACCATTTATGTTCTTATGCTTACACACAGTATTTAGTGGAAAGGTACAAATGTCATAAACCAGTACACATTAGGAAGCAATAAATTCAATCTTGATTAAACTCTGGAACATGACTTCTAATAAATCATATTCTAAATATGGTTTTGATACTTAATTTTAAATATAAAACTTTACTATAAGGCATATTGTACCCTGCTGGCCAGTTATATCATTACATTACTCAACCCCCAGGCAGGCAAGCAGGATTGAGAAACTGCATTTTTTTAAAAAGCCATTATTGCAGTAGAAGAAAGAACCCGAATTAGTATATAGACTGCAGTGTTTGGTCACAGAACCTCGGAAAGCTGAATGTGCTGTGGAAACATTGAAGGACATTTACAAGAGATTTCTACCATCTTTTAGGCATGATGGAAGGCAGTTGGGAAGGAAGATAATGTTGAATAAAATGTCGAGATGTTTTTTTCAAAGCTAAGGCATAAGCCTTAATAATACTGAGATTCTGAATACTTCTCAATGATCTGCTACTTTTTGCTGGCAAATTTAAGTAACTTTTTTTCTTCCCCTGAAACTTTATTGAAAAAAAGTATTAATTCCTGATTTTTTTTTTTCTTTTTTCTTTTTGGAAGGGAAAGCTTGAAAGGAAAAAAAGGACCTAAATTTGCAGATAGTAGCATAAGGATTAAATATTGAGCTTGTATTTAGTACGTTCTTCAGAATGAAAACTAGAATACATGCATGATCTGTTCAGCTAAACTAACATACAGTGTGGTAATAGCCAGGAAGCTCTAAAGCTCCCAGACAAAAGGAGAGCTTCTAGTTTGATCATCTTAGTGTTGAGAAGCCGGCATGGTCCCATTTCACTACTGTTGGTTTCCTTTGTGTTTTACATGTACAGCTTTACAACATACAAAAATAGATCTTTAAAGTGATACTTAATTATTTTATGTACAGGTAGTCCATATTTCTCTGTAGAAGTCCATGGCAAAGTATGAGACATGCTGCAAAAATAAGTCAGTTAATCTGTGTTGGATACTTATGAAATCCACTCTCATTAGGCAAGCATGGGCTTCTTATAGTTTTTGTAGTTTTATTTCAAATTGATAAGCCTTTACCCTGCCAGTCTTCCTATCTAAGTCCCTCCCCACCTTCCTCGGTGGCCCAGACATATCTTACTAGGGCATTGGTACCTCTTTCTGTTTTAAGTAGAGGTACTGTAAATTCGAAAGAACTCCTGGTGTTTTGACAGTCTCTCTGTTTGTCAAAAGCAGAAATCATTTGTGTTACTGCAACTTGTTGTAAGCAGATGTTTGGCAAACAGAACGTAACTGAATGGTTTACTTCTGTCATGAGACAGACACACGGATTTACTTACTTTAGCATGTGAATGTCTTTCAAGGAATACAGGGAAGGCATGCCAAGAGTGTTTTGTACTTGTTTCAGCTTAAAGGGGTTCCTTGCCTTTTCTTTAATTACTGTTAAATTTTAATGTGACTGCTGTCCAATGATTTCACTTGGTTTCCCTAGCAGAATGGGGATAGGAAATGAGACTTCATTTCCTGTTTGTGGAGATAAAAATCTGGATGTGCCAAAGGGATTCTGTCATAAATACCTATTATTAGTACTACTGTATACATACTATTAATCCTTTTATTTGACAGGAAAAGTGAAAAATTATTTGAAATTAGTAGAAACCAGTTTATGGAGAAAAAAATGGTTTCTTTCTCATGTTTTCCAGTGGTTAATAAATGCTGTCCTAGCTGTTCTGCGAGAGGAAAAAATACACAGAACAGCAGTACTCATTTCTAGAGTTTTTTGTTACTTGTTATAACATTAATGAAGCCTCTCTGGCAGCTCTATTTAGTTTATGATAGTTCATAACGAACTAGTAAATGCATTTTCTATTTTATGAAACTGATGAAATCTTAGTATTCTCCTTACAGCCCTCTGAAATTTTTGGCTCTGGTGAGGAGCGCATTATTGATGTACAAACTGGTGAAATCATTCTGTGCAAGTGAATTGCTTTCAGCAACAGAGAGCTTAGCCCTTCTACATCTATTCAGTTCTGACTTGGTGACTAAAAGTCCATGTGCATTTGGCTTACAATAGTTGAAATTACCTTTTGGAACAGCAGACCACCTTGCTGTACAAAACCAGGGTTTGTGGTGAGACCAACTACTGTTTCATTGTAACAGAAGCAAGGGATTTTTCTCTGCACGAAGTCTCCAGCTTTATAAGGAATGTCTGGCTCTTAATTTCAGTAAATGGCATGACACACTACATCCATTTTGAGCTTTTGACATGCTGAACTGGTTTTGTTTAATGGATGATTTGCCATGGTGAGCAATGGACTGGGGTGACTTGATCAGGAAAGGAAAACTTTTCTCCTTTTGCAAAACAATCTGCCAGTAAATTTACATGTGGAGAAAGTTTGCATTATAGTACCTCGAACTTCTTCCTCCAGTGTTTCTCTGTTCCCATTTCTTTGTTGATATATGTCTTTTTTTCAAACTTTGTTGCTCAGAATGTCTTTAATGCTAGCCAAGGAGTAAGGGATTTGGACATTTTTACATGGACTTCCAAAGCTTTACCCCTTAAGGTGAGTTAAATGACAGGAACAGTCACTCTGTATCTTGTGTTTTCAGATTGTACATTATGACTCAATTTCACACTAAATATTACTTTGAATTATGTTTACAGGAAATGGCAGATTTGCATATGGTGCTGTATCTGTGTCTCTTCCTTTAGGATGAGAAAAAGTACCAGGGCAGATTATTGAATTTTCCTTAACCCATAAGTAGCATTTTCCTTTTTTAACAAACCAGATTAGAAATTGAGTGATGGCCTAGTAACACAATGAAGGCTTTCATTCTCATTGATGCACCATGTCCTAGTAATTTTTTTTTGTCATTGGAGTGTTCACATTAAGTTGCAGCATTTAATAAGATGATATTCTTATGAGGAAAGCCACAAATATTTAATAAATACTTAACCCATTCTTAATCCTTTTATTCTTAAATTATAAAATGATAGGAACAAGTTATGTTATGTACAGTTAAGCACTTAAAGTCATCTGCAGAAGTGCTTCTCTAAATCACTTTGTAGCTCTGTAGCAATTTAGAATCAAGTTTTTTTTTCCAAAGGCATTGTAATGAAGATGCCACATGGTATTTGTTTACAGGTTTAAAAACTTGTTTTTCCACTTAATCTTTTTCCCCAAAATAGCAAACTGCTTTATTATTATGTCAAAATCTAGACATATTTAATCTGTCTTTAAAACATACAGATTGATGTTTTTTTTTTCGTTGAACCAATTTACCTCAGCTTTCATTAACTTGCTTTGAAAGTTAGGTACTTACAGAACAGATTCATTGTTTGTATAAAGGCTTCTTGTAGAGACTGTAGTATTAGTCTGGACATAGTGCACAGACCAGAAAGCTGAAAGTATGATAATTAAAGAGATTAAGAAAATACATGTGTTATTTTCTTTTTAGTTAATAGAGAAGTTTGGTTTAAAGCAGGTGATAGTATTCTAAAAAGCAGGAATTGAACTCATGGAAGGTGTTACAGACTGCGGGTGCAAAAATTACCAGCACATTCAGAAGAAATTAAATAAATCTATAGAAATCAAATTCATAAATAAATATTAAGGAAAATAGCAAATAGCCTCCAACATCCATAATAAAAAGACATTAAATGTAGTTGATGTATAAAAGACAGACCACTATTAAGGACTTGTATGCTAATTCTAAAGAGCATCTCCTGTTGCCACTGCTAAACACAGTATATTGGACTAGATGATCCACTGTCTTCATCCTATAGGGCATTTCTTAGTTCTTAACTTTCACTTGTTCCTTTAAAAGCAGCTAATACTTGCATTATAAGCATAATAGAGCTCGCTCCTGCTTCTTACTTGCTTTCTTCTGAAAAAAAATGCATTTCTTTACTCCTGTACCTTGTATTTTGTGCACAAGAGCCTTTTTCTTCAGGCTATGGCTGGCTGAAAAATTTATGCTAATATTTCAGTAACTACCAGTTTTTCTCACTAGGAAACTCAAAAATTGTTTTCTCATTTCAGATTTCAGTGTAGATTTTCTCTGTAATTGGTACCAGGTGAAATAAATTTGCAGACCATTTTTATTCTCATAGTGAAAATAATAAATATGCACTAATATTGACGTACATTTAAGAATCTATGGTGTTGCTGTTCTTTGTCTTTACTCTAAATTAACAAGGTATTCTAAATGTTAAATCAAAAGAAGCATATCATTTGGAAAGAGATAATACTCAAATTCCCTTTACACAGCCCCAAACTTTTTGTCAGAATTTCAGAAATATAGCAGGAAGAAAGCATGTATACTGATAAATGTCAGTATGAAATGAGGTTTAGTGAAAGGGTTTAGAATAAATAATTTGTCTATAGTGGTAGATATGAGATACTACTTTTATATAAATGGTTAAGTTTATACCATCTTTGTTTCAGGAGTAATATGGTGACTTTCCAGTTAATATCCAATATACTAGTAGTTAGTTGTTCATCGTTGCACATTAAAATTAGCAATATTAACTAGTACCTCTTTTAGCTTTGAAATTTAGCTATTGTAGTCTTAAAATAAGTATTAATTATCTAAAGAGTTCAAAGGTATTATTAATAGGTTTTACTCTGTTTTGTTTTGCCTTTTTTTTTTTTTTTAAATTTCTCAGGAATCTAGGTGTAATACTGATGATTTTTTCAAAGACCTAAATTCACACTGCCCACAGGAAGCAGTGATGCAAGAACAAGATATGCCATTCCTTCGAGGTGGACCTGGAGTGTACAAGGTAGTGAAGACTGGCCCATCAGGTCACAACATCAGAAGCTGCCCTAACCTTAGAGGTATCCCAATTGGAATGTTAGTTCTGGGAAACAAAGTCAAGGCAGTGGGCGAGGTATGGATCCTTGTAGCTTCAGTTCATGTCTTCATAGATACCAGTATATAACAGTAGTAAACACAGCAAAAGAATCTGCCCCTGTACAGGTTTGCTTTTCCAACCCTCACAATAAATACTAACCTATGAACTTGGTTTGTATTATAAGTACTAATGCAATTATGTCTTTTGCCTTTTAGCTGTGTGTTTTGATTGGAATAATGTTAAAATTGTATTGCAGTTGCATATGCTTGCTTATGTATTTCTGTTACGGTTACTGTTATGCCACAAAATAACGTTTCATGCTCAACTTTTTTGTCGTATTCTTTGACAGAATTTTGTTTAATTGAAAAGATTTTTTTTCTAGGATCTAACCAATTAACACATTCTGTTTCTCTGTATTGATTGTATTCATTTGTTCAGTCGCTGAACTATTGTTACTGTTCCCAGCTGTGGTATTTTATGGTTAAGAAGGGCTTAAGGATGAAGTGTGTCATGCTATTTCCTAAATATAATATCAGGGAAAAAATTAGTACTTGTACAAACTTTGCATAAAGAACTTGGTATTACAATTCTACTGTTGCAGCCACCAATAAAAGGCATGTTTTGATGAATATCTCCTTCAAGTTTTTATATGGCTTTTTTTGGGGTGTTCTGAAGTTGTGTTGGCGTTTTGCTTCTTTTGAACGTAAACAGGTCTAAGATTTTTGTAAATGTGCCATAAGTAGATTTGGTACTTCAGTCTGCCTCAGCCTGTGGCCTTAATTTAAGAAACCTTTTTTTTTTTTTTACATTTCTTTTGTAATATAAAGATTGGAATGAATGTGTTTTTCGTGTACTATAAGAAGTTGCTGAATAATGCTACTGAATTATCTGAAAAGTAAATAAATTGCACTTTTTTTATGTGTGTGCATCAGGTGACTAATTCAGAAGGGACATGGGTGCAAATGGATAAGAACAGCATGGTAGAGTTCTGTGAAAGTGATGAAGGCGAGGCATGGTCGTTAGCTAGAGACAGAGGTGGAAACCAGTATCTCCGACATGAAGATGGCAAGTTGTTGTTTTGTTTTTTTAATCTAACTTATTAAAAATTAAGCAATCTAAACGCGACAAAGAAGCAGAGACAGAATTGAGTTTTAAGCAGGTATAACATTTATTTACACTTTTTCATTTGAGTTACTTTGCACAGTTGGACTTCAAAGTTACTTAGAAATATACTTCAAATATTTTTTAAAATAATAGTTAAAATATTTCCCCATGTTTTCTTCTGTACCCGTTACCAATCATAATTTTAACCATCCTTCTATCAGCGAAGAAGGGGAACAACCAGGAGCTTTTAACGTGTAAATTATGGACAGGGGAATAGTGTTTTCTTGCTACTTAGCACAGTGTCTTTTTTGTAGTCATAGATTCTCCATTTTTGGTTATGTCTAATAATGTCAAGTTCTAAGGAGTTCAAAGAGCACAAGTAGATTCTAGAAATCGAGTATTTGTGAATTAGAACAATACCTTGCTGTTGAAAGCATATTTATTCAAAACATCATTTCCTTTTCTAATATGAGGCTGTTTGCTTTTCCAGTAGAAAATTATTTCTCTGAAGTTAATAAATTAAGCAGTGTGCAGAAATTTCCACTCAAGAGTACTTATTTTGAGTAAATATAACCTAAATTTAAATACCTTCACAGTATTTTGTGTATTTTTAGTCTTTTCTAGTTTTAGTAATTTCAGATGTCATTTCATCTTTTCTGAAATTCCTCGGTGCTTTAAGAAAGAATTCCCAAGTTTGGAAGAATTTAAATAAGACCCTTTCTTGAAGGTCTGTCTTCAGCTTCTTGATACTTCTCTAATGAAAGATGTCTTCAAGTACAGAATTGTTTTCACAGAAAAACAGAAATGCAAGCTCCAGACTTAGAGGTCAAAACGCTGTAGCAGGACTTTTACAGTGCATAGGGATACCATTTTAGAAACTTTCCTAAGCCTCAAAGAAACTTTGTCCTAAACCTCGACATGTCTGGTATTATTCCTTTCTAGATGAATCTATGTTTTTATAAGTAGGGTGAAGATAGGTGTATCTTGTGCATCTACCTACAGCAGTTTCAGTAGTTATTAGTGCAGTTACTAATATTTCAACCTATTTCGTGTTCCTACTCTATTTTAGTACCAGGTGAAACTAATGTGCTTAAGTGACATCTGAAAATTATTTTAATTAATTGCTTTTATTTACCGTGAAATTAATTAGAACTACTCTTTGTCATCAGTTTCAATGCTTTTGCTAGAGGAAAATAACTAGTATTTGGAGGATCTCCAACTGCATTTGCATCTGTTTTTATCCAGAAATAATACCATCTTTAAAATTACTTTTGTATTTTCCTTATTTAATAAAATTATAATAAAATTCTCAAAAAAAGTAGTATTTCTGTCAGAGACAAAACAAAAGCCTTACTGAAACCACAAGTCTTTAGCCAGGTATCCAGATGCTTCAGCTGAAACACTACAGCAAGATCTGCATTTGCCTCCAACTAAGAAAATTCCGTTTGCTTTCTTTGAGCTGATAATTAATTTTTTTTTCTTTTTAATTTGGCTGTGTGTATCTTGTAAATGTTTGTACTCTGAAAGGCAGTTTTGGCCTGAAATGTAGTTTTCTAGCAAATATAACAATTGCGGTCTAGAGCATAAACATTGAATGGTGTGATGTCACTGAAAAACAAAGTGTCCAGCATGTTCCAAAGTGGCATATGACAGCAAAATTGACAGCAACTCGGTCAAACATAAAAGCAGTCTGCACTGTATTAAGTCTTCATCTTTATGTTTTTAGAGCATGAGCTCCTAAGAGAGATGTGCTTTTGTTTTCGAAGAGAATTGGGCATAAGTGGAAGAGTGCTATCTGTGGGGAAAAAAATATCACTCCTTTGCTTTGTGACTGATCATTCCAATGTAAACCAGTTACAAAGAAGGTCTAATTCTGAAGTGGTATGTTGGGTTTTTTTCACAGAACAAATTCTTCTAGATCAAAATGTTCAGACTCCTCCCCCAAGCCCTTTTTCAATACAAGCTTTCAGTAAGGGGACAAGCTGTAGTAATGGACAAGGGTTTGATTACGGCCTTGGAAATAACAAAGGTACGTTTATACACTCATATTTTAAAAAATCATGGTTTTCTTAACTTTGTGTGTATTTTTATTACTCATTTCCTACTCTTTTAGGCCCTATGAGATGATCTCCAAAACACATAAGCAGTAGTGCAGTGAATTGCAAGGTGTTTTACAAAGCACGTAGTTAGTGCTACAACTGCCTTTTTTCTGCTTTACTATCACTCAGTCTAAATACTCTGTATAAAAAGGGTCATCAAAGATCTGTAACTTACAGTTGAGGCTTTCTGTAGCAGCAGATACAAAACTATAATGCAGAAATCAGAAATACATACTTGTAAAACAAGATAATGAAAACTGTTCGATTTAGAAAGCTGTGCTTTACATTGGTGAGAAACATTTGTAAACACTTCTCACCTGTCCTGACCTTTTAAGAGCCTCTAATGGGATGGCAAGATAAAAAGATACCATCTGAGATTTAAGTTGTAAAACTGAAGTTACCTTTCAGTCTCAGTAAACTGAAACTGCATACCTTCTGTTTATTCATTGAATAGATCTAGAAGAGTTAGTAATACAGAAGGGACTTTTGTTGAGGCAGATGTCCCTGAGAAATATTACTGAAACATGGAGCTTTGTCATTCTGCTCTTATATCGCTGTAGTCTGTCCATGCTGCTACGAACATGGGCCTAAAGTGTGCAATGTGTTTCTAACACCAGCATATCTTTCTAGTGGTCTTCTAGATAAAATAACTTGATTTAAGACTTGTTTTAAAAAAAGAAAAGATGAAGGGGAGAAGATTATTCCTACATGTTCTAGTCTGATGTTTCCATAGCAACAAAGTTTTATATCACTTCAGTGTTCTACTGCATAAAGAAGCAGTTCATACTTGTCCATGCATTCCTATAGGAACCCACCTTTTATTTATTTTTTTAAACAAAAGCTGGAACAGTTGAAGTGTTTTCTTTTTGATTTATAGGTTTTTTTATAGAACTATTTTTCCCACTTCAGCTGTACTCTTTTCAAAGTAATGGTTCAGTCACAGAAGTGGAAGTGTTTAAGATATTCAGTGTGTGAGGCAGTATTACAGGTTGTCTCTCAGCATCAATTATTTTTTTTCTGCAGAAGCATATTGTGAAAATATTTCATTTTCTGTTGTCCAAAGATAAAATCTTGGAGATCAATATGCTGTATTAACAGGTATCTTAGTTTTTGAAGACCTCATGATTCTTTTTAATAGATCCTATCTTAAAGAGTTCCTAAGGTGTTTCTTTGGGATATTACAGTTACAGAAAGTTTGGAGCTACTCCTGGTATTGAAATCCATGCCATTTTATTCATAATATTCTCTTGACATGCCCTCAGGCTGTGCTGTTTAGTGTGAGTGAGCAATTTGGGTAGATGACTGACTTCATTCTGTGTACTGTCATTCTTCTAAATTGCCCAAGAGCGGAGAGTTGGTGGCAACTAGATTGGAAGAATAATTACATTATTTTCCCAAAATAGAAGCCCTCATCTGTATCATTACTTTGCATACAGTCATTTGCCTTCTCAGGTCTATGAGGCTTTGAGTTTTGTGGAAAACAAAAAAAACGAAGGCACAAGCACAATCTCTTAGGGGAACTTCTGCATGAAGCAGTTCCTTTTTTAGGTGCTTGTTTGTTATGAAAACTTCTTTTGGGATGCACTAGTTTCAGTGAAAATTCAGTCACCATCCATAAGTATTTCAAACTGCTGGTCAAATGTGAAGATCTCCATGTAATACGACTGTGTTTACTACCTGTAAGGCAGAAGACATAATTTCCAGAATCATTCTGTTTGATTTAGCTGTGTCTTCTCTGTTCTAGCCTTCTACATTTTGCAGACAAGCCTTTAGTATTCCTCATAAATGGCCCTACTCACCTTAGTATTCAATTATTGAGGGCAGATGACTTTCAACCTCTTCTTAGATGTGCTTCCCTTTAAAATAATTACTCATTTTAGGAAATAGGCCTGATGTATTTAATACTGGTAGTGGTTTTTCAAACTTGTCACTTATTATCTGGATTATTAAGGTAGGAATGATCACTGCTAAAGTACTGATTCCAGTATGTTTGGAGGTGTCCTACCTCCAAAATAGTTACTGATATGTTTAGATGATTATTTAGAAAGGCATTCCAGCTATTTTCTGGGTTTTTTGTTCTCTCAATTTTGAAATCAAAAATCAAGGAAATTAAATTTTGGACCTCTCAGGTAATGCAGGGTTCCATACACCCTCCAATCTTTCTCTAATTCCATGAAAAGACAATTATAATCACCTTAAAATGCTGTAAATTCTGTGAGTTGTAAATTCTGTATTAGCATCTAATTTTTTACTAGGATTTCTAGAATGCTGCCAAAGTTATATGAATTTGCAGAATAAAGTGATGCTGTTAGGATTTTCTTGGTGTTGATTCAAATCTGAAATGCTCTCAAACTCTTGCAAAATGCTCATATTTCTAAGTATACTTCAAGTTATGACATGGATGTTAAACTTTGCCTTCTTACTATAGGCTTCATGTATTTCTAATGCTTACATAGAATTTGTTGAGAATTGGCATTCATAACTAAAAACTTTTTTAACATGCTAGTTTTTTGAAGGCCTTCATGTGCCTCACAACAAATACAGGTAGTTCTTCAAAAAACCACTTCCAGTTTGTAAGTGGTGCTTAGATTTTCTTGAATTATCTTCAATCTGATCTTGAAAAACAGCATGATGGAATACTGTTCAAGATATTTGCAAAACGAGCAAATATTTACCAAATCCTTGGCACAGAAATACAACTTGCCAAAGCCTAATTACATGTTACCTTTCCCTTCTCATCAGTTTTTCCAATCTTTTTCTGCATGTTTTGTTGCATCTGTGTTATTGAAAATGCTAGGGTTTTCTGTTTCTTTGTTTTGTTTTTTTTCCTTTGGCTGCTCTTCATTTTTTAGTAAGGTGAATATAAATCTCTTATTTTAAAATGGCTAAAATAATTGAAATAAAATACATGTGATCCTTAAGAGCCCTGCTTGTCATTTACAGTAATTATATTGTTAAGTGTCCATTCTTTCGGTTCTCCTCCCCATCTGTCTGGGAGCGGGGGGATAAAGAAGGGGAGGGAGTGAGTGAGTGCGTGGCTGCATGGTTCTGAGTTAGCAGCTGGGCTTAAACCACGACACCATGCATGGGGTGAGATTTTTAAGTTTAGCCACAACAGAGTTTTATGTGGCTAAATGAGATTTCTAATCTTTCTCTATTATCATCATTTAAACTTGAATGAGCACCATTTTACTTTGCCTTTCTGGAGAATGATAGGTAACAGGTTGTAGTTTTGACTGTTTTGCCCACTACAGGTGACCAACTGAGTGCCATACTGAATTCCATTCAGTCACGGCCAAATCTCCCAGCTCCTTCCATCTTTGATCAAGCTGCAAAACCTCCCTCTTCCCTAGTCCACAGTCCATTTGTGTTCGGACAGCCCCTTTCCTTCCAGCAGCCTCAGCCACAGCTTCAGAGTAAGTTTGTCAGCCTTACCTGCTTCATCAGTCCATTTCTGCAGCTTTGACACTGCTGTTCTCAGTTGCTTACCAGCTACTAATCATCCCTCAGTGCACCTTTTTAGTTTTATTTTGTTAAGTTTTTCTTGATTCAAAAGCATGCGAGGTATAATGCTCCTAAAGAAGTATACTTGTTCAATTTAAATTTCTATATTGATAACATTTTGCTTCTGTACGTGTTCTGGCGTGTGGATAAGTCATGAGAGTGTTTTCAGTATTGTATGCAACTCTGGGTTTACCCTTAAGGTAAATATTTTATATGGTACAAAGTGTTGATAATTCTTTTAACATCAGGAATGGAGTTCAGTAAATTCATAGGTATTACATTTTCTCACCTTCTGAATTCTTGTTTTTGTCATCATTCCTAACTTTAGGGATATAGCTGGACAGTTGGAAAAACTTAGCACTAAATACTCGTAAGTAGTCTTCTGTCCAGTAGTCTGTGAGTTTAGTGCTCATAGGATTGGCATGGACATGAAAATTTGCACCTTGAGGTGAACAGTAGTTAACCTATTACTGATGAGAGGACAGGAAACTGTTTAGTTTTTAATTAGTGAGAAATAAAAGCTCAGCATTCATGATGGATAGCACGTACTGCAGTAAATTTTTCCTTATATACAGAACAGGTATAGCATGGGTCACAGGAATACTAGTCTTCTGTCTCCCGTAAACTGTCCTTCAGAAATGCCTCATTTTATTTCTGTGGCACCCTGTTAGTCAGTTCAGTCTCTATGTCTCTGCAGTCCTGGATCTAGCCAGCTCATCTTATTGAAGTGACAGTGACATGCTTCAGATAATAACTAGATTAAAATATCCAATTCACATTTATAAAGACAATCAAAAATAGTCAAACATCCTGAAAGCAGGATATTTTAAAATCTACTTGAATAAAACAGCTGTTTGCCAGTGGCATTAGCTCACCATCACTGAGAATTTGTGAATTGTATATTCTTTCCTATCACTTTTAGTTCTCTTATTCAGAGTAATGAAGTCAGAGCTTCTTACTCAGCTCTGCATCAGAAATAATCCTAAATGTCTTCTTTGAAATTTCAGATTATTTGCTCATTAGCATTTAGACCTATACTGTATGAAAAGGAAAGCTGTCGAAGTTTTCTTTATTGGCTGCCCAACAGGATCTTGCTCAATGGATTTGTCTGGCCAACAGATGTAGATAAACTCTATTCAGTAAGCTTACATCCATGGTTTGTGCTTTAGTAAGGATCCTTTATTCAGAAGAGGATGTTTTTTGTTAAATAGGGAAAGCACTGGTAGTCTACAATATAAAATAATAATGAAACCGGAAAAATTTTTCAAATTTGTGTCTGATTTGGGATCTTATCTTAGTGTAAGATCTCAATCAGTACGGTTCTTTGCCCTTTCAGCAGGTCAAAAATCATCACCCAGAATGGATATACTGTTGTACTAACTGTGATTTGATACAGGGTCTTTCTTCCAGTTATCTAATTTAAGAT